TGGGGCACACTTGTCTAAGGATCAAAAGCTCAGAACAGTGACAAGTACGGTATTATCACCTAAATCATTCTGTGATCTTTTTAGTAGTATGCCCATTTACTAATTTGCTTAATGATACTTTGAGTGACATAACAGAAACGGCAGGCAAAATATAACAAATAGTAGTGATATACTAGTAAATACTTTTCGTAAATTTTCTTGCATTCTTCTACCCTCTTTCTATCAACTGACATAGGTTACTGATGAAAAAGTGATACTTACGAAACATGCATTTGCTTCTACGCCTCATAAAGCTCGACCTTGCGACTGCACGACACGTTGAACAACATTGCGTCTTCGCCCAGCTGTGTCTTACTGCCTAGTGAGCATTCGGAAATACAGATCGCACTACCGTGAGCAAGTTATTGTTATGCAAATTACAGACAGGTACGGCTCATTTTAGTCGAGGGACTGTGGATGAAACTGTTCACGAATGGTCACGGTCAAATGCATGTACAGTGGCGGATTTAGAGGGGTACTATACTACGACAGTACAGTAATTATCGTATAGGGCTATCTCCCACACAGTTTTGGTCTGATGTTTGCTTCAAGTTCAATATACGCCCTTGGTTCTCCGCCAGGGGTGCAACCATGTGTACCTAGGAGCCACATGCAGCGGGGGAAGCATGGCCGCTAGGGATGCTTCGATGACGTCAGAGCGGTCACAGACCGCGTGTGCAGAGTCACAATACATCGCACACTCTCCATGAAAACGCGTTACTGGCTTAAATTTTAAACAAATAAATGTTTTATTTAGAACAATAAGCTGACAACGCAAATGAAAACCCATTGTTAACAGCATGGTCAACTTGAAGATTCTACATTAAAATCTGATATTTTCAATAGGAACAAGTTTTAATTGTCTATTAGAACTATTACCCTCAATCATTAAAGAAGAAATGTCATACATATAGATGTATGAAAACCCATATGCTTGTGCTAATTCATAATTTTTACCTGGAGAATTAAAAAAGTCTGTAATAATTCTGCATTTTTTGTTCGTAACAAAACCTTCTCCCGGCAACTGGTGGCGCCCAGTGAAATCCAAGTAATCTGAGATCAGAGATGGACTCTCAGGGGAAGAGATCAATGTACTGCGGCAGTGCCATACGCTTCACATAGACGATAATTTCTATCCTTGTTAATTCAGCCAAGATTACTTTTGCCACGGGCGCTGTATAAAATCAATGGTGTACGGTTTTCCTTGCAACTTTTTCTTTGTCATCGTAAGTGGCCACGGTCTACCGTCTTACGAACTACACCTTGATGCTAATTACAAAATGGGGTTGGAGTAAGTCGGCGACTAGAGCGATGCGGATTGTAGAACCTTCGGATTGTTGGTGTGTACCCGTTATGTTGTGAAATGCATCAATAAACTATTAAACTGAATAAACCACCACAGGGGCGGATCCAGGATTATTTGAAGGGAGAGTCCGGGGCCGAAATTTTTGATATTTTAGAGGGCGAACGGTGCCATTTCGTACGGTTTTGAACTATGATTCAGCTAGTTAAATTTCTAATTTTAAGAGGGGACCATTGGTGTGATTTTTTTCAGAAATCGAAGGGGTCAGGACCCCCCCTGACACCCCCCTAAAACCACCACTGCACCGTTATCTAGGGTTCATTAGTTCCGGGAAGGATTAAATTGACATCAATCAGTACTGTAAGTAATGGATCGGCACTTGATGAGGTTATGGGTAAAAAAAGAAAATCCACAGGCGCCATCCACAGATTAGCACGCGTGATGATCAAATAAATGCGCTTCCACGCACAAATCATAGTAGGCGTTTAATTTACCAATGTTGCACATTTGTGCCTAGCCTGCAACTACAAAACTACATTGCGAAGCTAGCAAATATACAGTCACTAAAGAAAAAATCCATTTCCATTGCTATAAAATTTAACACATTCCTATAAATTGGAACTTTCAGACTATTTAGGCGAACGTCGCTAAAATACACTCAGAAATTGATACCTTTCATAAAAATGAACCGATCATGCTGAGTTTCGAACTGAGCCTGCCATTTTATCAAATAATAATAACGATAGCCATTAGTAGTCAGGGCCGTAGCCTGAGTAAAATGCCAGGGGGGGCAGTAAGCGGACACGAGGGGGCGAAGCCCCCGATGGGGGAGGGGGTGTCACCCTCCCACGGTGTGGAAAATTTTTAAAAACTGTATGTATAATACTGTATTCTGGCGCATTTTAACTGTTATTTATTGCTCAATCAGAATTTTTTTTACCTTTGCGATTATTATTATTATTTTTTTTTTTTGCACCTCAAATCCCAGGGGGGGCAGCTGCCCCCCTGCCCCCCCGGAGGCTACGGCCCTGGTAGTTTTGAAGTTAAACATAAATACGGTTTGACACTTGTAAGTTGCACAACAGGCGTATGGGACATTAACGACGCTGCCAAACATACAGACACCAAACAACAAAACGTATTGCAAAAATATATACAAATATTATTTTTGGAAAATAAACCGGTGTGACGGAACTGAGAGTCCGGGACTGTCAGATTTCTGAATCTGACACTCTTCTTTGAAATACAGGGTACCTCCGGACCCTGAATAATCTTAATATAAAGTGTCCCCCGGACTCTCTGTTATACCGGATCCCACGTTCCGTAAAAGGGTAGGACTCTCCGTTTCGTTACACCGGTCGTGCTGATTTTCGAAGGAAATGTACCTTTTACCACAAAAAGCTATTCCGAAAATTTTAAGTAATACAGATATATCATTTTGAATGGACAACAGATGCAACAGCTTCGGCGACGACCCGGACAGGCATGGTGACCAAAATACACACAGACACATACAGTGTCTGCAGGGCCGGTTTTTGGGTGTCTTGGTGCCCTTAGCACTACAAACACCATAGTAACCCCATACCTGAACAGGTAAGCATACTTTAAAGTCCAATTAATATTTACTTATTATATATTCTTCTACTCTTTCTATCTTTTTCTTTTGTTCTTTTCTCTCCGTCATTCAACATCATTTCTCAATTTTTATTAAGCTCTTTCTCTCCCATTTTATATATATATATATATATATATATATATATATATATATATATATATATATTTTTTTTTTTTTTTTTTTTTTTTTTTTTTTTTTTTTACTGTAGCAGCTTGGTCTGCTTGGTGTCTCTTAAGCCGTAGTGCCCGAAGCATGCTTTTCTGTCGAAAAAAGTCGGAACGTCAGCAGCACCAGACCAGTTGTAGTTCAGATTAATAAGATTCACTTTCATACTGCTTAGAAGTACTTCTGTATCATAAAATAACTACATAAAATAAAATGGCGATTTGCGCGCTTCTTGGAAATACAAATAACCTACCCTCTACCAGGGTGGCAGATATTATAGGTAAATTTCAAAAAGTCAGAGAATCAAATGACTATTTCTCTAAAGACATCTGTGAACATCTTGTGAAAGATCAATCTGTCGCCCTTGTAGAGGGTGCAAATGACCTACGAATGCGCGGTCCGAGCCAACTCTCCTTTCTTACCGATGCAGCGTAAAGTTGGCTTGTTGTTTCCTGCGTATACTGACATGCGCTATACTAACTGGCAACTTACTCTCTAAAGATCTTTTATTTCTGTGCAAATAACATGTATCCGTAGCGGGCAATCTTCCAAGTGAAGTACGACTTAAGATTTCCTTGCCCCCGTTGCTGGCTTCATTGCCGGTCCGGTCACTACAGAACTACTTTTTTACAGTGCAACTCCGTATAGTTCTGAATGTTCGTTTAGTCAGGACTAGTTTGGCATGTTTCTGTATCTTCACAGCTTCCCTTTGGACGCCAGAGAAAGAAAATTCCAAGGTTTCCTGTGCCCATTGGTAGTTTATAATATCCCCAACACACTTACAATAAGACGCACTTTAACTTTCATGTTGATATTATAATAGTGACAGAAATTTTTTCATTTATTCGTTTGGAATCATGAAATTCAATACGCAGAATGACAAAAAGCAAAGTTTAGGTCAAAAGCATCGCCTAGAAAAAAAAATGAGACAAAGAATGACATTCACGTTACACTGATGAAATCTTTTTTTTTTTTAAATTGTTTCACTTGGTGCTAAATGAAGCTATTTATTTGATATAAACACTATTCACGCAAATTGTACGTTTTAACACATTTATGCTGCTAGAGTACAAAGAGTTAAGTATAGGAATACTTCACCATCTTAAACAGTGCAAAGATATGATATGACTGAAACATTCTGTGTTTCATCAATATTTAACATCAATTTTTAATCGTCTTAGTCCTTGACACAAAAACAAATCAACCCAACTATATTGATTGGCACAGAAATCATTTACAAACATTGTGAGGGAATGAGGAAGATGTATTGATAAATGTAAATTTTCGTTTTAATAGTATATAAATAACCATGATACTTGTTACGTAAGTAGTTCACACTTAAAAAACAAGAGGATGTATTTCTAGATAGTATTTTTGCCTTAGTATCTTGATCAACGTCAATACATTTCTTCTTATGGTTGCAAGCTAACTGAGCTATATGTATATATATCAAAGATTTCAAATAAAAAATATCCATATATATTTCTAAAAAATGTACACAAAAATCAACAATTCCTGATTTAAAAACTGGTAGCTATCACATTTTCTGTCCACATCAATAAATATGCTCAGTACATTCAATTCGGTTCAGTTCAATACTGATGTCAACTTAAATATATTTGCATTTGATGACCTTTTGAGCATGATATATTAGCGACTAGGGGATAAAAGAGGTATGGCTGCCTCCTATGCATGCACCACCAGCTGGATTAAGCAAAACGGGGGAATAATACACAGATGCAATTTTAGTACACATTGGTAATTTGTTATATATGATCACCTGAGGTGAAAATAGCAGAGCAACTAGGTATGGTTCAAAAGGAATGGTATTCTTTGCTGAATGTATAACTGCTTTTAATTTTAAAAGATTCCATTTGCTTTTTTTCATTTTTTTCTTAGGATTCCTTCATGGGCTGCTTCTGAAATAGAGCAAAATAGATATTTGACTCTCCTGCAAATTTTTTCAAGTTAATCTAATTCAAAACAGAAACTTCTTATAAGTAATACACACAAAATATCAGAAATTACATGTTCTACAAAAACAAAATCACCTTCATAACTGGTGGGGGCACATTAAACAAGCTGCAGAGCTGATTTCTCATTGGACGCAATTTTTCTACTTCATCATCCCTAAAACAAAGAAACGTGCATTGAAATCAAATGGACCAACATCTTATCTGTGTCTATTTGAAAAATCCAGTCTATTAGAAAAACAAAAACAAAAACAACTCTCTCAGACAATGATTTATAAGTTATAAACAGCAACTTGCAGAAATTCATGCAGAAAAACGAGAACTCCTCACATGTAATGCGACAAGGTACGAAACTTAATCACACAGCAATTTAAAAAAACATGGAATCTCCTTCCATGTAGACATGTAAAATTAACCATAAAAAGCAACTAACAGATTTTCTTCATGTTCTCACAAACTATAAGGTGTAACCTTAAGTCACAAAATTCACTATGGAACAAGTATACTCTGGTAAATTGAAATGTCAGTAAAGGTAATGAGCAAACTATGACATAAGTTTGTACTTCATGGAAAAGCATAAATCAAACCCAATAAGATTAATGGAATTCTTTTGAAAAAACGTTTTCTTAGAAAGCAAATTTGATCTTAAAAACCACATGAATCTTTAAGTGATAATTTGACAAAACATCCAATGCTTTATCTATAATCAAAATTCAATTACAGTAGATGACGTACCTCATTTTAACAAGTCAAATGGTTATATCTAGAAGACACATATTCTGTCCTTGCTAATTAATATATGTCAAATTAAGAACCTTCTTGATCATTAAATAAATTGACCTCAACTTACCATGATGTTTCACTCAAGAGAGTAAGAAGTTCATCCAAGTTCTCATCTGGGCCTACTTCTTCATATGTCACCAATGCTTCATACACTTTATTTGCAGTCGTCTTCCGGATCTGACCAAAGACATAGTATAGAGATAATATCCGTAATGGAAATGTATCCTTGATAATTAAGAGTCCTTCATGATATGCTATACAATACACGAATAACACAAGCCCAAATTCCTAGCATGTACCTTTCATCTTGAAGGGCCGATTTCTCAGGTCATATCTTACCTTACTGTTCTTGATGCAAGATTTTAACCAATTTAAACTTTCTTAAACACAAACAAAACTAAGTATACATTAAGACTGATCATATTAAAGAAATCTAAGAATCAAAGTTACATGTACTTACAATAGGATATCTGTGACAGAGGAACACCATTAATTGAATGAGTGCCTTCTTTTTGGTTTCTGATGAAAACTGAAGTAATGTGCAGAATCTGTGGAAGAGAATAACATTACAAGCATCAAATAATACAGTAAAACTAGTATCCAAGGTAAAGTGAAATGATCCTACCTGCTGCATAGAATAAACACTGCCACAGGTGTTTAAAAGCTTTGCGAGTTCATTTACAATACAGAATCACAAAACATGAGAAGTCAGTGAAAGTCACACGATTCTTCTGGCTTGTAATGAATTAAACATAATTACTGAAGATTTAAAGCACATATATATTATTTTTCAAGCCAAAAATTGAGTTAGATATATGAAGTACATACATATCGATGCTGGCCAGCAGCTTCTGCACTGCTCCACTGCGGGATATCTCCTGCTTACAAAGGGTTAATAAATCCATAGGAAATGTGTTGCTGAAAGAGGAAGGATAAAATACATCTTCCAATGACCCTTCTCAAACTGGCAATTAACTCTATAGTAAGCTTAAAAAAAGGGACAGACTTATCTTCGTTAGGTTTATCAATGTGTAACAATACACATCAACTTATGTAAAAAATAACCCTAATGAAATAAACTTTGATGCTTGTTACCACTTTATATTAAAAGGGAACTTTATTTCTCAGAAGAAAGAAAAGAATTGTCTGCAATACTTTTAAATTTTATTACCTTTCGTCTTCACATATGACTTGAAAACACCCATTAGTTAACAACTGATCTAGCATTTTCAACATTGGCAGAGAAACCCTGGACAAAAAATATAAAATTGCGTTAATAACTTAAAGTACCTGTCTAGTGATTATTGAGGCAAATAAACAGCAAAGAAGCACAGCCCTGCACATAATAACATCTTTCTTTTAATTGCATAATACAAACTTGTCATGGATATCAAATTCAAAATGCCTGACTCTTGAAGTCTTCACATAAATTCCGCTAATTGAGCACACCATGTAGAAACAGAGTATAATCAAACCATTTCCTCTTTCATAACTTTTTATTAAATAGGAAATCTTCTTTAAACTTACCTGTCAACTTTTTGGTAATCTTTGAAGATTTTTATCAAGACATCTGCAAAGTTTTGTACAGCTCCAGCATCATTGGAGAGGCTTTTTAGGTAGCCAATTAATGAAGTTCCAGAGTGCTTCACCTGAAGACATCAAAACAATAATCATAATCTCAATCAGGGATTGACTGATTACAAATAATCAATATGAATATAAGTTAGACTTTAATACAATTCATAAAAATTCATTTAAAAGAAGCAACTAAAGTAAATAACATTGATAAACTGCTTCAATATTCTCCCATTGAAAAAAGTATTAGTATTTTTATATAAGAAAATGAACAAGCATTTGTCATTGTTCATTAACTCACTAAAGACTCTGTCAATCCACCCACGCTGACTGTCATTCCCAGCAGAACAGAGTAGCAGTACACTGGTACACTTAGCAGTTTGGTAAGCCTTGGGAATGTATCACTTGGTACTGCCCAGTTTAAACCTTTTATTTCCTCCCTTCAACAGAAAGTCAGTAATGAAGAATTCAGTGTTATCTCGGACTTTAACATACAACAGAAAGTGAAATCTTTAGTCTTTGTGCAAAATCAAATGAAAACTGCCCATTTAAAGTACAGCTCATACTTCAATTTGGTCTTTTGATGCAAATCCTATTTCAAAATGATTTAGAATAAAACAAAAAAGACCAACCATGGAAATATCTGTAAAAGTTCTTCTTTGTGTGGAATGTTTGGAATTTCTGGACTGAAAAAACAAAATGTGATACATTATGTCCAGGCAGAATACATATACCCAAAATAGCAAGGCCAAATAACTAAAATTAAGCCCATTAGAAATAAAATCTGAAGTTGCATAAACAAAAATTATACAAAAGCACTTCAGTGTTCAATTTACAAACTGCTGATTTTACTTTCTATTTTTCTTTTTCTTTTTGTGGTATGGGGAGTAATTTCTACATCCATTCTAAAAAAAAAAAGTACAAAAATCTAATAATTAAAATCAGTCCACTGGACTTTCTGCTGCTCACCTGTGATATAACAGCTTCATGAATGTCTCCCCAGCAAGTGCCCTTGTTCTGTCTATCTTTTCAGATGCTTGTTGAACCAGGCAGCAAAATAAATGCTTTGTTCTAAAAATTAATGAGATCATCTTAAATATTACAGTTCCTCTTGTATAAAACATTTGTACCAAATACCTTCCTATGCATGCACCACCAGTTGGGTCAAGCAAATCAGGGAAATAATACACAAATGCAATTTAAGTACAAATTGGTAATTTGTGTTATGTGATCAAATGAATTAAAAAAATTAGTTTTAAAAAATAAAATTAAATGAATTAAAAAAAGTTTTTTTTTCAACATTACTTACATTTCAGCAGTTATAAGTGTTGGATTCACTTTGACAGTTAGGGTAATTAATTCACAAAGGGCACACATGGCAGCTTCTCTCACCCTACAATTCAATATGAAAATGCTGAGTTTTATGATAAAAAACTAGCTATGCTTGTTAGGTATAAAAAAAGTAATGAAAAAAGTTTCAGTCTTCTTACTAGTGAAAAAGTGGAATATTTATTAGATCCAATATTTCACCAGCAGTTCTTGTCCAACGTCCACTTTTATTATACACCAGTTCAGAGATTTCTATTGATACAGTGAATGTACACCCTACTGACACTAAAACATAGCAAATGAAACTATCTACACTACTAAGCTTTTGTGTACACTTGCAACCTTGTAGTGAAAATTTTAAGAATTTCAATGGTTTACAAGTCTACTGTTCTAGATCAAAATATGACTTGGAATTAAAATTCATCTAAAATGAATAATAACAGCTCCATCCAGTCTAAACCTCTCTTCTTACATTAGTAAATCATACTACATCAGATATAAATATTTATCACATCTTATTCACTAATTTCACGGTCTATATGACCTCCTTTCTTACCATGCCCCCACATCTCCCCTGCTGTCAAGGGTATAGTCACCCATGGCCACAAACAAGATGTCAAACTGCTCATGTATGTTCTCCTTACATATCACACTGTGGGGACTTCCATCTGTCTCCACACCCACTGTATGGAATATGCTGAAAGAAAACAGTATTCAAACAGTGCTGACCAGGTTCCCAACATAGATTTGAAAGATGTTATTTCTATAGACTTCTGACACTGTATCTACTTGATTTCTTCTGACAAAATAACTCTCTAATCATGTTAATAACTACAGTCACATTTGAAAGTTATAGTACTAGGTATTTTCTATTTCCTAATATTACTAGGTTATTTATTTAAGTGAATATAAATTTAGGAACCTATTCTTGACTCATACCAAATCAAACTGTGACTGATTTTTATTCCCTACCTTCACATGTAATAATGAAAACATTTCATGGCCCCAAAATACATCCTTTACAGCCCATAAAAGTGTGAATTATGTCAGAATACAGATTCTGAGAAAGGATTCTACATGAAAACAACGTACTAAATGATGCCTGCAAGGAAAGTTTGAGATGAATTTTAGGGGAACAGTATTCTTTTTGTTAAGTTTCTTATCAACACACCCATCAGAGCTTGAGATTACAATACAGTGTGATATCTCACCATGTCATAGCATTAAGTGCCTCCTTTCTAGCTTCAGCAAAGGTTTTGTCTTTGTCTGTCATCACAGTTGCAGCATGGTTCAGGCTTTGAAGAACTGGTTTCAATTTCCCTTGAAGCATGAACTTTGGAAACTGGCCTATGGCCTGAGAAAAGCCCATCCTTTGTAAAGATATAATAAAGACTGGAATGAGAACTTTGCCCACTGGGATAAAGGACTGAGACTACAAATAAGTTAGGTTTTCAATATTAAAGGAATATTAACGGAAATCCATTTTGCAATGTAACTTATGCATTTATGTTATAGAGTTCATGAACTGTAAGACAAATGATTTAGCAATGGAAAAATTTTAAAACAAAAAGCTCACCTAGTAATTTCAACTATGCTCTTGAGCTCTTCTAAGTACCTAGTCAAAATCTTTTCTGCAATATATAATGCCATTTTTGCTTGAAACTATGATAAAAATATGCTGATACAAGTGTTTGTGGAATACATAACTCTGTGATCTTTGTATAAAAATTTTAGCAAATCTTTAGTGCAAGCTATCTGCAAAAGTAGCTTTCAGTCTGATCTGATGACTTTTTATTCAAGAAAAACTAAAATACAAACAAAGTTTTCTCGGCAACAAATTCCAAAGCACATTTTACTTGCCAAAAAAATATCCTTTAGATACCTTAAGTATACCACATATTAGTCATATACAACCCTTTATGGTCTTCATTAATTATCTATACAACTGGATTTTATGTGAAAAACGATGCCTTGATTTAAAAAAAAATTGAGATTTTTTTTCCTCATTTTTACCTTGAAATTCAGGTTTGGGAGAACCATCAGGCAGAGAATGATACTCGGAGAAAAAGGCAGGAATGGCAGAAGTCGCAGCAGCCTAAAAATTACAAAATATGTCTTAAATCTGCTTGCACCATCCATGTGCTTATCTTCACAGAATCTATATCAATAAATTGTTATCATTACAAACCTAAATATTTAAGTCAAACGATAAGAAAGAACAACAATTTTTATCAACTTCAACAGTAAGCTGGCCAGCCTAGATTTCTAGAGTATTAAAATACACTTACCTGTATTGAAGGTTCTATATGCCTGAGGCAGTCATCAATGATCTCCTGCCAGCAGTCTAATAGGAAATGACAATAGCAAAAATGAAAAATCCTTTAATACTTTCATTCAAAATATACTTGCATCACTGTATATATGAAGGGACATTTAAACCAATTCCTTTAAAATTTAACTAAAATTTAACTAAAATTTAATTTACCTCTTTGCATTAGCCAAGTAAGAAATAGACAAAAATGGATGCATGAATTTTGGTTCAAGCTTTAAAAGCCATAAAAGAATCATTAATCAGAGGTTGGATTTAAAATGCTGTAAACTCTTACCGATGATAGTGTCATTATGATAAGGCATCTTGGCTATTGACAATTTTTCAATCAAACAGGAAACTGGAAATACAGAATTAAAAAATAACATCTATTAAAACAAATTATATCATAACCCTGCTTATGTTCAGATACCAGGATTCTTAACATTAGTCATATTCATATATAAAACACATAAAGTCAAGTAACTTCTTTAAAATAAGAGTGAAAAATTTTTACAGAGCAATTACTAATCAAACTGCATTCAGTATTGATGATATGCATTGTTTACCTGCTCTTCTCATCAATTCCCCTCCCAATCCACGGAAAAGTTTTGCATCTTGAAGCTTAAAGAGAACAAATATATTAAATTTTCTCATGTTAACAAGGTAACATGGTTTTCTGAAGATACAAAAACTGTTTAAATATAAGTTAAAGATTTTTAAAAGGAAATTTTAATGTGTTTAGAACAAAGAAAAAAACTTACTGTTTTTGCAATGTTTTTCAACCCATCAATAATAGAAGGATCCACCACATCAGTTATTTTTCTGTAAAATGTATAATGACATGATGTGCCACTCAAAATGACTTAATACTATGTTTATTGAAGGAATACACCCAAAGCTCTGACAGAGTCAATAATTAACAGTAGAAAATTCAAAATCATCATCCCTTAATCTTAATATTTTACATAATACCAATCAGCTGATCACCAACAATCAAGGTGTATAACAAGCTTATGTGACAGAATAAGAGAGAATTCAAACTGGATCTGCTATAACATTAAATAGTCCAAGAGACAGAATGGCGTCCCATACTTCCCATTCTCCTGTGCCCACTCTGCCAGCCCCTGGGTTATATGTGCCACTGCCAGAATAGTCCCATGCCTGGTGTTCAAATCTATGCCTGTGGTTTGAGGTAGGAGGGCAGGGAGAACTGGAATGAAAGAGAACATTTCATACCATACTATACCATTCCATACCACACCATACCCCAATGCACCATGACATACCATAACCTACCATATCATTACGTACAAACCATAATCCACCATAACATACCATAATCCACCATATCATTACATACATACCATAATCCATATCATTACGTACATACCATAATCCACCATAACATACCATAATCCACCATATCATTACGTACATACCATAATCCATATCATTACGTACATACCATAATCCACCGTATCATTACGTATATACCATAATCCACCATATCATGACATACCATAATCCACCATATCATGACATACCATAATCCACCATATCATGACCATACCATAATACTAACTAAAATAATGTTTAATGACAGTGATATCTAAGACTGACTCACTTGTATTTGCCATATACTCAGGAGAACATGGAGTAAGTTTATACAATGCTTGTGCTGCCAATTCACGTATTACACTGCAACAAAGAACAGAAATCATTAGAAATGGGTATTATTTAATGACTGTAATGTCTGAACTAAGCAGAATTAACACATCAAATCATCACTACAGTTCTACACCTGACTCGATTAAAGAGATATTGCTAGTACTGTGAATAATTCACATCTCAATATAATTTCTGTTATGAACAAATAATATGTTACATGTGACACATACATGTGTGCTCTTAAGTTAAAACACCTGTCTCACCTGTCCCAGCGGTTCACCTTGACCTGTGCCAGGTGATCTATCAATGCTTTGGTATACTCCGGAAACTGTGCAACAAATACACTGGAAATGTAATAACTTTGCATAAGTCATCTCATATAAGCTATCTACCTTATCATAAAAAAACAAGTACATAAATACCAATAAACTCACTGCAATAACACTTTCTTTCTTAATTTCTAAATTTAGCAATTTACCCTTCATAATAAACATCTTGTAACATTCATCTAGCATATATTATATTATATACAGATATTACAAGAAATATCTATCAATAGTAAGTCTCATTAAACAAGAATGAAAAAGTCTTTATACAAAGGCAGAGAGGTCTAACCTCAGTTCAAGATAGCAATAGGTCCTGTTTCCCACAGCATGGTAGTCTGCAGTAGTGAGTATATCTATACCATGAGGAAATGTACACTGTCTTCCTACATTCTCCTGGAAGGCTGCAGAGGCCGCCCTCCGTACATTAACCTCTCTGTCAAATACTGAGGCTATAACAAGGGAACTGAAAGTGAAAATAAAGATGGAAAAAATTCTTATAATCTACAGGATGGTGTCTTATATAAACTTCCAAAAAACCATTTAGCCCTTCCACCTGAATTTCAAAATTGAAATCATTTTGCTTAGCAAATCCATTTATTTGATAAGAAAACCTCATAAACTAACTTTACCATTTCATGTATTTTCAAAAAACACCTCGCCCTTAGATCTATAACCAACATTTGACACATTTCAAAAGTTAAGTTTAAAATTTTCAAACTGTAAACCAACAGAAAAAAATTTGAACATTAAAAATAATCAATATATATCACTATACCATGCAATATTGTTAACATATATCTTGATCTCCTCAGGATCATATGCTCTGGCAAAGGCCCAGCACACATAACAAGCTGCATCCCTGACATGGGCTCCCACCGAGAAATCACCTTTCTTTTCATCATAGGCCAAAGCTTTCAATACAATGGGGACGACTGATAACAAATACAAAAAAGTCAAATATCAAAAATGGAAAACCTGTAAATGTTAAAATTTAATGTTATAAGTCAAACAAAAGTGTGTGTACTGAAAACAATGACATCGATATATATATATAATATATACTGACAGTCAATGAAAACGCATCATTTATTTATCAAATAATATTTTTAGTTCCTTTGGCACATTAGGAAAATAACAGTTTTCATGTGAAATATGAAATAGTGGTCAGCCCACTCTCTTGTGACCAAACAAGTGCATTTGTACTCGTTTATATGGTTGGAATCGATTCCCGGTATATATATATATATATATATATATATATATATATATATATATATATATATATATATATATATATATATATATATCGAATTCTTAATAAGAAGAGAAATACTTTCAGACTTCATAACTGTGGAAACTAGGATTTTAACAACTGACATTTAATTGCCATACTGACCTGCAGACAGCCTCTCTGGCAGTAACAAACCACGTCTACCTAGTTCAGCCAGAGCAAGACATCCTTATCAAAGAAGAAACAGTAGAAACACATTAAACTCAGTGTAATGAATACCATCTAATGAATATGTCTCGTCCAATTTTCTCTATAACTTTTAACTTTCGGCAACCACTGTACCCAAAAAGAGAACACCAGCGGTGGGCTCACTTACAATTTGGGAATTGGATTAAAACTTGTCCATGGTTCTGATGTACAACTTAAATGACTTAAAGCACAGGATTACATTACTTTCTGCACAAAACTTACCCCCATGCCAAGCTGCGTCACTTTCTCTCAAGCTGAACAACTCCAAAACAGAACCAACTACTTCATCTGCTAATTCTTGTGGTAGCCTGCCAGTTACCCGACCAACACTTGTAAAAGAAATGATCAAGATAAAATAAATTATACACTGCATTTCATTATCATTTCTTTTCTTACAAATTGTGCTGCTTGGGTTATCACTTCGAACAATCTGATTTATATAAAAAGATCCCAAAAATTTCTGAACATTTTGTGACTATATAATCTATAAAAATTTGAGATTCTAACATGAAATTCAATGACAACTTACCCTTTGGCAGCAGACCACCTCACAATTGTGTCCTTATCCTTTAATCCATTCAGCAGTTGCTCTGGAAAAATTCCATGTTTTTAAAAATATTATTTTTCCTTTAAATTTTAAGATTACAATAATAAGAAAAAGATTTCTAAGTATCAAAACTGCTGTTCAAGACTGAAAATTGTGAAAGCTTTTTCTCAGAGCTTTCGGCCATTACGGTATCCATAGCCTTGGATCACTTTGACATAAGACGTTGATGAAGTAATTTTATGGTGGGAACGGCGAAGTTATGTTCCTATCTGTTTGACAATAATAACAATATACCACTAACCTATGACCTCTTCCATTTCATCTGGAATATCAAATTCCTCTTCTTCATCATCCTCCAGCTTAGTGTGCACCATAGTAGGCTTGGCAACAGCAGGTGTCAGGCCCTTCAAGGCCAGGTTCTCAGCCAGGGACCTGCTACCTCTTTGGTACCTGTGTTCATATTGAGAGAAAGCTCTTAGATAAGGCTTCAAGTACTAAGGACATCTGAAGTATTTATTTATTTTTTCAAAATGAAGTTTGGAAAAAGAGTTTATTTTTAGAGGTTTTACCAAGTACTTAATACACCCAAAGTATTTTTTTTTCAAAATATAGTTGAAGGGGGAGGAGAGTGTGGTTTAATGTGGACTACTCATCTGGATCCATTCAAGCACACTACTGCTTCATATCAACAAAAGACATTTCAATATTAGAAAACAAAAATACCCGACTTGCAAGATGCTTTCTATCTATTCTTTCAAGAACTCACCTCCAAGCTGCTACCCTGAATTTGAGAAAAGTAAGTCCCAATCTCTGCACAATCTTGATAGCTAATTTTCTCAGAATGGTATTGTTGACTTCACGTAAGTTGCATTCACCCAGTTTTTCCAAGACAATCGGTGCTGCAAAATACAAGACACTTGGTGCTGTAAAATTAATTGTCTCTTTTTTTCTGATCATGTTATTCTTCTGTACAACTTAATGACTCTAAGAATTTATGAACAAGTTTTCTTTAGGTAATTTATCTTTTTAAATGCTGAACAAAGTTTTACTGGCTTTGTTAAGTCATTTAAAAATTCTGACAACTTTTATTCACTGCTGCACTTGCTAGTCTGTCATTACTTCTGGCCCACATTCCTCAAAGGCCTGCAAAATCTTGCTTAATTTTACACTGCAAGACTAGGCTACCTTGGATCATGATTCCCATTGTAACAAGAAGCATTAATATATTATTTGCAAGAATAAACACTATTTCCATCACAACAGAGCTCACCAAAATCTATGACATCCTCTCTCTTTCCATGCTTGAAGATTGCTGCCAGGGTGGCCAGCTCTCCCCTCATAGCAGTCACGCCCTGCATTTTGCTGGCTAAAAATATGAATTTCAACAGTTCAAGTTTGATGTCTAATTCTAACTTTGAAATGTGTGTGCAGCCCATTAGAGTCGTTTATAAGTCAGTCTAATTGTTTAAATTATGGGCTAAACATTTCCTTGTTCGTGAGATAAAATTAGGTAAACATATTAAAATATTATCATTAAAGTAAATTGTAAATCCTGGTTTTAATCAGTTTCAAAAGTGTTACAATATTTTTCAATGATTTTAGACAAAATGTTGTTTGTTAAACTTACTGTCAGCTTTAACAAGACCCTGAACCAGCCAATCCATTAACTCTGGTAATTTCTTTTTTTTCACATCAGGTCTGGTCATAAATCTTGCTGCACAATATGCAGCAGCATCTAAAGCTTTGTCATTCACATTCAAATAAATCTAGAAGAAACAAAAAGAAAATTAAGCTAGGAAAGCCCAGGATTTTTTTTTTTCAAATGAGGCATGTGCCATATTTCAATAATGTACATTCACGTGAGTTAAATATTAAATACTGTGTAACCACCCAATAGCACCTATCTTGTATTAGTTTTACCTCGGCCAGAAAAGATCGCTAAAATTTCATCCAATTACAGCTTTACTTTCATTAACCTCAAGTTGTCATACATCAATAATGTACATCAACAATGTAGTTATTTAGATAACGAATCATTCACAATTTAATTTTCATTGGCCAGTGTATTAGTGTTTTGCTAACATTTTTCAGTTTCACAGCTATGACAAAATTCAAAATTCTAAAGCCTAAAGTGAAAAATAATTGTACCATAGGGATCAAATTATTAATCACCTTCACAACATCCAAGATTCTGTCCATGATTGGTTTCTTCACTTCCCCAGTGGCAGTCTTAATGTTACTGTCAAGTCTGACCATGTCAAAGGGGATCATACAAACTATGGACAACCATATCATCAGCACGTATCTGGTCTCCCATGTCTGGAATCAAATTGTTAGCATAAACAGTGTTTGTTTATATCTAAGATAGAACATTGTCAAAAGTCAAAAGCCAGAGGTATAAGTAATCCATTTAAAATCGTGCAGTAACCTTGACCATATAAATGTATATGAGATGCATTATAACTTTAAAAGTAGATCAGCTTATCAAAATCTTCCCCACGTGTAATATCTATTAAAAACTATTACCTCATGGTCCATAGGATTCTGCTGGGCCAATAATGCTAATACTGGTTCAACATCAGCAACTTCGTGGGGCATCAAGCGCACTATAACTTTGTAGCCACGAACCTGAAGAATGTGAATATTCAAACCTTATTTTTCTGTGTAACATAACTAACACTAGCTTCATAGCAAACAAAATATTTCTAAATTGCAAAAAATATATATACTTAACCATTATAATTACAACCACAGATGTAAATAATGATAAAAGACTTTCCTACCTTTGTAATCAGGTAAAGACATTTGAAAACTAAGTGGATAACTGGCATTGGAACTGCCGATTCTCTCACAATTTCAATGAGCTGTCCTAGTAATTTCTCTAAAATAGAATTATATACCATTAAAAGGGAGAATTAAAGGTATTTTTCTCTTTCTTATGGGCTGTAAAAAGAAGTTCTATTAAAATAAAATCATTTTTTCAGTCATGCAAAATTCAATGCAATGAAATGTCTACCATCACTTTGATAATTGAAGCTCATAGCAATAATTTGTTGCCAGATCGCACTCGTTAGTCTGCCAATATTTCTGAGCCCACTCTCCTCAAAATCCTGCTAAATCCTGCTTGCTATTGTTATGCGATTTTTAAAAACTGGTCACTACACTGCTTACCAAGGTGGGGATCCAGAAGATGAGGCTGTTCCTGGTAACTGTCCATTATAACTGGAAATCCAAGCATAAAAAGAGGCATTATGTTTCCCTCGGCACATAATATGCTGGTTTAGTATAAATACTAGTACAAGCAAATATTCCATAAATTTAATGTTTCTCTGCTGAAACTAAATCATATTAAAATGAATAAATTTGCTTTTTTTTTCAAAACTAAATTTAAATACAGTATTGCAAACAGAATTCTATGCTTCTGACATTAGACAAGACTTGCATTAAATCTGAATCACAGAAAAAAAAGGAAAGAAAAGAAACAAACAGCACAGGCATCAATCATTGGTAAATATTCTAAAGCAAACTATCTGATAACTTTAGGTCTTCATAACCATCACAAACAGCCTGACAGCAACTTCTGTAGTCACTGGTGGTGAGTCACCACACAGATCCAGTAGCTGATGTCACTGGCATGGCAGAGAAACAGATTAAAACCTGAGAATATTGTAATGTAAAATAAAATTCTGGCCTACAAAACAAAACCCAAAAAGTTCTGTTGTATCATTTACAGAATTGCAATTTTCATAATCATTCTGAAATTGAGCAAGCCCAAGCGATTGTACTCGGGCGTGCTTAGATCTAATATCTCAAGTTCAAGCCGTGTACAGAAGCAAAAGCCCAAGCACTGCCTCTTAGGGATTGCCAAAAAAATGCGTGTTATTTTAAATATACACAAATTTCTGATATAAACAGATTGATCAAATGCAATATGCACAATGCATTGCGCAGAACAAAACTCCTTTTCGCTGGTAATATGAGACCGTTATCCGCTCCGCTCGATTAGACTGGTTTAACTTTACAATGTCACTTACCAGTAAAACGTTCAAGGGCCATTTCGACAGCTATTTGATCGGTGTAAATGTCTTTCAGGGTGCTTATAATGTTCGAAACCTCGTCTGCTTCCTTAAACTCTTCGTGAATAAGCCCTTCACCAAGAGCATCGAGATTCTGTCTTTCCTGTTCGTCTGCTTCCATCTCTGTTTCAGCCGCCATCTTCGAAACTAAACTCAGTTTGGAATTCAATAGGGTTAGAGAGTAAATGGCTAAGATAGAAAAGGAATTTAGCTGTAAGAACTAACAATATTATGAATATTCAAATTTTTTACTGTTTAAAATACATTATCTCAGTTTATAGAATCCAGTTTAAATCACTTTCATATTTTACAAATAATAATAATTATTATTATCTCCTACAAGTTTTGCGAGTAACAGGTGCTCTAGATATCTGCTTGGAAAAGGATGAGGAGGATCCAAACGCCACAAAGGGCTTAACTCCCTGGAATACTTTTTTCCTTATATTATACATATTTCTTTCAAAGGACTGCTTAAAGGAGGTAAAAAAAACTTGTTGAATTTATGTATCTCGCAACTTTGCATCCTGCCTCCTACGGTAAAATCAAACCCTCAAACCCACCGAGCACCCCCCCCCCCCCCGGTTTCTATTTCTTTTTTATGTGTCTTTGTGCTTGATATCTTTTGCCCCTTCATTTAAAGTTGGAAGCAACTTAAATGTCTGATGATTTTTAAAGGTTTCTCCTTTTGTTGTTCCATATAAAATGCCTGATGTTCTAGACTATTTCTAGGTTATTTGCAGGGTTACAGTAAGATGGAAATAAAACAGGATGTCTTGAGGCTATTTTTACCATGCCAGTGTTTGGTGTCAGCACCAGGGTACCTTGTTGGTGTTATCCTGAAACAAAATAACTTTGTTTGTATCACTGGGCTTGTGCACAATGCCAGGAATGGACATCTTTTCGAAGATATTAAAACTAAGAAAGATAACATGAGGGTTGTTGGAAGGTGGAAAAGACTGAATGAGGATCCACTGATGAAAGGCGATATTCAGGTTGATGGGAGAAATGATATTTGGATATTACTGGAAGAGGGAATTTCAGGTCTTCCAACTTGTACAGTTAGTGAAGACTTTATGGTCACAAATCACCTCACATGTGTGACAGTTATCATTTTTGATGCTTCATTGCTGCTGGCATCCATGTGTATTAGAGATAGGTTTAACTGTTACCAAGAATCGAAATCTACAGTTCTGGCATGTTTGGTGAAATGTTTAAAAACTCGCCAAGAGGCTTCTGAAGAAATAAACTCTAGAATCAAGGAACACAACACATATGAAAGTTTTACACATTTAATAGAACCTGGTCCAGTGGAAAGTTTTTCCACTTTCAGTTTAATGACTGTGTTTCATAAACTGCTTCTGTTGGTAGTGGCATGTGGAAGCAAGATAGGAAATTCAAGGTATTTATAATTGACAAGATTATTAAAATTGATTATAATTTAGAACTACATTTGAACATATGAAGAGTGATTTCACTGCTCGCCTAAATCTTTGTAGGAGGTATTTTATACTGAGAGTCACTTTCAGAGGACAAATTCACATTAAACTTTTAAAATTAAAATCATCTTGTAAATCAAATCAAATTCTTTATTGTCATTTAAATATTTAATGCTGTTAATTTGTTTCTTATTATTCTAGGTTTTTCCAGAACAAAGTTTCAGATTTCATTTTGAGCTTGTTTGCTTCTGTTACCCAAATTAAGCTAAAGTACAGGCAACTTTGTCGAGCAGTTATGGACACAGGAGAGGGATCAGGTGCACACTTTAGGTATGGAAAACAATTCAGAAAAGTTTAAAATAAAAATGAAATGAAGTCAATAATATATTAAGTATACTGATAGAGTCATAAACCAACATACACTGTACATTTAAAATTATTGAACAACATGTTCTATAGATAATTCAATTGTTTTTGTTTCTTTTAAATATATAATATTTAAGTAATGATGTCTTCTAAGATTTTTAAATTTTAGTAACTTAAAAGTTACTAATGTAGGCCTAGTATAAATATTGATTCATTTATAAAATGACATTTTTTTTATTTTATAACCATTTAAATTTGGTGTAAGTGTAAAGTGCCCTTTTTTCACATTTTCAGAGTCCAGAACATAGCCAGCCTTTTGTTGTTAGACATTGTCATTGGCATCTTATTTATGATGTGGATGTCCAGCAGTGCTCAAACAGATTTAATAGCCAACTGGATGATGACACAGGCTGATGTAATTAATTAATTTATTTATTATTAAATATGATTTTATAAGCAAATTCATTCTTGACTAGAAAATAGATAGTGAATGTGCAGATTATCCATACAAGGAAGAAAGAGAAAAAGAAAAACAAAAAACTGAAAAAAAAATTTATTTCAGACAAATTTTTTCTTAAAGTTATTAATGAAGTGAGCATGGATTCCCTTAAATGCATATAAACCACTTCTACTAGTTTTCTTATACAACTCAAAGAAAGACCTCATGCCAAAAGATAAACCAATTTAATCACTCAGAGCTTTAAAACTTCGCAAAACATAGCCATTCAAATAACATTTTTCGAGAAATATGAAACTGTATCCTTTGGCATTTCTTTAGGTTGTGCAACTGTATGGTGGGATGTGGTTGGGTTTTGTGACAAAAATTTGAATTCAAATGCATGTTTTATCTTTTAGCATGTGAGCAGGCAGCTGAATGTTCTGTTAAAGTGGATGATGGGCTTTCCTGCAGGTCTGAAACTCAACAGCCAGTTAGATCAGCTGCTAGGGAACTTCTTTTTATATCACATTTTTCTTTGGACAGGTAAGAATTTATTTACAAAGATTGTGTTGATTTGTAGGTAGGTACTAGTAAGACTAAATTTGTTATGATTAATAAGAGGACAAATGTTTTACATGAAATATTGCTTTGGATGTAAATTATTTATCAAGGTAAAGCGGGTCAGTAAATCTGTATGTTTGATCATTCCGTTTGTGAAATTCATTTATGATGTTGTTAGTTTGTTTTGAAGCCAGTTTTCTTTAAAAAAAATTATTTCATTTCAGGCTACCTTAATCTGCTCAGGCCAGTGTTAAGTCATGTTTTGCTGTTCATCTCATATATGGGCTGTCTAGGCTTTACAGTACAACTTTGTCTCCTGAGGGATCTGGTCTCCATGGCAACACTTCATATCTATTGTTTTTATGTCTATGCTGCAAAGTATGTCTATATGATTTACTGACAACAAAAACCAGTATCTTCAGATTTTTTACTTTGGTTTGTTTCTTTGCCCATTAAGACATTTGTTATTATTTATTTGGGACTTAAAAAGATTTAGACTCTGGCTTTGTAATGTAGATTTTTTGAATAAACCAACAAAATATATATATATATATATTTCAGTGGGGTCACTTTTATTTCAGACTTTACAATCTGCAGGTCTCTGTCCTTGGTTCACTTTGGAGATTATTCAGAGGGAAGAAGTGGAATGTTTTGAGACACAGAGTTGATTCAGCTTCATATGATGTAGACCAGCTGTTTATTGGCACTCTTCTGTTCACCATCCTCCTGTTTTTGTTGCCTACTACTGCTCTGTACTATGTGGTCTTTACAGCAGTAAGTAGAATGATGTTTTTTTCTTTTGTAGTGAAAATCAAGATGATTGTAATAGTGAAATGGGTGTAATAAGTTTTTTAATATTAAAAAACATTAAGATATTTTAAAGGTATAACAACTGTTCATATAATAGCTATATTTCACAATAAATACATTGTAAATTATGGGCGGCCAAAAGGGCAAAAAATCATGTCGCNTTAGTTTGTTTTGAAGCCAGTTTTCTGAAAAAAAAATTATTTCATTTCAGGCTACCTTAATCTGCTCAGGCCAGTGTTAAGTCATGTTTTGCTGTTCATCTCATATATGGGCTGTCTAGGCTTTACAGTACAACTTTGTCTCCTGAGGGATCTGGTCTCCATGGCAACACTTCATATCTATTGTTTTTATGTCTATGCTGCAAAGTATGTCTATATGATTTACTGACAACAAAAACCAGTATCTTCAGATTTTTTACTTTGGTTTGTTTCTTTGCCCATTAAGACATTTGTTATTATTTATTTGGGACTTAAAAAGATTTAGACTCTGGCTTTGTAATGTAAATTTTTTGAATAAACCAACAAAAAAAAAAAAAAATATATATATATATATTTCAGTGGGGTCACTTTTATTTCAGACTTTACAATCTGCAGGTCTCTGTCCTTGGTTCACTTTGGAGATTATTCAGAGGGAAGAAGTGGAATGTTTTGAGACACAGAGTTGATTCAGCTTCATATGATGTAGACCAGCTGTTTATTGGCACTCTTCTGTTCACCATCCTCCTGTTTTTGTTGCCTACTACTGCTCTGTACTATGTGGTCTTTACAGCAGTAAGTAGAGTGATGTTTTTTTCTTTTGTAGTGAAAATCAAGATGATTGTAATAGTGAAATGGGTGTAATAAGTTTTTTAATATTAAAAAACATTAAGATATTTTAAAGGTATAACAACTGTTCATATAATAGCTATATTTCACAATAAATACATTGTAAATCTCTTAAAATATATGGTATAATAAATTCTGTTTTACCACCAAAACTGCGGTTAACACAATTATTCTGGAATATTACAAAAAAACAAACTTTTTAGAAAAAAAACTAGGACTAACTTTGAATGTCGAAATGGATTCTTTAACCACTGGTAAGTATGGGAAAATTGTCTTTTACCCCAGGAAAATTCATTTTGGCCAAAATGAACAGCTGTTATCCCTTTAATCATTTATAACCAAAGGATCAGTATGAATTTTAATAACTTGAAGTCATAAACAAAATGCTCAAAGTAATCTGTGTTCAAATGGAGTGGAAGTGCGTTACACTTACAAAGTTTTCCAGCTAAATGCTTGGATTTTGTTCCTGCAAATAATAAAATTTGAGGGGAAAATAGGTGAATTTATTTGAAAAAAAGCATAGTCTGTATATTTTCAACCGTCCAAGCCAAGCTATCATTTCACTGAACATTTGTAAATTGTTACATCAATTATGGTTTATTTTTTTTATTTCAGTTAAGGCTGTTGGTGCTTACGTTCCAAGGAACACTCTTCAAAACTGTTGGATTTGTGAACAGTTTACCAATATATAGTGTGATATTGAGATTATTCCATTCAGAACAGATAGCTGGTAAGAGACAGTTGACAACAGAAACTTTGTTATAACAATGTTACAGCAAACAGCTAGTTTACCATTTAAATGGTAACTGTTTTTTCTGAGGAAAAAATTGTTTCTTAAATATTCTAAAAATGGTTGAAACAGTTTTTCAAAAAGCATTATGATTTGGTATAGTAGCTAAGCAGTTTGTTTTAAATGGCTTGTACATTTCCAGGTGACATTTGCCTTGAAGTTTTGAACAAAATTTCCCAAGGCCCACTTTATTTGACTTGTGCAGTGAGTAACTTTTCTGTAAAATTATATCTATTTTACAAAAACTTAAAAATTAAATTACCTCAATCAGTTACTCCCTGGTGAAAGTGACTGACAGGGGCAAAAGTATTGGAAGATAATGGCTTACAATTGGGATGTGAATATAACTAATTTTTTCATTGTTTTGTTTTTTTTATATTAAATTACATAACAAAACATGATGGATTTGTATTGATTTATGTTTTACCCCTTTTACTTTGTAGGTGATTCAACTTCCTTTCTCCAAGATTTACAGTATGTTTCGTCTGGATGTGCAGAAAACAGAATCGTATTACACATGGACAAAGTTTGGCAAAAGACTCATTTTAGGAGAATTGGTATATCCTTGGGTTGAAAAGGGAGACTGATAAACTATTCACTGTTCTCTGTCAAAAAGGAAATTAAAGCATACGCTTATTAAAACAAGCATAAGTTAAGGTCTGGGCATAATATAACCTTCAAATGGCCTCGGTTTGCAAAATGTTGGAAGATTTACTCTGAGACTTAATGACCTGCCTGGCTGCGTTGTGGGTAAAAATATTACCTATGTAAAGTGTGTATTTTTTAAGCAGGCATGGGAAAAGATGTGGTCATTTGCAGAATCTCTTACCTTTGGAGTGATTAGTTTCAGACCAAACGGTACCTGCAGTATTTTGATACGTTAAACCATGTTATATTCTGTAAATAAAATTATATAATAAATTAATACCGAGTCCATAATGAGTTTTAATTTAATTTGTTGAAATGATGCAATCTAATGAAAACGATTCGAGGACTCGGAAGTCCAATGTTAGACATCTTGACAACTTCGAACATTTCAGCACCTTACACGATTGGAAGCAATCTAGCTAGGTCAGCGTCGGTAAGAATCTGAAGCAGACGATTACAGAATATTACTTGTTCTCGAGAGGAGAATTTGTATGTAAATTGCACTTGGAGAACTAAACAGGAATTAAAATAGTTAAATATTTTTTGGAATTCACTTCGCATTGTATGAATACGTTTGCCGCCGCATTCATACAATTTGTTCATCTCCTTCGAAAAGTATTTTTATCATAAGTTTTACTGAAAGTGTTATAGCACATTTAATGTTTCTAACCTTTCTACTGGGCGCGCAGGCACGCTTGGTCGAATAAAACGTTTTATTCGTCCAAGGCGCACGTAACCAGAGTGTCCACTACCCATTCTTCTGACAGAACACTTTCTTATTTCCCGCTCTCCCAGATTTCAGGACTACCTGGTATGCATTGAAAACAGACCTTAGATGGTAGCCCAATTACAAAACCACAACATGGACCACTTTTCAGTGTTCTGAAGAGAAAAGTATTAAAATTTAGCATACACTAAAACCGCCAACACAAACAACCTTTTTATAGCCGAGCTGTTGCATAACGTGCGCAAGCCGGATATCGAATATCATAGCGCGGTAAGAGTGTTTAATGAATGATGTTTTTTATTATATAAATGTTAGTAAATATGTGGTAGAAATCATAATGTTTATCTAAAAAATGACGTAAATTAATTGGGTGCTATGCAACACATTTTCGCATTTTTGAGGAATTTTAAATGTTAACACAATATCAGGGGCGGATCCAGGATTATTAGAAGGGGGGTCCGCGGATGCGGATCATTCATTGCGAATCATTCATTCAACAATACTTTCAACGACGTCTTTTAGGGGCCTACATAGAGCTCAGCAAATTGCACCATTAAAAAATGTACCACAAAATAAGCGCTTTTCTATTATAGATAGCCCCCCCCCCCCATCATTTTTGGCGCAGCTATATTCTGACCTCCCCTTCTTAAATGTTACTCGATAACTCCCCTGCATACACACAGACACTTACATTAAGTCTGTGATAGGTATGGTCGTATATACGCACTGCGTACAGCTTCTAAAATAGTCGACTAGGCTACTGTCTGTACGTCATGCTACGTACGTGTATCGCTGCCGCAGGTATCCCATAAACAATCACATTTGAGAAATATTTGTACTATAATAAATGCCAAAAATGGCTTTTATGCGGGTGAGCATGTACAGATCCCATAAATGAGTACAAATATACACCTGAGCATTTAGGTCAACACGCTGGTAAACGCTCTACGTGCTGTATTATTAACGGGTAGTAGACAGGTACTAGTGGGCCCATAGCTTTTAACAATGAATGGAATATTGATGGCATATTATGTGTATAAACTGTATACAGGAACAAATGGCGGTTGTATTGACAACTTGCACCCAAAGGTGAATTTTTAACTATTGGGTTAAAAAGAAAGATAATTAGTTACAGCTTGTCTGTATAAGACATGAGAAGATTTGCATCCGTCTAAGCTATTAATTTAAAGCCACTAGGTGGCTACTTGTCGCGCGTAGAGGAGATTGTTGGGGATGGTATCATAAGAACGTAAAGCGGGAAGAGATGCATTGCAGCATTAGGTACATTGCGATACTGATGACTGAAATAAACCTCGCATCTTGCGTGCTGACGGGACTGCCTTAAATACATTTTCTTAAATTTGTGTATAGGTAGTTGAAGAGTGCAATATGTTTTGCATAGCTTACAAATGTTCTAAATTGGGAACCATGAAGTTTTCATGCCTATTAATTAAAACAAGTCTTTCGGGGGCATGAAACGGCACAAGAAGATGGAATAGAGTTATATTTCACGGTACTGCTGGATGAGTGAATAGAATTTACATCTGTAACTTAATTTATATGTAGCTCTAATGAGTCTTATCTACACCATCTAATTAAGCAGTCTATCAATCTGAAGATACGAATTCAACTAAAGACTATTACTGGAATCATCGACAAATTATTCAAATAATTTTCCATGCTGAAATTAAATCAGAAACTTAAGACAATTGTCTTGCTCAAAAAAAGCATTCTTAATAAAATTCAAAAATTGAAATTTTATTTCAACAGATGAAAGCTTTCAAAAACCAGGCGCATGCAGTTTGCTTTCATAAGACATGATAAATAAGCGTAAAGGGAATGCTGTTTGAGAATGGCTTTTGAAAGAGCCCCTGATTATAACCCTTGTAAATACTCAGCATTCACAAGAAATGCAATGAAAAAGGGCTGCATCAAGCAAATTAAAAATGAAAGATAATCATTCATACCTGTCCTGTTGTGTGTTTTAAATTGATTTTAGCTCCTAACATATTGCACATTTAGTTTAGACTTTTTTAAAAGTTAAAATTCTTTAATAAATATGAATACATTGCACGCAATTAACTCACATTACTACATTATTTTGCTATTATCGGTGTATTATTAACATCTGTTCATTTTAATATACGTTTTAATCAGATCCCACTTATGTTTTAAATACAAGAAGCATAAAAGTATAATACATGAAGGCCTAACCTCTGGTCGAAACATAAAAATACCCTCGCATAAAACTATAGCCGTGCGGCGTTATAAATCGCTAATTTAGACCAATGTATGTAGTCACGTGAAAGACTTGCAGATTGATAGTAGGCCTACTCACTACTGCAAATTCCCATTACTGCAGATGTTTAGCCTAATCGGTGACCGTGTATGATACATATTGTCCTGGTTATTTACAATGCATAGGGCCTATATTATATGTTATTGCCACGTGACGTCAAAACCTCAATGTAATTTGGCTCGCTAGTTAAAAGCGAAGAACCCAACAACCATTTCCATCAATATTGAATCGACAGTGAATAAATGCTCGAGACTGAGGTTCAACAGCAACCCGGTGACTGCGATATTTATTATTTCCCATAAGCCTACCAGTTCCAAAAACGGACGATGCTGCGCTACGCGCTCCGAAATTAGGTCACAGTCTTTGATGTTATTTAGCGCTAGTCCGGCTAGTTAAGCTAGTGACCTCCTGATTGCGACTTTCCAGCGACTGTAGTCATGTAGTTCGTTGACGGTCTGATTGTGCTGCATTGCATTCTTCACTTCTTATATTTGCATACAGCTTATGATCTTATTGACCCCAAATGTCTTTAAGATATTAAAAAATACACCACAGACCAGCAATTATAACATAGGCCTACATGTACATGTACAAGCATGTACATACATGTACGACCATCAATCAACTCAAAACGCATCTGCCTGTTTTGCAAACATGTGCTTCGAAATTTGGTCACTGTAATTTGCTATTTATCTTTGGGATCTTTCCGCTGACGGAACGTGCACGTTCTTGGTACGCACGGCCATTTAATGAAATAGAATATAGATATTTTCTATTTTAATGTCCTAGCTCCAAGTTTAGGTTCATGTAGCAATTACAAAACAGCGACATGTTATAAGGCGTGGTGTGCGAAAAGGGGCTCTTAAATCCCACATCTGAAACAGTTCGCTAAATAAGTGGCTGAATAAAAAAGTTCTGTTATCAGTCCGAACAGTTGTGTAAATGGAATGCATGGAAATATCTCCTCCCACTATCTCCCGTTGTCCTGGATAGCGACAAAGTAGGTAGTCCCTACTCGATCAGCATGACACTTTTCTGTAGTTTCTAGGCTACAACTGGCCCATATAGCTACCCGGTAGGCTACGCGTTTTCCTTTGCATTATAAATGAATTAAACAAGTAGCTGAAGTAGACCTACTAGACATAAATTTAACAAGCGATCAAACTCTAGGGCACAGAATTCATATGAGCAGAAAAAATAGTCGGAGAGTAGATCAGAGTAGGCCTAGCCTTAATTAGGGGCCTAATTCATTTAGGCTACTGTCGCTTCGTGTTGGTTGTGAGAGAACCTGAAGAAACAGTGTAGAACAAATGTAAATTTAGCGTGATCTGTTTCTCTAATAAAATCGTTAGAACTATGACATAGGCATAGGCCTACTAGGCCTATAATAAATTCCCGGTAGCCTAGGCTACTTATTGAGAAGGAAGGGCTGTTGCCGAATATGGAAGTAGGCCCAAGCCTAGGCCTACTAAACATTTCATAACTTGTAGGCTACTGGCCTATCTAGTAGTAGGCCCCTATTGATATGCACCTAAACAGTTGGGGTGCAATCGCATCAGCCGTCGCATGTGCTTTTTAAACAATGGATCTTGAGGATGTGACCGTTGGTCCGATTGATAGTCACTGTACGATGACTGTAGGCCTACCGGTAGCCTACAACCGTTTGCAGCCCCCTACTTTGGGCGTATTAGGGTAGAGGGCCACATGAGTCTTTCTAAGAATTATGTAGTCCAGTTTTTCTTCTCAGATCCCAGCTGTGGTAGCCTATCGCTAGTTTAAATCCGTCAAATGCGTGCTCGAGAAACACTTGGGACGCTTGACACTGACGTCAGTTCGGCACTCCGAAATGTTGGAGCTTGTGTTAATGAGGGGTTCTGGCCTACCCGAGTGAGGACATAATTTTCTGTAAACAGAAAATGCGTGGCGGGTTTGTAAGGGGCGAGTTCACAAAGTACGAGGTAAATATTCTTTCAAAATGGACACCAAATATCGTCCGAGGGATAAATGGCACACTGCCAGAAAGCGCGTTTGCCGTGACATGCGAAGTAATTTGCATAATCAGCGCATGCGTACCTCACTGGCGAAGAAGTCGGCCATGTTTACACCAAGATAGGTGAGTGCTTTTAGATTTAGCAAATTTGCAACAAGTAAGAAGACCGACAGATAATGAGGTAATGCATGGATTGCTAAATGCATAATTTGTGTACAGTAATTGCATGCGATGCACGCTTACAGGTAGGTGATTGTGTACCTATGGTGGTTTTTATCGTTAAACAAAGACGACGCGCGCCGGAAGTGCCTAGCCCGATGTCACCGGGACCTTTAAATACACTTTTTAGTCTTTTTCTGTCGAATTTTGAGTTGAAATGACTAGGGTGCATTTAAGGAACGCAAAACAACGTATACACGATCGCAGAATAAGTTGATAACCTAGTGATATGTTTGGACGAAATTGAGATGGTCCCTGTCATGTGATCCATTCGTATGCAAATGAACGACTACTGGGGCTCAGGCAGGATTTCACAGAAAGCTGACATTCCAGATGAAGAAACAATTGGCCATTAAAAGTTTTTCGTGTTCAATATGTGAAAAAAAATTAGCAAATGTTTGGTTAACTATACATTGAGTATGTAAGCTGCACTTGTTGCTTTTGTTTTGTTTGATTGTAGCATTATCTACAATATACCAAACATTTAGAAAATATACAAAACTATTAATACATAAATTCCAGGCAAATATATGCAAATCCAACTAATTTGTGAAAAATGAAATTTTAATATAGACAAATTGTTAAAAGGAAATAGAGACAAAGTCTTAAAAGTTGATTAATTTCTGTAAAAAGATTAATTTTTTAAGTTAAAATGAAAATGCTACCATAATTGATGTAATATTTATTAAGCTAACATGAATATACTCCCAAATTAAACACTTAATATTACAGCAGTACTATAACAACTGGTCATATTTTGGGTTTCACCTCCTTTCATAGTTTTATGCTATGTTGTTATTATAGCAGTGTCGACAGGCTGGTCAGCACCTGCTGATTTCAAATTAACATCGTTAGACGTTTTTAAGCAACATGAGTAATATGTGTAGGTTGACCAATTTTGGAAGAAGTCTGAAGTGATATTATCTTGGTTTACTTCATTTTCCAGTATTACTTTTAACTTAGACTTATGTGACTGTTTTTGTCCTTTACCAAATTTTTTAGATCTTGAAATAAAGCTAACATTTCTGTAGGGTCTACATAGAAATATATGTCAAAAGCTTTTGCATAGGCAATTTGTTTAGGAATGTGTTTAAAAATGGGTCCTTGCCTTACATATCAACTTGGGGCTGTCCTAGATTTTTCACTATGTTGATATTTTAAATGAGAACTAAGTTATGAATATTTTCATACCTTTTAGAAGAAATACCAAATACCACTAGATGCTTGTCTGTCCAACTGATTTATAGACAAAAGTTATGGAAAGTATTTGAACTGTGGTGACTTTTTTTAGGAAAAAAAACTTTCTCCAGAGCAAATAATAAGGAAGTATAAGGATTTTTAGAATTTTTTTATTTGAAAATTTTTCGTCTAAAAACATTACACTCCGTCATGGAACATTAATCTTTTCCCAGTTTTTCCCTCGGATTGAAATCTAATTTATTTCAACAAGAACACTTGAGTGTACATATAGTAATTGATTTCTCTTTCATAAGGGGTTTATTTTGGACATCATTTTGGTTTTTCTGGTTGAAACTCGAAAAATATAATTGCAAACCCTTCAAGGCCTCATGTCAAGGTCATCACATTTACTAACAATCATGTATTGATCACATGATATCACCCTAGTCTGACCTAGTTACATTTAAGTCTACTTTTTATAAGTTTAGAATATGTTTTTCATGAACCACAAAGAAATGTTGTCTTTAACATTTTATTGGTTAGTAAAAATAAAATTTATTTTAGGTTTGCCTAGTAAAGTACTTACCATTATTTTACTAATAAAAAAATGGACGGAGATATTTTGTAACATTAAAGTGTTTTTACATTTTACTGTTATTGTAATCCTTTTGAAATTATTTTAACATCCTGAAGAAATTGCATTAAATTGCATTAGTGTACTTAAACAGATGAATTAGCCTAGTTGGTTTTGTCTAGTACTCTGTATGAAGTACTTAACTAGGTTATGATTGTGGTAAAAATAATCGTAAAGGAGAGGTTTTTTATTGGACGTTGTTGCTAGCCCTGTGGTTTTAGTCTACTGCATTTCAAAGTTTTTTTGTTTTTTTTTCAATTTTTTTACATACTTTAACGATATTTAGTTTGTGTGTTACCACCTTATCCAGGTGTCACTAATTTTATCATTTCTGGTAGAATTGAAGCACTTCATTGAAATTGAGAGTTTTAAAATTCTGGAAATGAGAATTGGACTGGCTGATGCAGATATTTTCAATGCCACTTTAACAAGATGTGTAAAATTTAACCCTTGACTCATGTTAGAAAGAAGTTAACATTTATAATGCACTCAAGGTCATTTCTTGTCTGGTATTGGATTGACCTACTTTCTCAACCAGATTATTTTGAGATGCCCCCAGCATGTGTTTAAAGGTCAGTATGCATGAGTAGGGCCCAAGATGGCGTCTCATAGATGTCACGTGATCCAAACAGGATCAGTTAGGTGAAAATGTAGACTAACTAAATTAAGAAAAAAGTTCAGATGATTATCCACCAAAGCCCTTAACTAATATTAGTACAGTCTTACTGGAACGGATGCCAATATTTAATAATAATAATAATATCTATCCGGTAAGAAACAGATGCTTCAATTTTAGTCGTTGATGAAAAATGTTTAACTTTATATTACTTATTTTCCCTATAACATTTTTTATTTGTTACCTCAACCAAAAAGGGAGAAAAGTAATGAAAATCAATTGTCCTAGCGATTTCAGTTGTAAAACTGATTTACTAAGAAAGATTGCAAACCTTCAAGAAGCTGGTCCTTTCTGCCTGAACACAACCAAAAAGTATTTGATAAAGCACACATCCCTTTGTAACTTGTCTTGTTGTGTATAGCATCAGGGCCTATGGGGCAATATTTTAAGAAATGTTTGGTGGAATGAAAAGTGTCTGCGAAAAATTTGTACCATTCGCAACAAATTTTTTCATCAAGAATTAATTTATGTCTTTGAAAATCCCACTTTTTGGTGGGAAGAAAAAGGCTTAACTCTACCATGTTACCTTCTTGTTATTGGTTTTAGGTTATTCAGATGTTTTATTTCTTAGGATTTGTGTAGCCTAGTTATTTAATTTGATAAAATAACTGTCTATTTTTTAAATAAAAAGAAATATTTCAGCCTGAATAGATCATTCATCAGTAGGGAAATTTCTTTTTTCTTAACTGATTAATGAAAAACACTTCTCTTATTATAATTTATTTTCTCTTGATTGTCTTGTGCTTGTTTCTGTAATGTTTATTTTTAAACTTCTGATGTAATTTAGAGACTTTGTATAATAAGTACTGAGAGTTGGTTTCTCTGCAGAGGATGTTGGATGATGTGATATTTTTTCCATCGGTGGCTTTCACAAGTCCATTTTGACTGTGACTACTGTTTTAGTTCTTGCCATATGTTTTCTTTTTTTTTTCTTCCAAATACCTGTAACAATGAGCCTCTTAAAGCAATTTTTTCAATGTACTCCATATCTGAGGAATCACTTGAGATGTCACCCGAACTGAGAAAATATCATCCTTCTCATCATAGACTATTGTAAATATGTCTAACAGTTTGTCATAGAAATATCTTGCTGATTTCTTGCCAGGATCAATGTACATTTATAAGAAATTTGACATATATACATGTATAGTTCACATTCAATTCTGCACTACCAACCGTATGAATTAAAGGATGCGAAATGAACTTGAACAGTGACTGCTCAACTTAACCAGAGATGGCTGATTGGTTGATGAGAGGGTTTGCACTATTATAGTCTTCGTTTCAGTTAATTGTCTAGATTTTCTTGGCACATCAGAAATTTGAATTAGCAGCAGAAGAAATATAAACTGAAGAAAAATAAGAAATATAAACTGTCCCTCTTTTCCCACTACTCCATTGATTTTTTGGATATCTATTATTTAGTCAGCAATAATAAATCATGCCAACATGAGCTCAGCAAGTGTTAGTTGACCTAGTTGACAAGCATAGGTTGGATTGTTGAGTGCTACTGTAGTAGGTTTGGCTTAGTTTGAATAGAGACCGTCAATTTTTTGTTTTGAAATCAAGGGAACAAATTGAAGCATAACAGGACTCTGATTGTATGTTTAAGTTCACAAAAAAATTGAGGAAATTTGTTGGAAAAACTTTTCCCCTAATGTGGTGATATCAAACAGACTAGGATACACTCGCTGTTAGACTGGGTTCCCATACTTGGATTGATCCATCTGAATCGACCTAAGTCCCTGGGGGTTCAGGCTAAATTGCTATCAGCTTGAGAGGCTTAAATGTCTGTCACGCCTACCGAATCAGCTAGGGGTGAATATAATTACCCCCTAACAGTTTTACCAGGTGTGACAGACGTTTAAGCCGGTTAGTTTTACAGCAATTTAGAGAGACTCCCCAGGAAAATAGATCGATCCAAATATCTGTGGGAATGGTCCCTTAGTCTCCTTTTGATGCCATCAGCTAAAGGACATTTTAACCTTCCACAAACAATTTATCACTGAGCAGATGAATTTTCCTTTACTAGTACCTTCCAACCCTCATTTTGATGCTGAATATAATTTTTACTTTTAAATTATTTTGTTTGTAAACTTTTTTTCCGCTTCCTGTCAGAATGTTAATTTTTTTGAGATATATGATTCTCACTTAGAAAATAGACTGACTTGACTTTTTAGTTGCTTTACAAGTTAAGAATGAATATGATGCTGAAAAATTGTCAGGCAGTAATTTAAAAAGATCTCTGATGTTGAAAAATATAAAAGAATACCTTTGTTTTAGCTGACAGTTAAAATTTCTTTTAACTTTTGATACATGGTCATTAATTTTTTTATTCAGAAATATGGCAGCTGTGGAAGAAAAACTGAACCCCACAGTAAATACTGGTAAGTAAACTAAGAACATGAAGTGCTCCCTTTTAATTACTATATTTACTATAATTAATCAACATCTAGTCATTGTAAACAACTGATATTGCATTATTTTCAGTCTTTACAGCTCTTGGCCAAGCAATAACTTTTAAACAAAAAGACTTCATATTACTGCAGGCTAACATCAGCAATGAGTATAGTAAAGACAACCATTTTGGACCCAAAACATTAATATGATAACATGATTTTTTTTTTGTTTNATTNTCAACATCTAGTCATTGTAAACAACTGATATTGCATTATTTTCAGTCTTTACAGCTCTTGGCCAAGCAATAACTTTTAAACAAAAAGACTTCATATTACTGCAGGCTAACATCAGCAATGAGTATAGTAAAGACAACCATTTTGGACCCAAAACATTAATATGATAACATGATTTTTTTTTTGTTTGTTTGTTTGTTTCTGCTCAGAAATGCTGATGGGTAGTTCTGTCATTTCAGAAGTGAAACTTGCTGTGACAAGGCCGCCAGTTGCAAAGAAATCCACATCCAAGTCGCGCTCATGGAATCATTCCAGCACAGAATTAAGACCAAACTCTCCTCTAACCATGGTCACTAGTGTGGAAAGTAGTGGCAGTTCTGAGCATATTGCCATAAAAAGTCTCAATGGAATACACACAAATGTGAATGGGGTGTTGAAAGACATCACTGGGTGGGACCTCTGCAGATGGCAACACCAGGAAGAGGCCTGCCACTGCCCGCAAAACTGTGCCACCCAGCAAGATGGCAAGATTACAGGCAGCCACCATGGCAGAGAAACAGGCAGTGGTAATGTCCGGAGATGATGAGAAAACAGAAAATTGCATTGATAATGGGGACACTTCATATTTACCTAATAAAACAACTGTGATAGACAACTGTGCAGAGAATATAAGTAACAGTGGCAACAGTGATAAGATCTTCTCCAGCTCAGGAGGTATTGATTTAGTATCATCAATGCCAGTGGAAAATGGCTGCTTAGACGAGACAAGTGTTGACAAGACTTTGGTTGAACAGGGAGCAGATTCATCGGGAAATTTAGATAACATATCTCAAGATCAAAGTCTTAGAATTGGATCAACTTTTGATAAAGCTAAAAGTAATAGTGTTTCTTCATCTGTAAGCAGTTCCTGCTGCTCCTCCCCTTTCAGGCAAGATCAGGGCAATTTGTTTGAAAAACTTACAAGTCACTTTAAAGAATTAGAACCAACAGATAAAAAAGACGCTTGTGAAAAAGGAGCTGATGCCAATAGCATCGACCTCAATGGTAAGATATAGAAATATTGTATTAGTATGTTTCTATGGAAACGCACCAAGAGGGAAATACAATCAACAGTGATTGGGTAACATTATTACCTTGACATGAATTTTAAGGCCTTTATATGTTGAGGATCTTTTCAGTTTGTTTTGGGAGGGTCTACCAAGTAATAACACTACAGGTGACTTAACTGGTTTTGACGAGTTCACTTCCACTTGGAAACCCATATGTACCAATCTATATATGTTTTTGATGTTTAGTGAGGGAGCTCTGTCTAAGGGAGCATTCACAACGAGTTGATCCTCAGGCTAACTAGTCTGCATATCAAATCTGGCATGACCCACTTGAAAGCATGTGAGGAGATTTAATTGTGCTGCCTTTGCTGGGACTATGCATGAGGGAGGTGTTTACATTATTGTTAGGAAAATATGTGGCTTGCTTTCAAATGCACATCATATTTGATCCACGGACTAGTTAGTCTGCAAATCAACTAGTTGCGGATGCCCTCTAAGTGATTCTCTTACATAATAACCAAGTTTTTAAACTGTCAGTGTCTCAAAACAGACTATTACAGATGGAATGCTAAGATATAATGCTCATTGTAAAAAGGCATTTACAGTCTCTGCAGTTATACATGCAAAAACAAAAACTGAATAAACATTCTCAACTAGCATAAGTTATGTAGGGCTAGATACAACGAATCAATTCCTTTTTGTGACTTGATTATTTTGAAATCCTTAGGGCCTATGACATGTGTAAGTATTGCAAAATATGTCTGAATGTAAATACTATTCTATTCATTTTCAGAAACTAAAGGAGAGCCTAATTTAGATGATAATCACAGCCAAGATTTAACAAATCCCTCTGAACAAGTAGTCATTTTAGATACAAAATCAGATAATACTGGCAAAAATATTGTAGACAATTTTAATGAAGAAACATTGGAAGGTGGTGTGAAAGATGAAACTTTAGAAAGTGACAAAATTTTACCAGATCACACAGAAGATATTCTTCTTGAAAATGACAAGGACAGTGAGACATTACAAAGGGACGAAGAAGATGACACGGTTCCAGAGGACAAAGAAGATGAATTGCTACAGGGTGACATGGATGACATATCAGAAAGATCTGGGAAGGAAACTCAAATTATTGAACCTCAAAACAGTTCAGATAACTTTATTGCAAATAATACTGAAAATGAAGTCCCAAAAAGTGAGACTCATGTTGATGATCAAAGCAATTTTATATCCAACAGTGTCCAAAATATCGTAAATTGTCAGAACATAGATGGGCATCCAGTCAACCAAGATTCAGTTGAATCAAATGAGCCAACAGCTTTTAAAATTGCAGTAAGAACAAACACAGAAACTGGCTCTGAAACAAATGATCCCACATCAAAACGATCTCCTCCAGGCTCTCCAGAGAATAGGGATCTTGTGTTAAAGAAGCCACGACTAGAAGAGGAGAGAAACCCATCAATCTGTGATAGTAAAGATATAAAACCTCATGTTGAGGATGAGGACAGTAAATCTCAGTTTAAGGAAGAGACAGAAACTTCAGAGTCACAAGAGTCAAAGTCACTCACTCTTAAAAACGAAGATGCATTTACATCTGATAATATTAAAAATGTTTTCAAGACTGATGATATGACCATTAAGCCAGAGATTGAGACCACTGATGGGAAAGTGAAAAGTGAACTGGATAGCAAGTCTCGCTTAGAAGGAATATTAAACAAGCTTGGCTCTCGTGTTCCTCTGGAGAATGCAGAGACATCGCATGAGGATAACGAGGACAGCGCATCTGTGGATAGTAAAGACAGTGCTGACACTACCTCATCAACATCTGCCGACTCAGAAGACACAAGTAGTAATTGCAAAAAGAAGTCCAAGAAAGTAAAACTGACAAGACAGGTAGGTTACTGTACAAGAGGATCTGGCAGTTTGTGTAATCAGTTGTTAAGTGTTTGTTTCAATATTAAGATGAATCTTTCGATTTTCACTTATACTTTTATCGTTGCATTTAAATGGAGATAAAATGTTATTCCAGAGAAAGTTTAAGATGAGAGTCCAAATCCTATCTTTCAGCAACTGGAAGTTTATCTGAAAAGGCATGTAGAAGCCAACTTAAAAACCAATAATGATGGTGTCATCAACCAGCTCCATGAAAAGATTCGTGATTTGCAAAATTGCAATGAGGCATGGAAACAACAAGTGAAAGAAATGCAGCAGCAGGTCCTAGAACTCACCATACAGCACCAGCGTATGAAGAAAAAATATAATATTGCCATCAACAAGCAACACACTCATGCAGTTAAGGTGAGTTGTTGCCATATGCGGTCAGTAGAGTGGTGAAGTTATGGTAGTAAAGAGCAAAGAGCTTGTCATTATTAAGTTGGGTGAAGGTGGATTTGGTCAATTACTTTGTCTTAAACTGCTAGGGGTTTTGACCTGTCTTTTTTAAGTATTTTTTTGTGTAATGAGAAGCTAAGGTCTTAGCTAAGGAAGCTATGTGGTTTGTTATTGTTTAGCATATTTATTTTATGTCAAAAATTAAATTGAGAAATTGAGATCAAGGTTTGAATAAGATTGGCTGTTCTGTACATATGTTGAAATTGCTGTCTCTGTTTTTTCCTGTCTGAACTATTTGGTGTTTATTGGCCAGGAACATTTATTGACACGTCACATTGGTTTCATTATTGATTCACTGTACTGTACATATGTTAGATTTGCTGTCTCTGTAAATTTAAGCAGTATCTATTCAGAGATACAAGCAAGATGATGTTGATTGTGTGTATAATCTTATACATGATAGACAATACAAGTTCCCGTTTTGCTTTTCAACAGCCTCATATCCAAACCAGAACTGTGGCAACCCAGCTGTTCCCAGAAATGGTAAGTAGGACCTTTTACTGGAAGGTTTGCGGTTTAATATATGAATTACCCATATTGATTGTACTTAATGAGAATTAGATCGTCGGCTACTAGAACTTGGTATTCATATATATGTATGGCTATGCTGGTCTTGTAAGGTGCGGGAAACCTAGAAGTGATTAAATTGGTCTTTTTCCTCCCACCCAAGATTTTATAGCCCAATTTCAGTGTGCTGTTATATATAAGTACATGTGTGTTTAGTGTGCCATAATCGGTTATATATATGTTAAATAAATGTATTTTGAGTCCACAAATACTTTATTTTAGTTATCATTAAAATTGATAATAAATAAGCACCCAAACTTCTGTTTAAATTATGTATGAAAGACTCTAGTATAATTGTTCTTACTTAAGATAATGTTTCTGCTTTCAGATTGTGAGGGCAATGAACCAGAATGCTAAGTCACAAACTGCCACCTCCCCAGGTCCAGGCAAGTTCCAGCTAGTGCCTGTAATGACAGCTAGTAGTGTGGCCAAGTCTACTGTCACTAGCCCAGCATCTACAGTGTTAACACAGCCCTCCTTAGTACAGAGTGGGCAAACTACTGTGCCGGTAAGAAGCTTGTTTATCTGTGTAAATTATTGAAATTATGCCCATTTAAATCCATTTTAATCCTACAATTGTATTTGAAAATTTTGTGTCTGATAAAACAATGGAAATCTTGATTAGATTATACAATGAGATATGGTAAGAACATTAATTACCTGATTATATTATTGGCCAGACAACTGACTACTTAAGAAGTAATTGAAATAGATGTCTCGCTGCAGCTATGCTTGCTTACCTTCCCTGTCAAGCAGAAAAGATATTTTCTTTTCTTTTTTTTTATGGCAACTTGTAGATGACTGTGAATGTTATTGGAAGTGTTGTTCAACAGCAGGTTCAGCCATCAGGGAGACCTGTCCCGGCATCCCCCAATCCTGCCACCCAGCTCCCCACAGTGCGGTCCATGATTGAAGCCCAGAGAAGTGGGGTCAATGTTCAGATTGTGGGAGGGAAGCAAATGCTGGTCACATCCCCAACAAGAGGCAGTGTCGGGACTCCAGCCTCTCAGGCAGCCACGGACCAGCCAGGGAAATTGGCGACTACTAGTATCACAGCTGGAAAAGGAAATAATGTAACCACCACTGTCAGTAAGGTGATAGATCTCACTGATGATGATGTGGGTAGTGGTGGAGGAACACAAGAGCTGAAGAAGACAACCAGTATGACACTGGTTCACCCAAGTCAAATAATGCAGCAAAAGATGTCAACCAATCAAATCCGCCCAGGTACTCAAGTGATCTTCCAGCCAACATCATCATTTAATCCTACCGGAGCAGTGTATGTGTTACCACAGAGGCCAGGGGCACCTGCTGCCCCGAGTCAGTTTACCCTGGTCCCTGTGTCCAGTGGAACCGTTGGGACGCGTCCTACTCTGGTTAGTCTTGTCACACGTGCTGGACTGAGGCAGAGTTTGCCATCTAGTGTGGTCACTCAGACAGCTGCCAAGCTTCCACAGCAGGTGACAGTGTCAGCCAAAAAACAGTTGACAATACCACCTCCCCCGCTCCATGCTGCACCTGTACAGAAACCTGCCAGTACTGTCACTGTATCTTCTACAGCACAATCTGTAAGTACATATACTTGTAACAATGTTGTAGAAAACTTGGGTTGTTGGAAATAAGTCTTCAGATATGTTTAGCATTTTGTGTTGCCTCTGCCCGTTTTAGGTCCACAAGGTATACAATCGGGCTTGGTTAACTATTGCTTCCCTTTTTTATTTCTCTAAAATTAACTCTTCTGTATGGTTTAATTTACAATGCTTTTTATGTTTAAATTTAAGAAGTAATCACTTCACAAAATATTATATGAACCAAATGCAAACTGCCTACCTGTGCTACCTTGTCTAACAGGCTGCTTATGTTGGCTTGCAGCCAGTGGAAGCTGCTGGAGATGAAAGCACAAGCATGCAGGGGAGAATAAGCCACCTCGCAAACAAAAGGAATCAGTTACAAGATATTCTAAATAATTTGGTAGGATATCACCTTGTGGTTTGGGAATGAGCAAAAATAGATTTACTTGTCTCATGTGATTATTGGTTGTTGAGGTGAAATATCTTTTCCTGCTTGTTGAATTAGACTCCTGCTTCCTCTGGGATTTTGCTTTTTTCTTCCTGTCTAGTATTTTGGTATTGAAGTTGACAATGTAAATGCGTGGGACACTTGAATCTGCATTGAACTTATAGTATACAGATCCTTTAATGATTGCTGTGCTGAAATTGGCTGAAGAAGGATTTGATACCATTCAAGATCATTAACATTTGCTGGCATGTTTCTGATTATGTTGATTGATTTGTAGATCATGTGACTGGGCACCCTTCGTGGTTATGTTGCACATGAGAAGTAGATAGATCACAAAGTTGTCTGCACACAATGTTCAGTCTTATTTGTTACTAGAAGATGCTGAGTTTTGATAAATTGCTGTCTAAGCTGTAATATGAATAGCATTTTAAGTACTATTGGGATTTGAAAAGTACTATTGGGATTTGAAAAGGTTTGTTTGCTTTGACAGACCAAACACATTAAATTAGAGGATAGTCCTTTGTATTCTGATTGAAATCAATTTGTCATTTCACAGAGGCATCCCGCACCTCTACCTCCGTTGCCAGCCAATCAGGATGTCACAACAAAACTGCCCAAAGTTATTCCTCCAAAACCTGATCTCAAAATTAACAGAGTCACACAAGGTAAGTGAATCAAAATGCCTTCTTGACACTAATTTTAGAAAATTATAAGAAGCATTAGAATAATATGTGGAAAAAATATATGCAAGTGTTGTGTGTTAAAGGACACATTTGATATATAGATACTTAGATTCTCACTCGTTCCCACCATTTCAGGTATTGTGCTGTCCTGGAACATGAATGTTGAATACAGTTATGAACACATATCCTCTTATCAGCTGTTTGCATATCAGGAGGGGTCATTACCACCCAGCACAAGTCTGTGGAAAAAGGTATTAAAAGTCATATTCATGTTTGTTTTTTTCTTGAATAATATGTATGTCAAGCTTCTAAATTCAGCTGCTGTCACATGATAACTGACAAGGGGATTTCGATGCAAATGCCAAACCATCTTTGACTTGAACTTTTTTCAGCTATAGAGTAATAAAGTGTGCATGCAGTGTTGACATATCTAATCATTTCAATTGCATATGATAGGCATAGCTCTCTCTCTTTTATCTACTTTTATTTATTTTTATTTACCAGCAGTAGTTGTTTTTTCATGAATAAAAGATACCTTTTGGAACCAAGTACAGTGACCATTGATCACCCATTGTATACAGGATATCTTTTCCTCCTCTTATCATTAAACGAAGGTTATGAAAAAAAATTCATATTGGATTCTTAAAAACTGTAGTACTTCAGAACTCAAGTTTTGGAATTAAAACATTCTGTAATGTTTATTTATTTTTTTTTCACCAGGTTGGTGAGGTGAATGCTCTCCCACTTCCCATGGCATGTACCTTGACCCAGTTTCAGGAAGGAAATCGTTATCATTTTGCAGTACGCGCAGCAGACAAGCATGGCCGAGTGGGACCTTTTAGTGATCCAAGCAGCATTCACTTAGTTCCTAATGGAAAATGATGTTATATGTTTTAGCTTGCCAAAAAAATTTTAAATGGCTATTTGTCATCACCATTTTTGTATTGTGTTAAACATTTTAGTAGTCGAGCATACTATTTGCTACAAATAATAATGAAAGATGAGAAGTTTTAATTTTTTATCAACTGAAGTAGTCACAGGTATGCAAACTTTCATGTCCTTTTCTGTTATTTCTGTTGCCCATTAGTAGGTTGATGACAATATTACAAGGTTTAAATTTTATAGGTTTACATAGGTTGTATATATTGTATGAATGTTGTCCTATTTAGGTGGTTACAAAGTGTTTGATACACTGAGATTCCTGCATTTGGTACAAGAGACTAGTGTAGACTCCAGTTGAAATTCTAGAAATGTTATAACTTTTTTGTATCTAGTGGTTAAATAAAGAATTTGAGAATGAATTTAATTTTTGTCTTAATGCCATTCCACATTTAACTTAATCACTGTTATTAAATATAAATATTTCATCGATATAAAAAATGGACATATAAAGTAATTCAACTGTAAAACAAGTATATTCCTTCTATCTTGTATTCCTGGTAGAAAACTTGAACCAATTTCTTTCTAATGTAAACCTCCATGCTTGTTTTCTAAATCCAATTCTGATATTATTGAAAAAACATCTGAAGCCTACTCAAACAGTACCTTTCCCATAAAAGAAAATAAACACTAAATTTCATGTTTCATTTATTTTTATTTTCCAGCAGCTGCAAAAGCAATTATTCAAACCTTGTAAATAATTAAACTATTTGCTAAGTAACAAATTAGATTAAAGAATATCAAAATGCATGCCATTAAGTTCAATGTTCAACTTGAAATTTTTTTCATTTTATTACCAAAGGGTGTTCCCAAAATAAAATGTGACATGGTTACAAAGATTTTCAAATCATTTTAATGTTAATATTGTGCTTTAATATTTTTTTTTCAAATTAAACTGTTCACCACTAAATAAAAATAAATGAATTTGTCTCTGTAGCTGAGAACAATAGCAATTACACTTCTGAAACAATAAAATGGTGCTAAATTCCACATCACAAATCTGTCAATACTGAATTCCTTTGCAAAATTTCAAGACTTCATTCAAGGCACTAGCTTTTTCACATTTTGGCTCATCATTTTAAAGCTGGTGCATGCATCTGCCAATTATAAATTCCTGGGTCTATCAATTATGTAACTGTGAAAGTGTTAGGAAAATCCTATGATCCGGGTCAACATGTTCAGTATAATCATGGTAAAAGATGAATACACTTTTCCACAAAAACAAAAGTTTTGATGGAATGGACTTTCTTTCATCAATTGGCTTTTACCATGTAAAATAAATTTCAATTTTCCCTTGTCCGCATATTATTAAAAATGTATGTGCATTATAAAGTTGTTTCCTGTACTATAAAAGCAAATATAAGTGTGAAGTACTGAAAGCAATTGGCTGTCCTCAACTGGAGTGTATTTCATCAAGAGTGTATGTTAAATGAAAGACAGCAAACTTTTACACGTAAATTATTGACCACGTCTGTAAGCATAAGTCTAGGGTTCCATATTCTATCATCCATTTAAAGAGCAACATAGCATCCTTGCTAGTGCAGCAGTTTAGTTATTCTTTGATACCTCTTCCTAAACCAGGCTAGTTGATTATAGGACAACTGCACCTGGAAGTTGTCTGTAACTTTGTAACAGCTGCCTCCACTTACCATCACACTCCAAAAGGCCAGTGTTACCTGAAAAAAAGTCAAAATATAAGTCATACAAAATATAAGTCACTGCAAATAAATATTTAAAAATTTTCACCGTCTGTGGTGTTGCTTTAAATTACAGAATTAAAGAGATACTTATTTATGCATTCAAAACAATCACAATTCATTGTTTTTCAGATAATTCTGTGATGCCCATAGAGACTTACCAATAATAATTAAGCCCTTCTTTGCCCTTGTCAGGGCCACTGTCACCATGTGGTGGTCTGCCAAGGGTCCAAGATGTTCCTCCTTCCAGGCAATAGTTGGATTGTGCTCCTGTCTGATAGCAGGCAAGGAACACACTGTTGAAAATACAGCATAGTCCCATTCTTTACCTTTTAAAGAAAGGAAAAGTTCAAGTTAAGATATGTTCGGGCAGCCATATTTGAGAGACCACTGGTACGACATTTTGCCTTGTATTAGTATGTTAAGACAAGTAAAGTAGTATGGAAAAATAATGAATATTGAAAATGTGCGATAAAAATCAAAATGGGAAATGCACAGCTTAGTTTTTTAGTGAAATGCAAACATTATTATCAAATATAATCAAAAATAAAGGACTATGGATAAATAATGCAAATTGAAAATGTGCGATAAAAATCAAAATGGAAAATGCACAGCTTAATTTTTTAGTAAAATGCAGACATTATTATCGAATATAATCAAATTATCTCAATGTCAAAATAGTTCACTACCTTGTGCTTGTAGTACTGTCTGTGTAGAAATGTCAGCCAACTCTTTCTGCATCAACTGATTACTGATCTCCTCTTTCTGTCCTTCATAACAGGAGAGTACCACAATACTGCCTGGACTTATACCATAGGTTGTGACCAGCTGGGCACAATAATCAACCTGGGGAAACAAGTTTACCATTCGTGATAAACATGTAGAAGGAATAAAAATATTCAAACTAAAATAACAATTCAATATATATATACATATATTTATATACACTTGTTTGACATCAATATCAGAAATTTAAAAATCATATAATTGTGATAAACAAAAATGGCAACAAATATCTATGTATCATTTCTAGTTCATTTTCTTTTAACTTTAAACAAACCAAAAACTATTTTTTGCATTATCAGAAGTAGTTCAACAATCAGTACACATACAGTTGAAGAATTGATAACATATAGCAATGGTAGACCAAAAGCACAAATAAAATACTTACTACATGCTTTGTTTCCAAGTCATTTTTCCTAGAGCATTTCTTCTTATTCCCCCCAGTGTTCACTGTGACAGTCTCGGCCTCACCTAAGACAGAGTGAACCAGTACAGGCCAGACTGGGCCAGCTGGCCACATACTTAGGTTGGAGGGCCTCAGCAAGTCCTCTGTCCCACACAGTAACCCCTTGTATATAGCAGGGGACAGGAACCTGCAGATACCTTGGTGCTGGAAGAGGTGGACAGCCATCAGTGTTAGCATTAAACCTAAAGCATTTTCAATTATCATGACCAGACAGCTAAATAGAACCTTTTATATCTCTTTGACAATGAAAAACATGAAGAATATGTCCAAATCCATATTCAATACATTGTTTTATAATATTTTTTATTAAGATCATCCATCCTTACCATTCTGTACTGGGTCTTCAACTGAACAGCCTTCTGGGAATACCTTTCACAAAGAGAAACTTCAAGCCCTAATTTTCTAGCAGTTTTACTCCAAACTCTTGGTTTCATTTGCTGAATATCTCCCACTAGAACCACCTGTCTTGGGTTGCAGTAAACCAGTGGTGCTATAGTCTCTGGTTCTGTACACATCTCTGCATCGTCAATAATTACCTTCAAGAAGAAACATAATCCATCCAACAATTCATGATAATTATACAAGTAGTGAATCTTTTCATAGGTCATTTTATTGCGAGCATCAGTTTCACCTTTCCTTACAAATATATTCAATATAAAACTTTGATGTGTAATTGTCTATAACTTGACTGTCTAATGTTAACAACTTGACACAACATTCTACCAGGTGTTTTTTGCACCCCTGATTTGTTTTGCTATGTGTTTTTTAAATACTTGTAAACACATTCAATATTAACCAACCCTGTACTAATATTACCATGCATACCTGTCTGATATTAGCCCTTGCTATAAGTTTCTTACTGGTGGCAATGGTGCACAGGATCAACTGTACTTTGCTTAATTCATCCCTCTCAGCAGCTAGGACTTTGTCTTCATAAATCATTAGCTGCTCCTCAGTAACTTCCTGAGGATATTCCTGAAAGCAAACATGACATGTAAGAAAAAACATAGAAAAAAAATGGCTAAGTGTTCTTTAACTTGGGGTCTGGGGGCTACTTAAGATGGAAAGGCACCTCGAAAAAAATGTATTTGATATCATGTTGTGAAAATAAATATTTAGGTCAAATTCTACTACCGTAACAACATCTTGTAAGAACAACATCTATTCCAATGCACGGAACTAGAGTATGACATGCATCTTACAGTGCTGTTCTATTCTGATGTGTGTAACATCAAAAAGTAAATTCACATTTAAGAACATAAATAAAAATAAAGACAAGTCCATCATTTCGACACCAAGGAAAAGTTCTCAAAAAGTTAAAACCCGAATCATGTGTAGCTGGACAACTCACCTTGAAAAGCAAGTCAAACACTCTTATCTCAGTGCATTTGGAATTTGAAGGATGCCTAATGAAATGGTGTAAAGCTAATTCTTTATCCACATCTGTTTTATCACCACTGGCAAGGTCATACATATTGGCCTCTGTCCCATCAAACCGCCTAGGCATGGGGTAGGCCTGCCTGACAATACTATCATTGTACACTCTCACCATTCTTGGTGCCCCTGGTCCCAAACTCTTCAGGCATTCTGAAACAGTTGTATTAGATAACAGTAGTAACATACCTACATACTATTAATCTATTAGTCACATTTCTCTTTTAAATTTATACTAAAAACATTTAATTGTAATTTGGTTTACAACAGAGCAGACTAATGACAAGGCACAATATTGAAACAAATTAAATCTCACCCCCCCCCCCACCACACACACACACACACACACACACACACACACACACACACACACACACACACACACACACACACACACTATCAATGCCATCATTACACCAGTTTATTACTCACTCATCAGGTTATCTAAGCTGTTCTCAGACCAGGCACACAGTAACACCTGTGCAGGTACAGCTGTGGAGGAAACCAGGCTCTGCTGGGGGCAGTTCATGTCTACAAACATGACAGCTAGTCTGGCTGCTAGCTCTGTCTTCCCTGTCCCAGCACAACCTTGGATCACTGTGAAGGACTGCGATAATGCCAAGGACAAGGCGCGGTGCTGCTCTGTGTTCAGGGGATTACAACCAGGGAAAAGTTTCTCCATCATCTGATTAACTACTGAGGGTGCCACACCTACAAGTACAGATACTACATGTTAATATAATAAGGGTGTTCTCTGTCATGAGAAATTGCCTCATTTCTTTGTCCTTCATAATTTACAGTATTATTAATCTTGAGGGATAAAATATATGAAAAGTGAAAGGAAATTGATCCTATGAAAAAAAAGGCTTAACAATGTGTACAAGGAATTACTGCCAAGTCCCACTGCACTCACCAGTTGATATTGCTGGGTTTCCAAGTGCTATATCCTTCACCAACTGAGATGAATTAACCATTTCTTTAATAGCCATTTCTGTATTTCTGAAAACAAGATTACAATTGCTTCATTAAATCTTAAAATAGCACTGTCAATATGTAAATCTGTTAAAATGTATTACAAATAACTAAATTAAAAATAAAAACCACCAAGCTTTAAGAAGATTCTCTTATTTTATAGAATGTATGAGAATGAGCTGAAAGGTAACTAGGAGTGAAAGAGGAGAAAACCCAGTTCACCTACCTAAGATGCTTAGGCTTTGATATCCACTGCAGAGTGCATGGCAATGAAGCACTCTCAGGAGTCAGGAACACAGGCGGGATATCCATAGATGTCTGGTTTAGTACCACATTCACTACTACCTTGTCCTGTCTTGGTGATACTGTTAGGTTTGTTGTGACGCAGTGGAGCACCCAACACACTGGATCATTACCATAGAGATGACTGTAGTTACTGGGAGAGGCAACAGCTATGTTTTGATACCTGATACACAGATAATCCTCATATGGCACACTTACTTCTCCACCTGTCATTCTATTTTCTAGCTCGCATACAAAACTCATCTGACGCTGTTTACAGAAAGAGAGCGGCATGGTGAACATTCCTACTGCTTTGACTCCCGTGGGGACGTCATTAACCTGCCACCTTATGTTGACATGATGCAGGATAAAGCTTTCTCCACTTTCACATGCAATTTCTGCAGCCTCTACAGCCAGCGCTGGCAGCCAAGCCTTCTGGTAAGCATTCACATCAGTGTAATTCTGTTTAGATGCATATTTGGCTGCTGCACTAGTGAAACACTTCACAGGACTCCTGGCATGTTCTAGGCAAATGTCCAGGTTGGGCGTAAGACTTATCAGCTGGACAACTGGACGCAGCATGCCTTGGACAACATCCGCACTGACCTGCACTGTTATGACACCACTGGGTTTAAGTACTAGGCTAAATTCACACTCCTGCCTCTTAAAGGGCAGTCCTTTCTTCATCTCTGAGGACACCTCAGTCACGTACCCATCATCTATCATTGGGAACTTGGCTCTCATCCCTGCTGCACTGATCACCTGGTTCACATTGGAGAAGTCTTCCTTGATCAGGGACTGGATAATCTTCTGCCAGTCACTTGTTGGGATCTGGATGATGTACGGATTGGGGTTGAGGACCAGAGGGGCATCATTCTCCCTACCTGACAATGGGTCAAGCTGCATATCATATATCCTCTCCATCCATTGTACTACTAATGTCTTCTCCTTCCCTTCCTGAGTCGTCATCCACTGGGCATTACCAACTTGCTGAAGGGGGATGTTAAATTCTGGATCTTTTACCTCAGCCAAGAAGGGGAGGATTATCTTGACATTGTCTTGATTTAAACTGCTTATAATCCCAGCAGTCATAAGTGGTTTCTCCTTGAATGCTTGTGCAATACACAAAGTTTGGGCATCTTCTTTGAAGTTAGCCACTCTCACAAGGGAATGAGTGGCAGCCTCACATAACTCCCCCATCTCCTCCTCTGTGTATGGGTTAGGCTTGGACTCCAGGAGAGCACCAATCAAATGCTGTGTTACAATATCCATGTAGGTCTGGGTTGGTGCTGTGAAACTCATATAGTACGGGAGGTTGAGTCCAAAGTTATGTTGCTGTACATACTTGACATCTGCACAGGCATATTTAGGCTTACTTTGCATCTTCTGCATCTGGACAGCAGCCACAGCTAACTGTGGGTGATGATGTGGGGTGGTAATTAGCCTACAAAGCTCTACCACATCATTAAGTTGTGTGGCCTGGAGGATCCCTCCCCAGACTGATGTCTGCACATCTAAATACTCCAGGTCTTCTACTGGACCACATGCCTCCTCTGCACAGCCACAGGGGTGTCCAACACAGGCACACATGCCCCCTACAGGGTGGTAATACTGGGCGAAGGCCACCGAGTTCTTAGCCAGTGGTGCAGCAGCTAGTTTCCAGTTGTCAAAGATCCCATTTCTAGGGGAATCCTGGCATAATAGTGGGGTGCAGCGTGGGAAAATCTCCACTAAAATCCTGCTCAGCTGGTAATTGGCCATAATCATCAGCTCTTTAGTTATGAACTGTACTTCTGGTGCATCTGGACTGGAGACGAGAGCCGGGTTAAACAAAGATGAATTACCGTTTCTAATCTTTGCAAACATCTTGGCCAAGTGGTGGACAAACTTAAGAGTGGTGGCTATATTGTTGGGCAAGACATCACTGACCCCCTTTAACACTTTTTCTGCCTCGCTGTTCTCAACAACATATTTTGTGTTGACCACAGACTTGCGTAACTGGGCCTGAATTATCTGTCCAGTTAACTGGACAGTGAGAAGAACGGACATCACTAATCTATCCTGGCCTTCTTGAATAGAACAGTGGTTGGCTTGCAACTGCTCTGGTATAATGCCAGCCGCTTCTTGTCCTATACAGTGGAAGGTGTTCATTTTCTTCCTTGCTTCTTCATCCAAGTAGCTCCCCTTCTTCACAAAGAAGGCCACATCAGTAACATGTACACCTAGAAGGTAGGTCCCATCAGGCTGCTGCTCTATGCTATAACAGTTGTCGATGTACAAAGAGCCTGGGGACTTGAAGGCAAATGTCATCTTCTCTCTGAAGTCCAATCTATCTGAAATCACTGGTTGAGGGGGGCTGTAGGAGGGTGGGTATAAGTGCTGCAACTCGATCATGGCCTCCACAGAGAACTTTCTCGCAATGCTATACTCTATGGAAAGGATGCGTAATCCACTGGGGATGGTGTCCCCCCTGGGGAGTACTCCTATAACAATACCAACTGGGGCATCTAGGCTTGGTTCCCACTTGGCAAACTTCACCACAAACAATTTGCTACTGATGTCACAAAGGTTGATGCTTTCATGGTGATCAAATACCACTTTCTGATGCTCTGAATTTTGGATGGCATAAACACATACTTCATCTCCCTTGGGCTGTGGAGAGGCTCTACTCAAACTCTCTAGATTATAGATGATTGGAAAATTAGAATTGATGGGTGTTAGAATGCCAGTGCTCTCCTCATTTACCTGGCAAACAAACAACTGGATAAGAGGATCTCTGGCTCTCTTCAATATTCCTGCAACTCTACCAACTATTTCAGAGCCTACATGAGCTTTGACTTCTACCACCACATCATCCAGGTTACAGGCAGACTTGCAATCTGTACTGCTGCCAATCACCACTTTGTGAATGTCAGACTCTTTACCCAAGACTTCACCATATATCTCACTGGAATCCCTGTGGATAATACACTGTTTGAATTGGGAAGGCATTTTGTCCACTAGACCTTTTAGTTGTTTGGTTGTGAAATCAGGTAAACTGCTTACTTCATTATCTCTTATTTCATCCATGAGGTAAACATCCTTATACTCATTTAAGATCTGGGGAGTAAGCCAACTGGTTGCTTGATATATACTAATATGCCCTTTACAGCCAAGATACTTGAGAGACCGATGATGGATAAGCTGGTCTTCTTCAGAATCAAAGACCATTCCCTTCTCTCTGAGGGACTGTAGCATGTGTCTGTTTGACTCTTTGGCTAGCTGGCCTAGAACTTCACTGGGTGGAAACTCCAAGTACATCTCCCAATCATTTTCAGCAGATCCTACACCTTCTCTACCCCCATTAGCCTGCTTGAGTCCCAATGGTCCAGAAGCTGTTGTAGCAGATAAGGGGACATCATCACCAATTGCCATCGAGGCCATGCCATTAACCAGTGCCTGCCCTTCACTGTTACCATTCACCATTACGTCACCACCTTCCACTGCACTTGTGCCATTACATGCAACATTTTCTGTAAGGATTGCTTCTCTGGCTGCACTACCTGACTCTGCGTTCTCTTCTTCTTCTTCATAAGTAAGCTGCATCTGAGCTTCCTGGTACATTCTTCCTTCATCTGAGTTCATCATGCTGATCACAGCAGTTTTGACAGCGTCAAGGGTCAGATTCTGGGGGTAGATACTCTTCATATTCTGACAGTGCTTCAGATATGTCCTCCATACTGTCATACAGTCTCCTAAGGCACACAGAGCCACATGGTCTCCTACTATGCCTACAAATGACTGAGCCCTAGTAAATGCTGTGTTCAGAAGCTTCTGGTCTGACAGGAACCCATAGTCTCCACCTTCACCGTCACATTCTGCTGCAGCACTGATTGCTGGGCTGGATTGTAACAGGTGCCTGCTTCTTACTGTGCTGATGAACAGAGCTCGGAACTCTTTTCCTGGAACAGAAATATCAAGTTGGTCATTTCTCCAAAAATAAGACTAGAACTGCATCAACAGAATACATCCTTGGTATAAAATCAACCACAAGTTATAATATAATTAAAACTGATAATTTACTTAAATGGTTCAAAAAGTGAAATTTGGAGCATAAATACCTTGTACATTCATGACCCTTTCTACAATCACCTGTCCAAGTTGGGGGTTCTTTCGCCTAAGTGATCGTCTTATTCTTGTAACCTAAAACAAATGTTTTACTATTATGGTTCTAAAATGATATCCCCCTCTTACATTCTTAAATAAACAGTTCTCCAACATTAAATATATACTGTTAAATTGTTTTGAAAAGCATTTCAACAAATGAGTAAAAGTGGGAGACAGAACCAATATGAAGAAAATAAAGGCCAATCGAAATTTCATCTACCATTGAACTTAACAAGATTACCCTCATTTCATCTCCTTTTATACTACTATACGCCTACTATATCTTACCTTATCACATCCCACCTTCCCTCTATACTACTATGCCTACTCTATGACCCCATTCCCATAGATATTTAGATCGCTCTATAACCCTTGGGAGTCTCACTAGATTGGCGTCAGCTTAACTGGCTTAAAGGGGGTAATTAACTGCCTTGCGCGCTCGGCTGACAGCAATTTAGCGTGAACCCCCAGGAAGTTAGGTCGATCTGGATGGATCGATCTAAATCTCTGGGAATGCAGTCTATCTTACCTGATCAGTGTATGGTGCCACCACCCCTATGGTATCAGGTCTCTTGTCTCCCCATTCCTGTGGCCAGGTATTCCACAGCTCTTCCACCCTGTCTGCTACCTCCTCCACCTCAGCCAGGTTATAAAAGGAAGTGCTGTCATCATCCTGAATCTCACTGCCTTGGGCTAGCAAAGAAATAAAATCAATTAACTAATTAATAAAATCTCATATTGTTACATAACAAAATACATTCAAAATTTAATTCAGTAAGGAAAGGACGCTGACATGCAATTAAGCAGAAACTGCACTTTAATTCCATTACTAACCATGCAAAATGCAATTTTCTCTCAAAACATGCAATAAAATAACACAACAACGCTATTTGATAACATAATAATACCTGCATAAAAATTGAGAGGTGATAAGTTCGGCACATCAGGCAAGTCAGCCATGGACTCCAGTTTTTCAGGGCCACCATAAAATACAGCTGATATAAACCTGAGGATCTCCATCTTTGACCTGTAGTTCTTTTTCAGTAGAACCTTCAGGTGGCCACAGTCGCTCTGGTGGGAGTACTTATCATAGTGTGTGTACAGTCTTTCAAGGAAGGACTTGTGGAAGCCCTGTCTCCTCGCCTCTGGACTGTAAACCTTGGGACTCATCTGCATGTGGTCCCCTGCTATCACCATACAGGTGTTCTCATCAGCTAGAGTGAAGGGCATGATGGTTTCACACTCCAGAGCTTGGGCACCCTCGTCCACCAGGATATGAGTGAAGTGACCCTTTAAGTTGAGGACTGTCAGTAACAGAGAGGTGGACAGGGTGACAATGACTACTCTTTGTTCTCTGATGTCTTCTGCTGTGGGGTCCACAAAGCTCTGCTTGTCATCTGACAACAAACAGTACTTTTTGACCGCTGGGTTGACCGTGTTAACACGCCTGTTTCTGAAGTACACCCTTCGGATCTTCATATTAGGTGAATTTTTCTTCACATATGGATCCAAATGGCGCAACAGGTACAAATCTGCAGCACTGAATTGAAATAAAATTTACATTTAAACAGCATTTTAAAGAGGCATCAAATACAAATTTGCTATCATTCACCAAATCAAACATTTCTGTACCGCTATCCCATCATATTCAGAATGAATCTGTATTATCCTCAAAATATGTTTTTCTTATCTTCTTTACTTCCCTAAAAGAAACTACCTAGCAACATAATTCAGCCATTACCTATTGGAGTGAGTGCATATCAAGACCCTAGCATCTGGTCTTTCATTCAGCAATATCATCACAGACTGTGCCAATGTTTCCGTCTTTCCTGTCCCAAACGGTCCATAGACAATGAGTGGTGGCGTGTATCCTGTCCTCTCAGCCACAATGTGCTGCACCACCTTCATCTGGTCATCATTGAGCACACTAGAGCTACAATCAGAAATTAAAGTAAACCTTTCAATTAAAATAAATCCTTAAATGCAAGTGCAAAGCAGCTCTATATGGGGTGTCTGCAGGGCATAAATACCACACCCAAACATCTGGATAAATCTAGTAGACTTTCATCTCGATACAGTATATAAAAATACTGTTGACAAAAATGGAAATTGACATTTCAGAAGTGAAACCAATAAAAAATTTCGTGATCATGAAAGATATTTTCCCCTTTATCTATGGGTTTGGGATATTTGAAGCAGGCAATCACTTTTTTTTACTTCACTGCAAAATGTTCACTACTGTCAAGCTTTTTCAGAAAAGTTTTACCTTCAATTATTTTAAGTGTTGCACTAGGTTGCAGGACTTACAAACTTAAGTTTAGACATTAAGAGGTATCTCAAGTGATACATTTTATTTCTACAGACTAAAGTTAATATATAATACTGTACCTGAGTTTAAGATTGTGCACCACATTCCACACAGGGTTAACCTTGGTGACATCAGGGAAGACCAAGTCCACATTCTTCAGATGATCCAGAGCAAAATGCATCAAGGAGAACAGTGCTCGGTTCATCTGGAACTGAATCTGGACTTCGATCTTCTTCCCAGCTTTCAAACCCAGCTGCTGGCAGCACTTGGCAGACAGGCACATGTAGATGTAATCTTTGCCTCGGCCATCGTAGTCAAAGTTTTCTTTCTGCACAATGATTGCCTCGTAGACTTTGTGACTGGAGCTGTCTTTGGGTGCCAGCAGGACTGTGGTCACACTGGTCAGAACCAGTTTCCCAGCATTGGTGTCCTCGCTCAGCTGGTCATTGAGAGGGACTCGGGCAAACAGTTCACCTGGACAGGCAAAGATGAAGGTGTCCTCCTTGATGCTGTCTGTTAACTCCAGGGTGGTCAGGAGGTTGAACCTACAGACAAAGAGATGAAATTACAATGACCAGTGAAATCTTAATTTCAATGCTCTGACCAAATTGATCATTATAAGCATCTCAGTTTTAAAATTATTTGCATCTTATTCAAGGAGATCATTGTTGATTTCAAAATATATTCATCACCACAAATGGTGCAAATCATATAAGGACTTTATTCTACAAATTATCTTCATGCCTGTCTACTGTTTGAGAATTGTCTAAAAATTAGTGACATATAGTACTGATAAAGCTGCCCATAAAGATGAAAAGAAAACCAATGTCTCATACTCTGATATCATATTACTCCGAGTAAGCTCCTCTACTTCCAGAAGTTTATGCATCTTGTGCTCGTAGTTGTGTCTATTCAGCTCCACTATCACACTGTCCTGTGTGATCACAGCATCGGCAGACGATGGCTCTTTATACTGGCGCATAGCTGTAGCAGTGAGTTCGTCTGTCAAGTTGTAATCTATTTTGACAATTTCTCTATTTGTAAGAGTCCATCTGAAAGAAAATAGCTACTATAATAATATTCAACTGAATTACCAGCATAAAGTGCCCAATGTCTTCACCATAATAGCCTCAGACCTCTGGAGCTCAAGAAAAAATGTGAACCGAGTAAACATTATTTATCAAAACACATATCTATAGAGACAATCCAATTCGAAACAATGAAAAAAAAAAAACACTTCACCTGTCAAAAGTCAATTTCTCTCTCAGTTCCTTGACTTTCTCATGAGCCTCTTCTGTGCCCACCTCCACCTGCAGCTTCCTGTACAACGCTGGTTTGACTCCAAAGTCAAATACCACCCACTGGCTGAAGGAACCAAACATTCCCCCAGTAAAATGGACCTCTACTCTATAACTCAGCTGCCCTTTTTCATCTTCCTCTTCAAAGAACTCGCCATCCGCTACCTGGCAATTCTTTGACAGGTCATCGCTGTGAAGGGCAAAGTGAAGACGATCTTTGTTGTACAGCAATGCCACTTTTGCCAGTTTTCTATCAATCTGTGAAAAAGAAACATCAATATCAATAAAAAAAAATACAGAGTTAAATTCAATATGACGTAATCACTTTTCAAAGTAAAAATCACTTTTGTTTCATCTTGACAATATTTTTTTAGCTTCAAATTAACACTACAAGCCAACACCTGACTATGCTGCATGCATATGTACTGAGCAAAAATATAAATGTCCCATGTGAATTATTCATGTAACATGTAATGGGCCACGGACAGTACTCTGTTGCCATATACAGTAATCTGTAGTACACTGCACAACAAAATTCACTTTGTTTGATTTAATATTTAATTCTCATAAAAACTTTGAAATATTGCGTGGGGCATTAATTTTTTTGCTCAGTGTATTTTCATGCTGAAGGTCTTACATCTGGTTCCAGGGTGAAGCTCCAAAGATGTTCACTCTTCTTCTGCTGTTTGTACTGGATAAGTTCATCTGATACTTCCATGTTCACATATGGCAACTGGTCTGCCAGCTGAAGTGAAAGATGATAAAAAATCTATAATTCTTTGAAAATAAATTGTATCATTATAAACTGCCCATTGAAATGAGAACATTGCTTTTGTAGTGACTACTTATGTTTTGTACATAAGATCAGTACGCACCACACTTATGGGAGAATCCGAATTTTCATAATTCTCCAGCAGCTCATCCATGTAAGAGTAGACTTTCTGTTGTTTTGCCATCTGCTTCTTCATCTGGCGCCACTGATACCTCTCCTTCCACTCATCCAGCTCCTCCTGACTGTGGGCATACCTGCAGCTGTTGTACATGTCTGGCATGTTGGAGTACTTACAGGTGCCTCCATTCAAATGCCTTTGAAATAGAAAATAATATTTATTGCATAGCATAATTACTCAAACTCCATACATGCATATATTAGGAGTGTGTTCTCAAATGTGCAATTCTTTTTCAACTTTTGAAACTGAATTTCAAATATTTCTTTCTCCCTGAATCCAAGACCAAAACATTAACATGCAAAAATAATGAATAGTAGTTAACCAGTTTTAAAAAATGAACACACTACACATTTTATATTTTGTTGTAAGATGTGGAATCAGTGACAATGCCCTGCCACTGACAATGGCCCACCACTGACAATGCTCTACCAATGACAATGGCCCACCACTGACAATGCCCTGCCACTGACAATGGCCCGCCACTGACAATGCCCTGCCACTGACAATGCCCCACCACTGACAATGCCCTGCCACTGACAATGCCCCACCACTAACCTGTGACACAGCTCATATCCTCCAGTTGAAATCCCCCAAGGTGGCTGCCTGTAGTTCCACTGGTGTTCCTTGTCAGAGTTCACATTGAACACATGTCTGTCTGAAGTGGTGTGGTCATCCCACTGCTTCTTACTATTACACTGTACGCCACAGTAGCTGCAGTAGTTCACACTCTGGACCATGTCAGAGGGGACAATGGCCGGTCTGCTTGGGCCAGCTTTTTGGACAGTGACTGATGTATGTCCCTTGACAATTTTCGACTTGGCTGCGTTTTCTTCCTGTGTTCTTGTGCTGGCTGCTACCAGTTCATCCAGAGTCAATACTGAAAATTTCATACAACCACTCCCCATTTATCTTGTAATGTTTCAATCTTTAATAAAGGAGGACATTTGACTTGAAGACATAGTCTAAATTGGATCTGGGTGAAAAAAAAATGACCTCTATTTAGATTAGATGTGATACTCTTTCTATGCTGATTATAGAACCAGACTTTCAAGGATTAAACCACTTTTTATACAAAAGCCATTCCAACCTACCATTATTTTGAACTTGCCACTTCCATACTTCTATTTCCTCATTACTGTGAGCAAACTGACAAAGGCCTCCTCTGGCAAAATCACAGCTTTTGCGGGTGCTCAAATTCTTGCAAATCACAAATTTCAGGCCTGTTGGGATCCTCTTTGGCAGAGCTCTGATTATTTTATTGGGACCCTGGAGAAGACAAACCTTGTTGGCCTCCCACTGGTGTCCCAGTCCTGCAGCACAGCGATCCTGGTCTTTGTTCTTTGTCTTAATGTTCCCCTGTCTGAAACACGGCCCACACACATACAGCACTTTATAATTGCAGACCACAGGAGGCTTGACCTCAGGGGAAGGGGCACCTGCTTGCCCTGGTGTATCTGCAGCTAGAGGTATACTCTGGGCTTTGTTACCTNACTTCCATTTTTGACACTTTATTACACAATACACGATCACAAGTTTACCATCATTTTTACTTAATCAACTACTAATGTTGTGAAGATGCAGGAAATGTGAAACAAACACCTTTACGTATTTTATTAGTTAAATAATGAGATTATTAACATGCCTAAGAATTGAATTTGAGGAAATGTGAAAAAAACAGCATAACTTCTAAAATAATGGCCCGATAATGCTGATTTTCGAACTTGACCTGCATTTTAGTGAGATTGATTACTCCTGTGAGTTTCATGACAACAGGCCTATCGGTTTTCCTTAAAATGTGTTAACAGTGTTGCATATATGCTGAAAAGTGAAAAAACAGCATAACTTCTACAATAATGGCCTTAACATGCTGATTTTCGAACTTGACCTGCATTTTATGAATATTCAACAGTTCTGTAAATATACAGCCAAAAAGTTAAACTGTCTTCCACTTATCGTGTTAATGATGAAAGTGCACGGCGACGGCGACGGCGACATCGACGGCGACAGGGACGGCGACAGGGACGGCGACGACAGACGCAGGTGATGGCAATATGTACAGACACATCTGTGTCTGTACATAAAAAATCTTTGAAACTCTTCTAAAGTCATGGTTCAGTGTTTAATATCTGAATGACTTTTATGAAAGATTTAACAACCTACTTAGAACATGGTTCTTAAACTCTCTCCAAAACATAAGATCAGTACGCACCACACTTATAGGAGAATCAGAATTTTCATAATTCTCCAGCAGCTCATCCATGTAAGAGTAGACTTTCTGTTGTTTTGCCATCTGCTTCTTCATCTGGCGCCACTGATACCTCTCCTTCCACTCGTCCAGCTCCTCCTGACTGTGGGCATACCGGCAGCTGTTGTACATGTCTGGCATGTTGGAGTACTTACAGGTGCCTCCATTCAAATGCCTTTGAAATAGAAAATAATATTTATTGCATAGCATAATTACTCAAACTCCATACATGCATATATTAGGAGTGTGTTCTCAAATGTGCAATTCTTTTTTTTGAAATTGAATTTCAAATATTTCTTTCTTCCTGAATCCAAGACCAAAACATTAATATGCAAAAATAATGAACATTAGTTAGCCAGTTTTAAAAAATGAACACACTACACATTTTATATTTTGTTGCAAGATGTGGAATCAGTGACAATGCCCTGCCACTGACAATGGCCCACCACTGACAATGCTCTACCAATGACAATGGCCCACCACTGACAATGCTCTACCAATGACAATGGCCCACCACTGACAATGCTCTATCAATGACAATGGCCCACCACTGACAATGCCCTGTCACTGACAATGGCCCACCACTGACAATGCCCCAACCCTAACCTGTGACACAGCTCATATCCTCCAGTTGAAATCCCCCAAGGTGGCTGCCTGTAGTTCCACTGATGTTCCTTGTCAGAGTTCACATTGAACACATGTCTGTCTGAAGTGGTGTGGTCATCCCACTGCTTCTTACTATTACACTGTACGCCACAGTAGCTGCAGTAGTTCACACTCTGGACCATGTCAGAGGGGACAATGGCCGGTCTGCTTGGGCCAGCTTTTTGGACAGTGACTGATGTATGTCCCTTGACGATTTTCGACTTGGCTGCGTTTTCTTCCTGTGTTCTAGTGCTGGCTGCTACCAGCTCATCCAGAGTCAATACTGAAAATTTCATACAACCACTCCCCATTTATCTTGTAATGTTTCAATCTTTAACAAAGGAGGACCAGGTGAAGAAAAATAAACAATCTCTATTTGGATTAGATATGATACATTTTCTATGCTAACAGAAGCAGACTTTCAAGGTTTAAATCACTTTTTATACAAAAGCCATTCCAACCTACCATTATTTTGAACTTGCCATTTCCATACTTCTATTTCTTCATTACTGTGGGCAAACTGACAAAGGCCTCCTCTGGCAAAATCACAGCTCCTGCGGGTGCTCAAATTCTTGCAAATCACAAATTTCAGGCCTGTTGGGATCCTCTTTGGCAAAGCTCTGATTATTTTATTGGGACCCTGGAGAAGACAAACCTTGTTGGCCTCCCACTGGTGTCCCAGTCCTGCAGCACAACGATCCTGGTCTTTGTTCTTTGTCTTAATGTTCCCCTGCCTGAAGCACGGCCCGCACACATACAGCACTTTATAATTGCAGACCACAGGAGGCTTGACCTCAGGGAAAGGGGCACCTGCTTGCCCTGGTGTATCTGCAGCTAAAGGTATACTCTGGGCTTTGTTTCCCNTCCCACTGGTGTCCCAGTCCTGCAGCACAGCGATCCTGGTCTTTGTTCTTTGTCTTAATGTTCCCCTGTCTGAAACACGGCCCACACACATACAGCACTTTATAATTGCAGACCACAGGAGGCTTGACCTCAGGGGAAGGGGCACCTGCTTGCCCTGGTGTATCTGCAGCTAGAGGTATACTCTGGGCTTTGTTACCTACTGGGTTCCTCTTGTTGACAATTTGGGCACTTTGTTTGACAATATCATCCTGGGTTAGGGAGCTGTCCCTCTCTAACAACCACACATCCCTCTCGACTAAGCTGTGGGCAAAATAGCACTGCTCGCTGCTTTTCAGCTGACAGAACTGTTTCATGTAACAAAACTTGAAGTATGCCTGCTTCCCTGTGAACTTCTTCTTCCCTATGGTGGTGATCCCTGATGGCGACATGTGGACCAACAGCTTGTTCTCCTCCCAGTCATGCTTGGCTGGCGACGTGCAGTGATTCACCAGTGGTGACCTATAGCTTATCCTGGGAGGCTGACCATAAAAACAAGAATGGCAAAGGTACCGGAACTCTCCTCCATAACTAGTGAGAAGCTTCTCCACGGACAGCAGGTTTTCATGGGACTTGTGCTGTAGAGTAAATTCCATTATATTGAAGCGTCCATCTTTTTCTAGATTCCACAACTTCTGTTCTTCATGGTTGTGAGCAAAGCTGCACAGGTCCTCCCCTACTTTACATACTCTAGGGTTAAGCCCAGTGTAGTGTGTGCAGAGGACATAACTGCCATAAAATGGACGATGGTTTCTCCTGTCTCGCACTCTCACATAAGTATTGCCTCCTTTAGCCATCACAGCCAGCATATTTTCTTCACAGTTATGCTGCGGTGGCGGCGCATGCACAAATGTACCCAACACACCAGCAGGTTTAAGACACTCCCTACAAACTAACTTGAAAGTATGGGTTTGCTGCAATGGAAATTCAATTCTTTGTCCCTTTTCACCACCACTCACAGGCATTTGGACAATCCTGTTCTGCATGTTTTGCAAATAGGAGAAATCTTGCTCCCCTCTGCCATATCCCTGTGATGAAGAGCTCCTGAAAATCCTCATACCTTGGTTGGGGTTATTCATCATGCCATGACCAGGATATTGTCCACCAGGGGTCAGCATCACGCGACCTCTGCCCATGCTTTGCCTCAGGCCACCATGCACATATGATGCCTGGTATCCCTGTTGGTGTGATGCTGGGTATCCCTGTTGGTGTGATGCTGGGTACCTCTGTTGGTGTGATGCTGGGTACCCCTGTTGGTGTAATGCTGGGTACCCCTGTTGGTGTGAGGAGGAATACCCCTGTTGGTGTGATGAGGAATACCCCTGTTGGTGTGATGACGGGTACACCTGTTGTTGTCTCTTGGCTTCCATGGCAGCTTGTAAGGACCTCTCCCTCACTGAATATAAAAATGAAACACAAAAGAAACTTTGAGACAGGAGCATTACAATATGTAGGTGCTAACCATGGGAAATTTAAGGATTATTTAACAACCTAGAAATTAAAAGGAAATCCTGGTAAAAATGAAAAACAAAAGATGGGACTTAAAAGCATACTGATGTGTAAACTGAGAACAGAGCTGTAAAATTAAAAAAGATAATTATCTCAGTACTCACAAATATTGGTTGTGTGTTTGCTGATAAAGTCTGCTATACTGAATCCTCCTTCTCTGTCAATAGCCCATAATTCCATTTCTTCATCATTATGTGCAAATGTACAACGTGCTTCCCCTAGATTTGAAATAAGTAACATTATTCAGCTTTCAAACTTCAGATCTTAAAACGAACATCCTATAACGAGACAGCAAAGTTAATAATTATACAGACACCATACAGGAAACAAGGCAGCAAAGCTGTCAAATGTTCAGACATTATACAGAAATAAAAAGTGCACAAAATAATGTTTTGGCCAATTTTGATGCACTGTAACATAATGCTTTAAAATAACATAATCACTCTTACCCTCTTACATTATGTACTACAGGTGACATGGACATTGAAAAACTAGGAAGTGATTCAATTCCATGTGATATAAAAGCCACTGAAAATGCTAATGAGTGAAAAATCAAGATTTCACACATAAAAAAAACAGAATTATTACCATAAATGTTAACTGATAATGCTGATTTTCGAAAGCAACCTGCTGCTTTACCAAAAAAAGCCACTCAGTAAATTTTAAGTTGAAAATAAAATGATTTGGAAGTTATGGGGCCAACATCACCAAAATTGTGCAAAAAACCAGAATAATTACCGTAAATGTAAACCATGATGTAAAATGTTACTGCCGATTTTTGAAAGCAACCTGCCTCTTTAGCAAACAAAGCCACTCAGTAAATTTAGAGTAAAATCAAAACACGGTTTACAGTTTATGTATTTAAAAATAGGATCAACCCTTCTACGTACATATATAATGTACCATAACAGTTAACGCAACTCTTTATAACCAGTAAATAAATCAATCACAGGAAGAGTCTAATTGAACATAACCAATAAAACTACAACTGAAACATACAGTGCAGAAATACTAGCCAATACGTACCCACATTACACGGCTTCTGTTGCAAGAAGTGCCTACAAAGCTTGTAAGTGCCAACAAAATGGACATTAACTGGCCTTGGACGTATCTTCAACCAAGGTCCATTGCCTTGTTTCAGCTTCATCAACAGAAAGTTCTCCTCACACAGGTGATTCTGTACTGTGGACAATCTGTAGCCATTAACCCCCTCCCCTATCTGCTGGAAGCAGTTTCGGCAAGCAAATCTGTAGTCATACCACGAGTCATATGGTGGTGGGAAAGGCGGAAGAGGAGTAGGTAACAGGCCTCTAGAGGGCACCACACCAGCTTCTTGGGACTGTACATTATTTGTATTATAACTGGGCTGCTGGTACTGTTGGGATCTACGTGGGGATTGTGGGACCACCTGCTGCCAAGGGTTGCCTTGTCTCTCCTGTCCTTGCTGTGAGCGGGGACTGTTAGCACTTGCATCCATAGCATACATAAGCTGTTGCTGCCCCATCCCTACTGAAAGTATGAATTACAAGTGTAAATTTCAAAACATTTCATGGTCACTAAATTTGTTTTGACTTGATATTAGAAGTTAACACCTATATGTATATCTTCAGTTCATCATTTAATAAACAATGACACTGAAAAAAAAGATGTAATTACCTGACAGATCAAAGTCAGACAGATCTCGATTTCTACTTGGACTTTTGGTTTGGACCTCTGGTTGTTTTTTGCTTGCCTCAGTCTGTAAACAGGATTTATAAAACAGTTTATTTTCAACCACTGTATATAAACAGTTATGCACCTTTTTGGTAAAATGTCATTAAAAAAATTCTGAACACTCCAGTAATGCATCAATAAGTTAAATGCACTTCCAATCCTAAATTAATGACATAATAATTACATGCACCAAAATGTTTTTGTAGTACAGTGAATGTAGGCCATCTTGATGAGTATTATATGATAAACTACTGCATGGTACATAAAGAGAGAAGACTGACTACCAGTGTGTAGAATGACAATACAGAACTTTGAAAAGAGTTCATAATCAAAAATCCCATAAACAATTTTTAAACATTTCATAATTACAATGTCTCTGCTATATATTAAAATATCTATACCTCTCTGGTAGAGGCAGTGCTGACAGAGCCAAGATTATTTAGTGCATCAAACCGATTAGCACTAGGGATAGTAGTGATCAAGCTTTCATCCTCATCTTCTTCTTCATCTTCATCCCCTGTGTCATCTTCATCCGCACCACTCAATTTTACTCCAAGACTTACTACAATTACAAAACTCACAAGATATGCATCTGTCTGTATAAATGCAAAATGCAAAAAAAATCTGCTTGAAAATGGACAAATTCATTCATGAGAATTATGGTTCAATACTGGCTAACAAATAAAATTTAAATGACCTTGTATTGCCTTTGAAATACAAATTACAATTTTATCTGCATTTAAATGTTGAATGTCTTTTACCATTTTTCTTCTTGTTTTTCTTCTTTTTGTTATCTTTTCCAACATCAGATGCCTGTTGAACAAAAGAATTTATTGTGTGTATGAAAGATGAAAAGTCTGATATGAAATTTAACAATTCCATGTAAATAACTAGACAGGAAGACTGACATATAAACAGATGTTAGATTAGAATATATACAGATACTTTCTTTTCTATTTACCATTGTCCACTAAGAAGTCATACGGTATTCCATCGTCCTTCTCAAGTTGATGTAACAATCACCTATTTTTACACATATTTCAGGAAAAATACCAGGAAACACTTGTACTGGTACTCAGTTTACATCTTATAATTAAAATTACGGTACACACACACACACACAAAAAAAAACATTAATCTCACCTTCTTACTAACAAACACATTAGTGCCCAGTAACCAACTCTCATCAACCTCCTCTTTTTCCACAGAGCCACTGTTGGCAGAGGCTTCTGCTGGCAGCCGGACTGGTTCAACTTTCTCTGCCTTAGCACTATGAACTTTACTTGAAAGTTCACTGATAAGGTCTTGAAATCCTTTACCAAAATCTCCACTCTTTAAAAAAATAATATAACACATTTTGAAATAAAATACACTCAGTCACACAAATAAAGACTACAATTATACCATATACCATATTTTCTTAGAACCTAAAAAAGGTTATCAATTTCAGCAATGTGTAAAAAATAACCATCACCCAAATTCCAAACAGACTTTCAAATATATTCTTCAATGTTTCTTATATTTCAAATGTTTCCAATTTCAATGGAATTCACCAAAAATAAAATAAGCATAATACTTCAGCTCTCTTCTGTCCTTCTCTTGCTGTTTCCAAGGCTTCCTTGTACTTCTTCAGTCCTTTTAAAGCTACTGCCTTGCGATAGTACGCTTTGGTATTTTTCTTTAGGCTCACATCAATGGCTGTAAAATCAAAAAACATTTCTCTAAAATTGAAAAATTTTTAAGAAGTTTTTTAAATCTTTGCCTATTTGACAAAAGTGGAAGATTTGCTTAAATTTTACTGATAAAAAGATGGCTTCCTTACTGCAATCAATACTTAAACAGCAAAAAATCATTATACCAAACGTTTTCATCCAAATATTACCAATATCTCTAGTTTAAGTTCTTTACTAAAATCATACCCAAATAATGACTATAGATAAAATATCAACAAAATCAGACTCACCCAAGTTTGCATCTTCTAGTGCCTCAAAATATCTCCCCTAAAAATGCCAACAATTGTGATTTTTTTTCTTTTTGTAAAATTATATAAATCTTCACATAAATTTCTAAGAAAATCTGCAACAGATTTCACAGAACAAAAATTCAGATTTGACTTCAGCACCAAATGTAAGTGTACTTTCACATAAAATAGATTAGTCACAGTAATATCAATATTGTGCCTGTCTCATAAAACATTGTACTTTGCTTCTTGTGCGCACACACACACACACACACACACACACACACACACACACACACACACACACACACACTGTTTTTTTAAACCCAATCTGTAAGCCATAAATCAATATTTTGTTTTATGTGTGACCTTACCATCTTGATACTGCAAAAGGCCCTGTTGGAGAACAAAGCAGACACAAAGTCTTTATCAACATCTTCATAATGTTGTGTCTCCAGGCTCTTGGCTATAAACAACGCGTTCCTGTAGTGTACCCATGCATCGTTATACATTTCTTCTTTAAACTTCATGTTTCCTTCCTCCTTTAAGTCACTGAGAAGAGTATACAACTCCGCCTACAGTAGATACATAAAATTTATCTGAATAGAAACCTCATTTTTCATAACTTTTTAACAAAAAAACTGCCGTTAAAATCAATTTAAAAACTAAAAGTTAACAAAAACTGTTGAATCAGGATAAAGAAAACTTTGATGTAACATAATTTGTAAACTTATTAGACTACTACCTTTGATGTTCTTGGCTGCTCCCCATTCCTGAAAACAAACAAAACAAAAAGACATGATTGTATTTGTAAAATAAAAACACACTTAAGAAAGGAAGATGCTTTTTCATTTTTAATATTACATAAATAAAGACACCATAATTATTGGTTGAGTTTAAAGTTTAAAGAGAGCAATCCTATCTAGATATTACAGTGAAGATAAATAATTCAATTCAAAGTCTACTTCAGTGCAGAACTTACAACTTCAATAAATCAATAATTTATCAAACACTACAAATATGCCACCTGTTACATTTAAGGACACACATCATAAATGAACCCCCTTCAGCTAAGAAAACATCCTTCTTTTCCAATATTCATTCACAATTTATTCTATTCAAGCACCTGACTTCTTTTATTTTGTATCCATCACCAGGAAAATCTACAATTCACCCTACTTACATGAGATCTTTCCAATGAGGCATAATCCGGGCGATCCTCTTCTCTCTCTCACCAATCTGATACAGAATTTCATCTTTACTCCATGTCCAGGGGGCACCCTTTGGGGAATGCCCTTTTCCTTTACCATCCATCTTTTCTAACACAGGCTTGACTGCTTCATGTCCTAAAAGAGCAAGTGACTAATACACGCATACAAATCACATGCACACAACTGGCTTGAAATGAGACACAAAAAATAAGAAGATATGGTAAGTTGATAAAGATAAAAATCCACAGCTGGTTGGTTTATATGCTGCATTCATATCTCATCATGCCAGGATAAAATCCGTACTTGTGAGCAAACAAAGTCTTTATCCTCAAATGCTGAAATACCTTATCTATGTATGTCAAATAACACCAGAGGATACTGAAGAGCATATAAAAATGTAATGAAGTATTTGAATAGAATGTGCTATAAGCTTTGCTTTTTTGTACTATTGTTGACACCCCAATATTTCATTTCAAAGAATATTGCTATCTGTCACACCAAATTATGAAATCAAATATCACCAAAACACCAAAACATGAAATCAAATATCACTGAAATATGAGATAATATTTTTTCCATTTTGTATACAGATAAAAAATGTAATTTATGTTTATCCTCTTAATTATGACGGTATAATGTTATCAAAAATGCCACCCCTTAGTCCAAAGACAGCCAAAAGTTCACTTAGGCTTAGGAAGGAAAATTATATGTACAATAAACACACAAAAATTCTAGTAATTTATATGGTCCAATAATCACTTGACAATTAATAACAAAATAACTGTTGAAAACTATCATGTTCTTTGCAAGCAAACAATTTGTGACTTCTACCCAACCATTAAAAAGGTTTAAGACCAATGAATCTTTTGATGAATAAGTCCCTCCCTGTTGAAACACATTTCACCTTGATTAATTTCTTTTATCTTAATTTATTTGATATTTCATATTTACAATTTAAGTAGTTACAGTAAAGACACCAAAATGTACTAAGTACATTATCTAAAGCAGTACAGACATGCAGTGGATAACCTGGATAGTTCAATGTATTGTGATTAAAGTTTTAATCCAAAACCTGGTGGATAATGAAAATGTGCTGATGTCAGCAATACGTACGTGGCAAGTAAAAACAAGACATATACATTAACTGATTCATTGGTTTATTTTGGTTATCTGATTCTTCCGGTTTCTTTTTGGACAAATCATCCATATGCTAAAGCTGTGGTCCAATTTACAACTGTTGTACCTCAGTCAATATATATATTTTTTTTAGGTCTGCAAAACAACATATCGATCTCAGGCAAAGTCAATAACTGTACATACACTCTAACAAAGTTGTAATATAAAATCAAGTTCAACTTGATTGATTGTATTTCATTGGAACACAGCTTTAATTTACATGGAATGTGTCGACCTCGCTTTCATGCATTTTGTTATTTTAAATTTTGGTGCATTTGACCCCCCCCCCCTTAAACATCATGAACTTAAATGACACGGGTTGGTCTTATGAATGTAAATCTATATAGCCATGAACAGAATGGAGCGCCATGTCCATACCGTTGGTTCCAAACTAAAAGAATGAAAATTACAAACAAGCCGAATTCATTAACCATATAAGTTCTCATGAGAAAAGGTCGCACTTATTTTAAAATAAAGTCTGCAAGCAGGTTCCACGCAAGCCGTTCACAAGTCAAAACATTTTTCACGTCAATACTGCAAACTGCAGTCAATATATGTACAATGTGTACGGGTATATGAGGACAAGACAAAAGTTATATTCACACTGTGTTCAAGTTTGAAATACTACACTATATCTCGTCAAAATGCACTGCAAGGTCTATAAAACTCATACCATTGACTCTCTTCTTGGTACGCCAACAAATTTCTGACAAAAGCTGCAAAAACCTACTTTCACAAACGAAGAAACTGAGTTTGTTTTAGCCAGGAAGCTGGTGATGGCGCCTCATAAGCTTCTCGATCACATGTCACTTTACTTCACAGCCATTGGCTGAGGATGGGGGAATCCCCTGACCTGAAAACACCACATGACGGTCACATGAGTTGTGAACAAAATGGCAGACGGACGAGCCTGCTGTCGGGCTGCAATTGTCCTGACCGTTTTTATCTGTTATGCGAAAGGTACGTCAGCATTAATTTTTCTTTTGGCGCGGACAATGTTCGCTCGTTTTTCCTTGTTATTTTCCAAATCGCTGATGTGTAATTTAGCTAGATCTATAATACCTACCCATTTTTATTCGTCCCTAGATTAAAATTATAAAGCCGAATCAAAATGAATCAATTTAAAGTCAAGATCAACTTAATAGACAGTGTTAAAAGTATAACATATTTATGTATTAAAAAAAACACATGCACTTCGTTTTCAGGAGAGTTTATGCAAGGTTCACTGTATGTAAACGCACCTATGAACTTTACCTTCAAGTCTGACACACTGGACACCAAGAATGCAGCAGCCTACGCCACTTATAATGATACATTGTTAACCACTGGCTGGGGAGTTCTGGATATTAAAGCAGGATATGGAAAGACACTGCCGGACAACCAACTTATGTTTGCAGCAGGTGCTATCGAAGGGGTTCTTACTGCAAAGTATGCACTGCAGTCTATCTCCAAATTCTAATTAATCAGTTAATATAACCAAGCACTTCAATTGACATCCTTGTTATAACTTATTTAAATATTTTTATGTTCACTGTTGTCCTTGAGTCCTAATGATGTGGGTAAAGTTAAGGGAATTATTTCAGTTGTGTTCTAGATCTTTAACAGAAGCTCTCAATATTTTCCCCTACGTCTTGTGTTCAACAGTGACACACTGCTGAAAACCCAAGGAATTTTTCTGTCAGTTGAGATAAGTTATAAGAACAACCATTCACTCATTGTCACAGTACAGTCTGGTTAATCAACTGTACCTAATTCTGGCATCCATCAATCCTCTCCCTGATAACACAGCTGACTTGTCAAGAGCTTCTGCTGGCAAAAGCATGCTCTGTATAAATACAGAAAATGTAAAAAGATAGAAAACACTTTACAGGTATATCTGACTTCCCGAAAAACTTCTTATCTACAGTAAATTGATCCTCAATTTTAGATAGACCATCTGTCATACATTTTTTGCAGATATGTTTATTTCATTTTATATTCCAGGCGAATGTACCAGCATTATACAAATATGTATGGTGTCTTTCTCAATGGCAAAAGCGACAAAGTTATAGATGGTTTGAAGAGCTTTTATAATGCTCAAGATAAATGGATCCGACAGCAGATAGAAAAAAATCTCTCAGATCCATTCTGGAGACATGTGTGGTACATACTCTGTCAGCTGGATGGCTTGTACCTTGGGTATAAATACATGGCAGATCAAAAAGTGGTACGTAATTTTATGAAAAATTGGAATTTAAAAGTTAGGCCTGACAAATTCATATAATGGTTACCAAGCATGGCTGCTGCTATTTTTGAGAATATCAGAATTTTTATCCACACTAATTTTTAATTTTTATCAAATAGAAAAAATGCTTTGGGCATTTGGTACATTGAAGAAATCCACATTTCAACACTAGAAAACCCTTACTACTGTACTGTTGTTTTTATTCCCTAAATTTGTCAGTAATGTTGATATGACATTTCCACACTCCCTAGATTGAAATGTAAAAAAAATTCACTGATCAACCCTGAAATTATTAAGCTGCTATGCTCTGTTTTATCTTTATTGGAAAACTGGTCAAATTAGGTCACCTATGATGTTAAGAGTATCAAATTTTTCAAAAACAGGTACCAGATATAGGATTTTTTGGTGTCCAATTTCTAAATGGTGCTGGAGATCTCCTTGACTTAATGAACGTCATTGATCCAGATAGCAGACCAGACTTCTCTAAGATGACTCCAGATGAAATCCAGAGTTATATTGCATCTAGTGGACATTGTTCAGCTTTGGTGAAGGTTGGCTAAATATGAATTTCACTCAATATTGACTTTTTTACATTAAACATTGGCATACACACCTTGAAGCAAATTTCTACAATATTTGTATTGATTTTTTGGTTTGATTTTTTATTGTTTCACTTGAATGTCAGTAAGTGCTGCCAGATCATCATTTTATGATTTTTAATAGGTCCTTAGTCGAGCACTTAGATGTACATAACCACATGAATATTGTTACTAATGGAAGAGATGTTATTTAGCTAATTGTTATGTTAAGTTTTGATGATTTGCCATTTCAGGTGACAGGTGCCTATGAAAATATTTTTATGTCACATTCAAGCTGGTTTGTCTATGCAGCAACCCTTAGGATCTATAAACATTATGATTTCAATGTCAGAGACAAAGACACAGCAGCAAGACAGCTGTCCTTCTCAAGTTACCCAGGTATATTCATCAGTCATGCAAAGATGATGTTTAGACATACAATTTTTTGTACCAATTTATTATCTTAATTAATTAGTTCCAATAATCCATTATAACTACCAGTAACTTAGAGGCTTATTATTAATGTGTTTATGTACAAATATCATATACATTCACTTCTCTTTTTAGGCTTCCTAGAATCTCTTGATGATTTCTACATAATGGGCAACAATATTGTTGTCCTCCAAACTACAAACAATGTCTTCAACATGAGTTTGTATGACTATGTCAAGCCACAGTCAGTGTTTGCATGGCAAAGAGTCAGAGTGGCAAACATGATGGCAAGAAATGGCCAGCAGTGGGGGGAAATAATAAACACTTGTAATTCTGGTTGGTAAACTTTTAATGATTTAACTGTTGATATTAGCAGTATGGTTGTTAATTGATACTAGTACATAAGGATGTATTTGGGAGACTTGCATTCCCAATTGATTTTTGTTCTTTGTCAATAGGTATAACCTTATGTACATGTACATTAATTGTACTTCATTTTTATATGCACATGGCAGTAACAACAGTCTGATGAGGGCATTTTTGTACACTTTAATGTGGTATGGTTGTATTATTTATTATTTGCATTCCATTGTTTTTCAGGAACATACAATAATCAGTATATGGTGATCAATTTGAATCAAGTCCATCTTGGCAAAAGTTTGGATGATGGAACTCTGTATGTGGTGGAACAGATTCCATCTCTAGTCAAGTATGCAGACGTCACTCCAATTCTTAGAGATGGTATGTACCAGTGCATGGACCTCTGTGTAAAACATGTAGATAACCTAATACATGCATTTAGTATTTAAGTGTATAAGGTCAGCTACAAGGTCATTTAACTATTTTTTGTGAAGAGTTTTCAGGGAATTTTATATGGGATTTCTGGCAATTAGTGTTGACACTGTGATGTTTTGAAAGAATACTTTCTGTGTGTTACTTTGAAATTAATTTTTTCTCAAAAAAATTATTGTAGCATACATAGATAGAAAAAAGTATTTCAACTCTCAGACAGCATTTGACTTAGCCATTAACATCGCCCATGCAAGAAAAAATCTCTTGATGTATTAAATGTTGAGAAATGTTTATGAATATCACCTAATTAATGCTGATTTTTGTTACATCAATGATATTTTTTCAAGGTCACTGGCCATCCTACAATGTTCCATTCTTTGAGTCTGTATACAACTTGAGTGGATACCCTGACTTTGTAAGGCAGCATGGCTTAGACCGTTCCTACCAGATGGCACCAAGAGCCAAAATCTTTAGAAGAGATGCTGGTAAAGTCACAGATATGGACTCCATGATGAAAATAATGAGATACAATGGTAGTTGTCTACGTTTCTAAGTTGTATGCAGAGAAATAGTACTCAATGATTTTTACCTGAAGTTAAAATATTTCATCAGAATAGCAAGTCAGATACCACTGAAAACATATTTTTTATTAGTTTTGATAGAATATGTAGAAATGGTTTCATTTAGGATAGTGTTACTAGTTTTTCCTTCTACAGCATATAAGAACATTTCTATTTCATTTTGTTTGAAATTTCAAAAGCAGGAAATTTATATGCAATTATCCTCTAGAGCTTTTTGAAAAAATTGTAATTATCTTTTTAGCTGCTTTATCAACCACTTTTTACTAACATGTTGTTTTTGTCTGTAAGGAATTGTTCATCATGATATATTCAGCACTGAAATAACATCTACTAACTGTATACACATCAATACTCGTAGTTTGTTTTCTATAGTTCAACGCATGCTTTCAGATTACCTCCATGACCCATACTCTGACAAGAAACCATGTAATGCCATTTGCTGCCGTGGTGACTTGGATCCCAAAAATCCAAAGGCTGATGGATGTTATGACACAAAAGTAAGTTATCTTTGGTAGAAACATTTTTCTCATTTTTTTTGTAACATAATTTTTTAATGTAATCTTTAACTGTTATTTTTTAACATTTTAAAATATGCTGTTGTGAACTTTTGCATACTGTAGTCACAGTATTGAGAAATATAATTATTAAAAAAGAAAAACATGTTTTAAATGCAACAGGATTTCTCACCCCCTGTACTGTTTTAACCTCTAATAGGTGACAGATTTTGCCATGGCTCAAAAGAGAATGTCCTATGCCATAAGTGGGCCAACGCTGGGAACAGGACTGCCACCTTTTGTATGGTCTCCAAAGTTTAATGTTTCACACATTGGACTGCCACCCAAGTACAACTTTGGCTTTGTTATGATGCATCCAAGGTTTTAGGGATTTCAGCAACATTCAGCGTTACTTCAATTTAATTAATTGATTAATTTTGAGAAGTCATATCTTATTCAGTTGTCAGCCAGCTGTGAATGTCTATGCTATGTCTTGTTATAAATGGAGGAGGCAAAGTAGCACTGCTATAGTCCCAGCAATATTTGCTTTAATATTTTTTTCAAAACACAGCTGGTTTTCTGATATTCTTTTCTGGACTATTCATGAGAGTATTCAAAAAAAAAAATTGGCATTCAAATAATTAATTTAGAAGTCATTTAATGTTTTTAAAAAAATTTTGCCATTTTCAAAGAATATACTTATTGAAAGATTAAACTGTGATAAAGTGTTTTAAATGGCAACACTTTGCAAAAGCATATTTTACTATATACTTACCTCTAATAAAATGATATTTATTGATTCACACTGTATTTGTAATGATTATAAGTTGTTTGCGATAAGCTGATTTGAGCCAAATCAAGGTCCCATTGTTCTAAAACCTTCCTACATTCTTATATACGTTGCCTGAAACATACAATTCCACAGTGGGATTTTTTTCCTGAAAAAGGTGACCTTTGATTGGGGGAGGGGTAAGGACAATATTAGTATGAGTGCCCTCCCAATTATTTCTTGTACCAGCAATTTATCTGTTTATAACATCGTTTACGGTGTTTTACAGAGGTACATCGATATATATATATATATATATATATATATATATATATATATATATATATATATATATACTAGAAGATCCAGTTTTCCCAGAAACTATACTAGTAGGTCTTTTCTAGTGCCATTTCTTAAAGGTATATTATCCAAATCAAATTTTCCTTGAAAAAAAAATCCCCTACAAAAAGCACATTAGTGGCATTTTCAAACGCGGATAGGAAACCTTTAACTGGACTTGGTGGGCACTGGCTGCCGTCCTGCGTTTCAAAATCTACCTGGAATTTCATCAGCATGGCAAATAATGACGCTGCGATGTATACAAAATAAAATTGGGACGAAAACGGGGTGCTTTATCTGAGTGAGCTAAGTCATATTTTCCACACTATAATTATGTACAAATGTAAGCATGGCCCTTTGGTTATTTTGGTTATTTTGCCCATGGTGTAAGTTAACGTCTCGGTACAGCGAAGCACGACTGTATGAGACGGCATACATATGTCAAAAACTCATCCCAGTTTAAAGTACATATTTTTCATCGAACAGAATGGATTATTTTCCAATAAAAAATTCTCAACTGTCGATATTTCCCACCCTACACGTAAGGTACCTTTAAAGTACAGCGAATCTCGGCGAACTGCGCTGGTTCTGCTGTATGAGGCGACAAAATTTGTCAAAAACTCATCTCAGTCTGCATATTTGAGTGGATTCTTTTTCAAAACAAATATTAATCTTATCTAAATTATGAAAACAGATTGGAACTCCAAATTTCTTTTCATTTGCTTACATATGAATCCTGTGGTTTAAGTCAATAGCTAACTTCTCTTAGCTTATGTGATTCTTATGCAAATAATAAAAAGGTCAGTCTCTCTGTTCACAATGGCCCTTTCATAAATAATGTAATCATGCCTGTATGGTCAATAATTTCAGATTTATTTTTATTTCTTCGTTCAACCCTGAAACCTTTTGACTCTCCCAAGTAACAAATGCATTTCTCAGAGCGCTGTGCACTTTGCCACCAGGTTTTGTCATAGAGCGGATAGAGAGCGATTTGCTGGGGACGCGACAAGTGCACAATGTAAATAGCCATCGGATACCCGCAAGCTAACGGCTGAAGTGGACTTGATTTTTAGGATAAAGTCTTTAGTGAGAAGTCCTGGGCTATCTGTATGTTCACTTTCTGCATGTTATTTTATTAGAGATTGAAATAGGAGTATGTTTTTTCCTGAATTACTGAAGTGTTACTGACTTTAAGCCAGCACTGCCTGGCATCTATCCATAGCCGACTTATGCCCGTCGTATGGATCAAGTCTACTGAACTACGAGACGCTGGAAAATGGTAAGATAATTTCGCCGTAAATTTTTTCTAACATATAGCATATACCACAGTAAGAAGATCAATTGATTCTCTTAGGAAGGTTCTGCTTCTTTATATTAAATCGGTTTAAGCTGACCAAGCCCACGGAACGGCACGAACAAGTCGCTGAAAAATTTCAGAAAAGTTTTCGCAAGCTATCTTGCTGTTGCGAGATGAAATTCATACAGCCCAAAACTGGTGACGAAACTTAATCAAATGTCTTTGGGAAAACAAAGAAGCAAGATTCTTTTCAGACATGTAGTAGAGCATTTTAATCTTCGAATAATATTTGAGATATTGTCATTTCTTGGAGTATACATCATTTCACATGTATGCATTTTGGTCTTAGTTGTATCCACCATTAAACAATTTGAATGGAAGATTTTTTTCTACGGTAGCCTACATAATACCAAGTACTAGCAAAGACACTCAACATTTCGCCTTCCAGTAGGCCTTAAAACTCTGTCATTATTTTACTTTTATAATGTATTCAAAAGAATGAGCTATGATTTATTCCCCTATATTCAATTATAATATATAGATAATTAAATGCTATGTTTGTCATTGAAATACAATAGGGAGTTTTACGACTCACTTAAAACTTTGTCTTAAATGTTGAAATGAAAGACAATTGACTTTTTTTACCCAAATGACAAAAATATCCATATAAACCTCACTTACTGCACTTGAAATTCTATGCACAAATATGACAAAACATTACTGGGGACAATTATTTGTCGTCACCTTAAGATGTGAAAGTATTACATGATATACAGTCAAAGTCCCATAAGCCTATCCCATTTGATTTATATCTACCAGTTATTCACATAACACAGCATATAGGACAAATAGCACGCAAGGCAGCGGCTATCTACATGTAGCTCAATAGCTCAGTACCGAGAGGCAAGGATTTAGACTACTGCATTCAATAGCTGTTCTTTTATGATTTACAGGAATACGGATCAATGTCTGAACAAGAGATAAAAGGTAAGTCTGAACAGGTTATAAAAAGAACATACCTATACTACGAGTTGTATACAGCTGATACAAATGTATAACTGGATGGCTAGGCCGGTAGTACTCGACACGATGTTACCAGGCCTAGAGGCAGATGTGGGATTCTGCAGACACAGAGACGAACTCGAGCGTGTGTGACAAAAGTATATTAGAACTACGGAAGTGTATATAGCTAGACTATGAACATTTAAAATTACATGTCTGAATAACAGAGATTGAAAAGATGCGTTTTACTTGCAGAATGAGCCCTCAGTTGAATATAACGTGTGTAATAAAGTTTGTCACGCTAATAAAATACACCACAGAAAATCATGGCAATTAACGTTTATAGCCATAAACTACATATAAAATCGTTATCGAATAAGGGGGTCATGATTATATGGTGTGATCTAAATTACAATTAATGTTCTAAGTACGTAATATATCTATCTTAGACTTGGGCTTGTAAATATTTTGTCTTTCGTGGAATCAAATGTACTTTATGACCAGGATAAACCGGACGTAGCTAACATTGTTGAAGTGTATAAATATGCAAGGTCCTGCTCTGTTGAATGAATGTTGTACTACATCATATAGCGGGTTTATCAAGGGAAGGGTTGTGTATTTGAAACGAGGCATCAGTGAAAATCCCAGACTAGAGTCGCTTGTCTCTATGGCTGTATTCCCAGAGCTTTTAGATCGATCTATCCCCGCGGGGAGTCTCACTAGATTACTGTCAGATAATCCGGCTTAAATGTCCGTCCCGCCTACTACAAGCTGTAAGGGGGTGATTAACTTTCGTGTCCGCCCGGCTGACAGCTATTTAGCTTGAACCCCCAGGGAGTTAGGTCGATCTAAAGTAGATCGATCTAATCCCTGGAAATGGGGTCTATGTAAACCCAAGTTCACCAGTATTTTAAAACAAGTTTATGTTTATAGCTATAGATTGCAGTTGCATTCTCCTGATTCACTGCGTTTAACCTAAAAGAAACTTAGGTATGATTTGAGTTATGTTTTTTCACATTTACAATCATTTTTTAAAGCACCTTATCATGAAAGGCGGGGCATAGTCTAACATACCCTTAGAAAACGTTATCTTTTCCTTATTCATGACTGAAATGATCCCTTGCGGCAATACTATTTTCAGAGCTCAAGCTTGTCTTTGAAGTGCTAGATAGAAACCGAGATGGGAAAATATCGGTTTCAGAAATTCAAACCATGATGGACGAACTCGGTTACGACGTCAGCGAGGACGACTGTGCAAAATTTGTTGAAAAAGTTCATCACTCAGGTAACTTGTGCCAATCGTTTGAAAATTTCCTATCTGCTCTAGATAAAACTTTTTCCCTTGGGCAGCCTTTTTTCCGTATTTTTTTTTATCGCATTGTGCAACATAAAAAACACATTGATCATCTGTTTACCAGGCTTTAAAAATTCGATAAATATGCCCAATTGAAAGAAAAATTTCGAATGGTTGCCAGAGTCGGAAGAACTGTGTAGCACATACACAATCACCCGACACTAGGCTATTGTATCAAATGACTGCATTAATTTTTTGGTTGGTTAACTTTAACACTTAACAAAAGAAGGATGAGTTTGTATTCAAAACCAAATACGTTCCTTGTCGCAATCATCTTATTACAGTTGCAAGAAATAATCTATACGGCTTACGACATCACAATACTGTTGTGGCTATATCAAATTCCCTTTTTCGTTTCACAGTTGGTTACAAGTAAGTCTTCTACAAGCATTACACATTTGTATTCAGAAGATGAAAATGCATGTCTAAAAATACGTCTTATTGATGCTATGGTATTAATGAAAAAAAATAACATATCAATATTTTCAGCTGAAGGCAGTATTAGCGAAAAAGAATTTCTAGCCTGGATGGCCAAATACAGGGAAAAAAGCAGTGATTCTGTTCTTATGGATGCCTTCCAAGCCTTCGACAAAGACAAAAACGGATACATTTCAAGGGTGCGGTATTCGTTGTCACTTTATATTTAAATCAGAAGAATTATCAAAATATGTGACGATTTGGACAATAAACCTGGTTGAATTAAAGCAATTGCAATATCATACAAAGACAAATACTAGCGCGTACAAATTGGTTAAGGAAAAAGGAGTGGGCACACATGGTTATTTAGGGAAATGATTTTATTGATTTTCACGTGTAAGAAATGTCTTTGCTGTCGACTTCCTTCTGACCTTGCTCCTCGATTTAACAAAAAATTGTTGTAATAGTATACAGCCAAGACTTCTTTGTAGTATGAGGAGACAATCACTGAATGACAGCAAAAACATGTTTGAGATGCCAAACTTAAGAAAAGAGAATGCATCAGATACCCTTTTGTGTTCTTTTTCACATAAAAGCTGGTGTTCGCCACTCAGANTCTTATTGATGCTATGGTATTAATGAAAAAAATAACACATCAATATTTTCAGCTGAAGGCAGTATTAGCGAAAAAGAATTTCTAGCCTGGATGGCCAAATACAGGGAAAAAAGCAGTGATTCTGTTCTTATGGATGCTTTCCAAGCCTTCGACAAAGACAAAAACGGATACATTTCAAGGGTGCGGTATTCGTTGTCACTTTATATTTAAATCAGAAGAATTATATCAAAATATGTGACGATTTGGACAATAAACCTGGTTGAATTTAAGCAATTGCAATATCATACAAAGACAAATACTAGCGCGTACAAATTGGTTAAGGAAAAAGGAGTGGGTACATATGGTTATTTAGGGATATGATTTTATTGATTTTCACGTGTAAGAAATGTCTTTGCTGTCGAGTTCCTTCTGACCTTGCTCCTCGATTTAACAAAAAATTGTAATAGTATACAGCCAAGACTTCTTTGTAGATTGTAGTATGAGGAGACAATCACTGAATGACAGCAAAGACATGTTTGAGATGCCAAACTTAAGAAAAGAGAATGCATCAGATACCCTTTTGTGTTCTTTTTCACATAAAAGCTGGTGTTCGCCACTCAGATNATAGGCCTATGCGTTTTCCGGCATTCTTCATATGACATGTCTGCGAAAGACAACGAAGTGCAATTTAAATTTGAGGTCCGATAGCATTATTTCGGTCTCGTTTTTAAAAGAATCTGGCTCATCCTTAAATCTGAACCCTTTCAATCATATTGACATTCTATACTGAAAAGAAATCTATTATGTGGCTGTCCTCACGTAAAGATCCTTACATTTAGCCTCAAGTTTATTTTTAATTAGGATGAACTGAAACAAGGGTTAGAGTTGATGGGAGAACATATAACTGACGAAATGCTGGACAGTATGATCGAAGAGGCAGACGCTGATCACGACGGCAGAATTAATTATGAAGGTAAATGTCGATGTGTAACAGAACCTCAAATACTATTAAATCGTTATCTAAATACATGTAGTCTAGGGTCGAGTAGCAGAATATTAAATGCTTTGTTTTTCATCAAGTTTACTTTTTAGGTCGGGAAAATGTGATAACCTCGGCACTCAAATGCCGTTGTCGGTGTGAAATAAAGAGATAAATTCCGATTGGGTCAAACTGACAAAATATTATTTACTAGTTTTATTTTTTGAATATAAATATACATTACACTTGCTAATTACTTTTGCTATTTGAGGGTAAAGCAGGTGGACTTCAGGAGAGGTACACGAGTTATCTGAGCCTTTTCCCTGACAGCCCGTCAGCTTCTCTTATTCCTTTCATCGTTATAATTTATCAAGCCAGATGAGGTTTTGGTTTTTAAAGTTTTAGTATTTCATTTGCTACAGCCAGGAGATTGAGATATTCCATACCAAACAGATCTACACGTTTTAAAACCTTTGGACTTCATCTTTGTCATCTTCCTTTCAGAATTTGTCCACGTCATGAATTCATCATAGTCTACAAGTGTTGTGCAGTGACTATCATATGGGTGAGGAACACTCGAATGCCCCTTTTTCACTTCGTGGACCTATGCCACTTGTCACTAATGTCGTAACATTACCAGAAGACTCGTTTTAAGCATCTGGATTTTCAAAATTGCCCCAAGAAGTGAAATACTCTACATTTTACTTATTAGGCATTAAGAAGTCTTCCAGTTCGTTATTACATCAAGGCGTCAGCACGCTGTACGACTGATATCTAAATACGCAGGCAGTAGGGGAAGACTGCCATCAACGACAATTCAGAATGCATTTACTACTATAAATTACAATTGTCTGGTCTACGATACATACATTTCAATGCATTGATCAGAATTTGAATAAAAGTTGAAAACAAGTCGGGCAAATTTTTTCTTTCTTTTTTTTTATTTGTACATTCATTCTTTCATAATTAGCAAACAGCGTTTTTGCAGTCATTTTTCCTCCTTCTTGTTAAGATGGTACCAGGAGATTGCAATATATCATAAATAAACCACTGAAAGAGTTAAGTGACAACACGTGGTTCTCTGCCTTCATCAATTCTGGTCTTCCACACGGACAAAGGTCCTTTCTCTGGTTTGTACTGGACGTTGACGCCATCGGGGTCCAAGCGTCCCTGATTTCTCATGTCCTCAAACTTTTCCTTCGGCCACTTTGTGAAACCCCACTTGTGAGACACAATCACCTAAAATGATTTGAAAAAAATATTGCATTTGAAATACAACAATAATGAATAAGCAATGTGTTTTGAAATACACACAAAGGTTGTCATTTTGTTTTCTTCTGTATCAACATACTATGGGCCTGCCTCACCAGTAACATACCTTATTAAGATTTTCAGTCAACTCTCTGAGCGGTCCTTTAATAAATAACAGATTATTTCATCGACTTGATGGAAATCTGCATCAAGATTTTAAAGCATTCCCATTCAAGCACTTTTAAGTCCACAGTTTTGTTAAACAGTGGTCTATCCACATGCCTAAACCAATGGTTATCAAATTATTGCTATATCATACTGTCAAACTGACTTTACTTTACATATGCCAAAATGATCAGTCATGCACACACATCAATTAGCATCCCTTACCTTCTGACGTCCAGGGAACTTCATCTTAGCTCTCCTCAGAGCCTCAATGACGTTGGCCTTTGCACCTTCTCTGGCACGTACAGACATGATGGGCTGACCAATGTGTACACGAGCTACTGTGCCAGTAGCCTTGCCAAAGGCACCACGCATTCCAGTCTGGAGCCTGAGGAAGAAAATAAGGAAATATCAGGAGATTCGGACACATCGTTTCTTTACACTGACAAGGCATATACACTCTTGGTCACCATGTTCGTCTGGTAGAGGTACTGACACATTTGAGTTGATATTTAATAGTCATTCTTTGTCTGAAAAATATGCAACTGGGAAATTTTGGGGAGGTAAATGTAATTGGCAAAAACTATTTCTTTTCTCTGGCATAAAGCAGATAGGACATTTTCTACATAGCTTTAAGATATCAAATAAACCCATTTTGTAAATGATGTAAAAAGAAAGATGCTTTTTAAAACGGGTATAAGCAACAGTAAGATAACAAAATTGATCCGTAAATATCTTCATTAGGAAACTCACCTATCAGCTCCAGCACACGACAACATTTTGTTGATGCGCAACACGTGGAAGGGATGCAGTCTCATTCGTATGTGGAAAGTATCTTTGCCTTCAAATTTCACCAAGTACTTGTTGGCACAGATACGACCAGCTTCAAGGGCCTCAGAAGACAACTGCTCATATTCATCAGATACCAGATGGACACACAGTGGAAACTCATTCACGTTGGCCTTCTTGCGCCCAAGGTCAAAAATACGGATCTTCGGATCTGTAAATCAAATCAATATTTTAGAGGAAATCCAAGTTTTCAATTAATTGTAATGGACTTCCCCATGACAACATTTGTTCAACTTTGATCTTACCATACACCATAATACATAACTTATTAAGCTTGTACTAAATACAAAGTTCCATGCTGTAATAATTGGAAAGATTTGTGTTTCAATTGGAAATGTTATATCATAATCATGCAACACATTATGATTTAATTAACTCATAGAGGGACAGGGGAGATGAAAGGGTTTTGTGCCATGTCATGATGACTTGCTTATCTTACCTGGTACACCACGACAAAATCGTGACTTGGGGTAAGGTTTATTTTTGCAGTAACGGTAGCTGAAAACGGAAAGGTATACTTAAAACTCAGTGGAAGTGTACTAAACACAAACAAATTTTTTACAGAAATTATTATTAATCCAATTTCAAAACTTCAAAACAAGTTCTTTAATTAAATTCAAGATCAACAACTTTTAGATACACATATTTACAAACCCCCTCCATCAGTCTTGCATGTGGCTAATGTTTTCGTACATTATATAGGAAAAGTTACTGATGGCATCAACACAAGTATACAATCTCATAATATTGACATCAGTTAAATCATTAAAAGATACAAAAAATTTATTATATAGGGCACCTGCCATACTAAGCTAACGAGCTCATGCTTTACTTACCAACGAGCTGGACGTCGCCCCATTTTGACCTGTAATTGTCAAGAAATAGGAAGTGTTAGAGTCGAAAGAGCAATGAGCACACAAACTTCAAATATCAAAAGTTCGATTTATATTACAACATAAGCAGAATCTTCTAGAATAAAGCCGATGGACTCTGATTAATATAGGAACTATGTTATTTCACAACAAATATGGCAGCTACCTTGTAAAAGAGAAAGATACCCGGCTGAACAACCTTTACCTTGACCCAGATAAGTCATTGGATCGTATGATCACCACAAGATTGTGAACCAGAAACTTAACCGATAGGTCAGCTTAAGTAATAGAGTCAAGTGTACAAAGAGAGTGGGTCAGGGATTTTTTCAGTTAGTTTTTTTAGCCTAATTCTAGAGTAGACGTCATTTTAAACGTAAGTTTGCTATGAACTTAATCTCGGCCTCGGGGGAAGGAAAAAGACGAAATGAACAGTAAGTGATACTTAGAACTAAGTGAATGTTGTTAATGTTGTGATATTAATATGTTAATATTCATAGACTTTGATTTGTTTACGTTTCTGTGTTTTCTGTTGAATTATTAAAGATTATAAGAGTAATTGCCATATAAAATGCACACTCAAACATTCACAGAATTATCAGCATTCCAAGGTTCCTATTATGTGAATTTACTTAAATATGAATTGCATTCCGCATGCATCACCCTACACATTGTGAGTTAAGGAGACAGTTCTAACTTTTCTGATCTCTGCACGTTTGAGGGCCCAGTTTTTATGTGCAGTATGTTGCATGTACCAAATAACCTGTAATTTTCATATATGAAAGTGACCAGGTGTTCTTTTTTTTTTTTTTTTTGCGAAAATTTACAATTAATTTTTAAAAACAAATTAGTCTGTGTGCTATCATCAAAGAAATGAGGAACATTTAAGACAACAAAAGCCCCATGCAGGGTCTCCATAATTAATGCCATTTGCTTTAAATCCCAGTTCCAAAAGATCTTAAACTTTAATAAAGTATGCGATTTGAATAAAATCACCCAACTGTTGAAACCATGCAATCTTGTGAAATGCAACGAGGAAAACGGTGTCAGTCTAACAGTGTTATAGATGTATGCTTTTAGAACTGACAGTTTGTCTTAATTGAAAAGATACACCCAATAAAACTCATTGGAATGAGATATTTGGATAATATTTATTTATTTAATATTTTTAAATTATTTTTTAATTAAAATATTTCAGGTGCTGCTCAGTATTTAAATGAAAGACAGAGTATCCTCACACGGCTTTTAGATGCAGTTAAACAGGTATGTGTGATATATGAATTATTGGTAAGATCAAGATTTACAAATGTGCAGCTCACACATCATGAGTAAAATGGTTTTCAGTGTGTTGAGGGATAAGTGTGAAATATAATTGATAAATTTTTATGAAGCATCATTCTACTTCAGTTTGTCTTGGTTAAAAAAAGTGTCAGATGTTATATAAGCTTTTATCAGAATTTATAAAATATTACTAAATGCATAAATTTTATTTGAATTTTCCCGAATAATTCTAAAAAGATAACCCCACATGCACAGGAAGGCATGATTGTGAAGAGTAAAAAGCAAAAAGCATCCCTATAATTTTTATTTCAGTGCCAAGTTCGATTTGGAGGGAAAACAGAGCTAGCAACAGATTCTGACAGCAGGTAAATATAACTTTCAGTGACATGTTATGTTATGGTTATATTGTGAGACAAGATAATTGGTTTGTTTATATTTCTCTCTGTGTTTACAGTCCATATACTGAGATGAAGTGTTATAATATAAAGCATATGATGTTGAAAATTGATTTTGTTAAGTGATGGAAAAATTAAAAACATAAAATTTAAGATTAAGCCAGCTGTTAATTAGGAACAGTGTTTAGCCAATATATATATGAAACATATTGAATCTACTTGAAACTCTTTATACTTATTAACACAGAAATTGATCCAGTCAGGCTGATTTGCAAACTCAAGCTGTGTTTTAGGCCTTGTAGTTGATCCTGTAAGTTTGAGGATCATTAGTAACATGGTTTTCCTTTTATTTCGTTTATAATTTTCGTTAACAATCCAGGAAAGTGTAAGGTGATGGCGATGACACATGCAGGTGATCACTGTATGCATCTGTCCATAAAAAAGGATGTTATGTTTGTTTTTCAGAGTTGTCTGCTTGCTGTCTGTGTGGGAGAGTGCATTGCAGCATGGGGTAAAGCAGAACCTGGTGGCAAACAAGGCCTTATCAACCCTAAAGTAAATTGATGTTTTATTTGTAACAAAACTAAGATTTTTTAAAAACAAAAGATTAAGTATGATTTTTTAAGATATAATGGGCCATTTCACTGCTTTCACCCTTCCATAACATCTGTTTCACTCTTTTGTCTCTTTTTACTTCATAAAAAAGAAATATGCTCTTGCACCTCATCTCAATTCTTTTCAATTAGTTTGATAGGAATATTAGTACTAAAAGGTTTTATAGAGGAAAAGATGAGGCAGATGGTAAATACTGTAAAGCTGATCTATTATCAGTTCATATTTACTATTCCAGTAACTAGAATTAAGAAATAAGATTTCCACACCCACCTTTGTAATGACTGCTCCTTTAGTCTTCATGGTTAATCTATGACAAAAATTATAGATGAAAGTTGAATTATTTTAGGCAAGTGACAGAACTTACTGGGCTTTCCAAGGTGAAGGGTTTGGGTGTACTTTCAGACTTACAAAACATAGAAACAGAGCCAGGTGAGGATAAATGTCATGTGTACCATGTTATGATATTTTACAAAGTAATTATTATTATTGTTTATGTTTAGTCTATGTGTAAAAATAATGAACATATTTCTATGGAAAATTAGAATTAAAAGTATACTGCCTTTTGACAGTTATGTGTGATTTTGATATCTGCATTAATGCGTCAGTATGGAGTGGACAACCCAGAGGATTTTATGGAATTACTAGTAGATGTTTGTTTGTTATGTTTTCAGTATTTTGGTATTATGTGAAGGAATTCTTGAGTCAACATGAGATTAAGCGATATATGTCTCTGAAGCACATTAACACAGATGCAGGGCGTGGCCGGGCGTGGCTCAGATCCAGTTTTAATGAACACTCCCTGGAGAGGCATATGCATGTATTTCTGGACAGTCATCAAAAGTTGAGGTAAATCTTAGTCGTTGCTTGTAGGAAATTATTAAATAGTTTTGAATTTATCCGTCATGCAGGCCACAATTAATTCTGCTTACTGGATTATTACCAAATCCATGTTGAGATTTAAAAGATACTGTTTTAGATTGCCCAAATGATAAATTTTGTTTTAATTTTGTTCAGTCAATATTATGAAGATTGGGCATTTTTGAAAGATGTGGAGAGAAGCAGCATGCTTCCTATGATGGCTGCAGGTTAGTACATAGCTTTATTCACTTCCATTTACTCCTGACTATTTCTGTCTGTAAAAAATATGTAAGATTGTAACAACTGTACAGGGAATTAGCTGAAATGCCTTTGATCTCATGTATATCACTAACTTGGTAAAGATATGTATAGAAGCTAATGCCATATTTGCTTTGATATAATTTTGTTGAAATATATCCCATTTGTTAAATTTGAATTTGGGGATCAGACAGACATTTATAGTAAATTAGTGTAATAATTGCAGATGCTGAGTAATGTCAAGTTGAATGTAATGGTTATCATAAGTTCAACAGAACTTTCGTGACCTATGTACTATACTTGTAGAAGTACCACAATATGGTGTTTGAGTGAAGTGAATCATTAACTTTCACACAATGACAGCTGATATGAACCAATTGTTGACATTGAAGTAAGGTGACACTGATAACATATTGATATACATGTATTAGGACTTATCAATGTATGCTGCATTGTTAACAATATCAACATTTAATTGTCCCAGTTCCTGTAATGTGTGTTTATTTCAGGACTTGGATCCATTTTATTTGCAATAAATATAGACAATGAAGAACTGAATAAAATCCGGCCTGTGTCGTCCTCTTTACCTGTCAGTACCCCTCAACCACTCAGGTCAGCAAGTCAGGATGAACCCAAACCAGTGCTGGCTGGAGATGTGGAAGTTGGGATGGGTAGAATAAATTTTTTTTTTGCAAGGAGTTTCTTAGAGTTTATGGTGTAACTGCACATTTTTTTGTTTTGTTTTATATCTGAGGTTATGGCTTTTAAGTTTTGTTTTATTTCCTGATTTATAAAACAGACACTATCTCAAATGATTATTTATCTTAAAGCCTACATTTACAGAGTAATATAAATTCTTTATCAAAAATAAAGTATTTCATGATATTTAAAAACCCATTTCAGAAAAGAAAAAAGACAAGAAGAAGAAGAAAAAAGTCTCAACTATTGTGTCATTTGATGAAGATGATGATGGTGCTAGTACAACAAACACAACAGAGAGTAAGCCAGTCAAAGTGTCTCATCTGAGAAGCCGAAGTAGTGACCTTTCAAAACAAATGAAAAGTGTAGAATTTCAGACCTCAGGAACTTTGTCCAGTTCATACCCTGACTCTCATTCTATATCATTAACATGTGCCTCAGTGGAAGAGAGGACATCTGTTCATTTCAAGAAAGCGGACTCTGAAAATATATTTACTGATGAGAAGGAATCTAAGAAATGCAGAGATTCTGAGGGATCGGATCAGGAACCTAGCATTTATGATTCAGTTGTTAAAAAGGACACTAATAGGGATGTGGAAAAAGAAGTTGTTGGTGGAAGAATTAAACATTCACGAAGCTCGACTTCTCTGGCTTCTCATTCAAGCAGAGGATCTGCAGAAACTGATGCTGTTAGGTTTGTGAATTTTACTAGATAAATTCTTTATTTACAGCGTTGCAGTTTTCTTCAGAATGTGCCTATTATTTGCAAGGTTTAAAAAAATTATCTTAAGAATTACATAAGAATGATAAAAAAGGCCTTCTTGCTTGAGGTGAAATGTCACCTTTATCCATTCCAGCATGGACATTCCATCAGATCTGACTCCTCTGTCAGTGCTAGGAGAGCCAGTGGATGTAGATAACCTGGGACCATACAGCAAGTCTCTAGATTCCAGATCTGGTAAAGTTTACTTTTATACATACTTTTTTTGAAGGGAAAGAAGTGAAGAGTGATATAAACATTTAAGTGTCCATAATTATCAGCTTCCAACCAGAATTAAATTGGAAAGTCTGGGTAAAATTTGTTGATGTAAATAAACTTACTGACATGGTAATGTAGTGGTTCATGCAAGTCTGTTGTGTTTTCAGGAAGTTCTTCCTCTGCTGACCTAACTACATTGCCAAACTATCCAGACACAGAACATGCAGCTTTGGCTCTTGCCATGGCACAAAAGGGACTTACTGACTAGTAAGTTTTACTATGATCTCTTGTAATGGGAATTTTTTATAGTGCCTTTTTATTAATAAGGGATTTTGGACCAAGATTAAAGAAAAGATGACTGATCTCAAATAAAAGTTTATTCAAATAAACTCAATACTAAGTTACTTGTCTGATAAAATTGTTTCTTTTATTTTTATGTACAGACACAGATATGTCTGTACATATAGCCGTCACCTGCGTCTGTCGTCGCCGTGCACTCAGCGATAACACGATAAGTGGAATACCGTTTTACATTTTGTATTCAAATTTACAGAACTGATGAATATTCATAATACGCAGGTCAAGTTCGAAAATCAGCATGATCGGGCCATTTTTAAGGAAGTTATGCTGTTTTTTCACTTTATTTAGCATTATTATAATACCGATAACACTATAAGTGAAAAACCATTTTACCTTTTGGCTTGAAACTTACAGAACTGATGAATATTCATAATACACAGGTCAAGTTAAAAAATCAGCATGATTGGGTCATTTTTAGGGAATTTATGCTGTTTTTTCACTTTTTTCAGCATATATGCAGCACCGATAACACGATAAGTGGAAAACCAATTTACCTTTTGGCTTGTTTTTATATCAATCAAGTCTCACAATTTTACTTTGATTTATTTTATGAGCCATATTATAGACTGAAGTTAAAAACAATTAGTGAAATGAAATAGGGGTAGGGGTAGCAATGTTATGTATGATGTTAGCTAGACAATACAAGAATTATTACATCCTGCTGTATTACATATTACATTTTTTCATCTTCTGTTACTCAGCTTTGGACAGAGGACAGAGGGCGATGGAGGGAATGTTGCTGAAAGTCCAAAACATGAAACCATGACAACTGGTATGTTATATTTTTTTCTTTGGAATAATGAAATCAGTTCAATATATGACTTTATAATGTTGTTACTAGTATGTCATTTCAATGAACATTTCAATTTGACAGTACAATTTTTCTTATAAATTTGAAAATTGAATACTTTTGTCAATTTATCAACAGGTGAACTGAAACAGGCAGTGGTTGCCATGATGGTGAGAAAAGATGAGGTAGAAGAACAAAATAAGTAAGTTTAACTTTTATTATTTGAAAAAAATTAAAATATCCTGACTTAATGATGTCAGTGTGACTGAAATTATACATTTGAATTCATGGGAATATCATTACATACATGGTATTTTGTCATTCATTGAAATAAGGATCTATAGAATAATTCTTGGCTTAAGTGAATGTAGGTATAAAAGCAAATTTGGGTGATGTGTTAAAGAGTAGATATATCTGCTGGTATGATCATAAAAAGTATGCCATACTACTGCCAAATAGAAGGGATAGGTTTTAAATGACAAGTGGAATGGTGTTACATAGTGTTATGTACACATTTTTTCATTAAAAGGGCTCTGCATGCCATGTATGACAGTGAAAGAGAGACCAATGTCGGACTGAGACTTGAGATAGAAGAGATGGAGAAGGACCATAAACAGAAACATGAAGCAGATCAGAAGAAGATACAGGCTCTTGGCAGGTATGTAACTGTTGCAGGCAAGATTTAGACTTTAAAACCATCTGTTTGAGAATGAAATCACCGACTCACTGAGGCAAACTCCTCAGAGCCTCCTTCTTTATCACTTATTGCGCTGAAACTAATATTCATTTTGTTTTGATTTTTTTCTCATCAACGCTAGTGGCTCTTCTTGGAAATACTGTGGACATGTCAACATAAACAAAAGGGACTTACTATACTTGTAGAATCATAGTGATTTGTGAAGTTGGATTAACAATATTAATAATCCATATTTTGCTTTTATATCACCCTATTTTCTTGGGAATGACATTTTCTTTTGTGCACTCGCATCCAGAGTCATTTATTTTAGTGTATTGCACCCTGTTGCACTGTATTGCACATTTTAGTGTGACCGAATAAAAGATAGCAGGTTGGAACAGGTTTATTTGCCATGTAGCTGCATGTACAAGTTTCTTTTTATATTGATATTTGAAAATGCTTTTATTTTAATTATAATATTAGTTTATGTACAGATATAGTCACAGAAAACTTAAAATGCAGTCTATTTTCAGGGAGAATGACCTCCTAAAACACCAGTTAAAGAAGTATGTGAGTGCTGTGCAGTTGTTGAGAACACAGGGGGCTCACGCAGACAGTAAGTAACCTTTGTGATGGCCAGGAACAGAAACTTTTAAGATTGTTTCCACAACAAAAGTGCTTTTTGAAACCCCACATTTTCATGTATTTATGATTATATTTTATTTTAGAAGATTAAGTTTCCAAGAGAGGTGATATCTTGAATGATTTCAAATAACAACATTGTAGTTCTGTAGAGTGTAGTTCTGTAGAAATTACAGCCATAATTTGATTTCTTTAAAATCTTTTACTTTTAGATTTAGGTATTCACTTAGATGAACCTCAGCCAGTTGTCCCCCCTGAGAAGGAAGAGATTGACTACTGCCATGAGGCCAGTGAATATGAAAGAAAACTTGTTCAGGTAGTGTCATTCTCTCAAGATGGGTTTATTATTCCTTTGACATGTACACTTAGAAAATAAGCACAATCATTTGTTTTTATTCCTATTTACAAGGATGGTATTTTTCATTTTTTTGGGATATTTCTTGATTTTTTTTTTGTGTGAACTTGGGTTTTGAATTTGTTGGGTTTTGGGTGAAATTATCAAAAAATTAAAATATATTTGTACATGTTCTTTGTTTATGTAGGTTGCAGAAATGCATGGTGAACTGATGGAATTCAATGAAATGTTGCACAAAGAACTGAATAGCAAAGAGATCCTAATAAAACGATTACAGAATGCACTGGAAGAACTGAGAGGACCGGTTTGTAAAATTTTTCCAGACTGTTGACTTTTTTTATAGAGATTGGTTTTTTTGAAAATGTAAAAAAGAAAAAATAAATCCACACTCACAAGGAATCTACAAACTTTGACAATTTCTTTAGTTGCTGTGAGTTTATAATATTTCTTTATGTTTACAGTTTTGAATTCTACTGCATGATTGAGATATAAATTTTTGTTGCAGTTACCGAGTAACAGTGGATTTGAAAATGTAGGATCTGGTGATGACATTAGCATGGTTTCCACAGATTCGTAAGTTTCTTCTGTTCTTCTTCTTTCATAACTTTTTTGTTTCAAGTATAGCTGCTATTTCAGTGACTTCAGCAGAGAATTATTCATGAAGTGTAACTGATTCATTTTCACCAAAGTCCTTTTTTTACCATGGTATAAAATAACATTTTTTTTTATATTTGAAGACAAAACCGTCCTCTGGTCAACATCTGGATTCCTTCAGCTTTCATGAGAGGAAAAGGTTCAGATATCCATCATGTGTATCAGGTGAGAACTGTTTACTTTGAACTATGATAGACTCGCCCTTCAAGAAATCGACGCCTTCAAGAAATCGACGAAAACCGGAAGTGCGTGTTTTTTGCACTGTTTTTCCTGTCATGCCCATCGTAAACACTGTGTTGTCAAGTAAAATGTAGCGTCTGATACAAAGTATCAAACGCGGCATTCATGTGCTATCTTGCGATGCGTTCAGTACACTTTGTTTATACTGACAAGTCGATGTCAGAAATGCACAATGTTTTTCTATGTAATTACGCAGTTTTAATTTTGATTAGTGAATTTTCTTTTATCTGCATGGTCATTTTCCGAACATTTGTATAAGCCACGAAATATTTCTCATCGGAAAATCACCCAGCAGCTTTCCAAGTACAAGCGAGTGTCGTCATGACACACTTCTGGTTTTCGTCGAGATCTTGAAGGGATTATCGTTACAGTTTGCTGCACATTTAAAGCGTTCTGTCTCAAAATGTACTCAACTGCTTGGATTGAAATTTACAGAACTTATTCTTCACATGATATCACACATATGTGCTTAATTTGAGAGCTTTAGCTGTTATATGTTTTCTACAGTGCCCATTCAAATTTGAAAAAGAGCTATTTTCCGTCGATTTCTTGAAGGGCAAGTCTAGGACGTAACTGAGTGCACATTTCAAACATGTCATTTTATATATCAATAAGAATTTTTTTGTGTATAAAAAAGGGTCTTTTGGAAAGGAGTTGTATAGATGCAGTTGTATAAATGGATAATATCTGTATCTCACTGATTCATAAATATTTTTGATTTCATAGATTTATATTCGAATCAAAGATGAAGAGTGGAATGTGTACAGAAGATATGCACAGTTTAATGAACTTCACAAAGTACTGAAGAAGAAGATGCCTATTCTGAATGCAGTTGAATTTCCACCAAAAAAAGCAATTGGAAATAAGGTAGGACAAACCTTAATGTGATCAGTGATAGTATTTAAGATTTTACTTGCTTTTACATTTGGTCATTCACACCCAATTCACTATGTTGCAATTCAAATTTGGCTGCAGCATTACCTTAAGTTGAATGCCATTTTTTAAGCAGAACTTGATTAAAATACAATAATCAACAAGTTTAATAGAGTGTAAATTTTCTTCCTTCTGGAAATTGCTCTTTTTTTATTGTGGGGAGAAAGATATTCAAAAATAGAAATCTTAGTTTGGGGGGGGGGGTCTTTTTCGTTAGCATTTTTCGACAGTTGTCGAGAAATCATCTCAAAGATTTTGTTTTGCACTTTGTAGGGAAGTAGGTTTGTCGAGGAAAGAAGAAAGAAACTGCAGCTGTATTTAAGAAGAGTATTAAATTACATTGTACAGCAAAATCCTGATCTTGCCAATGGTGCCTGCAAGGATGTCCTTCTCAAAATTTTACCTTTCTTCGGGTAAGGAAATATTCATTCATTCTTGAAAACATAGTTTCATATTTATCATGAATGAAATACAATAAATATATGCAGAAAGTTGTATTTACTTGAAAAGAAATTGGGAAAATATCTTCCAGTAATCAGCTCATTCATTTTACAGGGATCAAGTCAAGTCGGAGAAGCCATCGAAAAAAGGATTGTCTCGTAAAAAAAGTCTCCCCACCATGAACTCCACTCCTCTCCAGGAACAGTCTCCACAGTATTCAGGATTGTGATAAATTACATTACTAAATATTTTAAAGTTAACATATGTGCAATTATTGTGGCCCTTTTCAACTTGAGCAATATACTTAACTAGGACCAGTCCACTTTGAGAGATTCTGGCATGTAGTTACTCCCTTTAATTTTTAGTTTGTTTCCTATTTAGTTCAGTCAATTGATTGGCCATGTAGAGCAGGGGTGTCATGCGAAACTCTTAGGTTATAGCCAGGCTATCTACTTGCCAATCTTTCAAACTGGACCTGTCAAATTAAGTGTTCCACTCGATGTAGAAATGGCCCTATTTTACCAGGATGCTTATTTTCTGATTTTATGTACATCAGGACTTCAAAAGGTGCCAAAGGTGCTCCAAGGGTGAAAAGATTTCATTGGTGCAAAAGATTATTGTTCAGTTTGTTGAATGAAATGATTAGAATCACAATTTGTCTTTACGCCAGTGAAGTTACTTGTAGCTCAAGTAATTAAGATGATATTATGGTCAGATGGGTCTTATAGCTATTTTAAACTTCTAAATATTTTACATGATTCTGAGGATACATGAACAACACTACAGTTGAATGGGTCTTCCACTCCAGAGGAAACGGATAAGTTTTATGAATGTTGCAAAAATATTGATACAATGCTTGGTAGTCAACTGTGGTGGCTAATATGTGTCATATGCTGGAATAGTACATGGGTCCACGTATTGTGATGAATAAGAAACGACATGCTTTCTGTGCTGAGTATGAGTTTATAATATTCAGTAAGATTTTGTAGTGTATATTTTGTTATTATATACCACTTGCTAATCATGTTAGAAAAGTATTCTACAGATTTTGTGTAAGTTGATAAAGACAGTGAAAGTGGCCAGTTTCTTATAATTAATGCTCAGCAGAACAGATCATTTTTTTCCACATTTCACTATGAATAGGCCTTCTAGCTAGATGACTAGATGTTGACTTCATATGTTTACTGAAATGCTCGCTTTCCAGCATTCATTAGTCAACATCTGGTCATGCAGCTGCAAAAAGCCTATTGATGTCCTAAAAGTACATTGTTTTGAGCACCTGCTAAAACTCCCTATACACTAGACGGCCTCCTTTCTGCTTTCTTTGTGCGACAATGAAAATGGCACCGCTGTGGTCGTAGAAAGTAGGTACAAACAATGCTTTGGTTGCAGAATGAATGCTCAATGAGCGGCCATATGTCGGCACGTGATGTATTATTTTTTTCTACTCTCAAACTGGGCCGTTCTACGAGACACAGAAAGGAAGCCGCCCAGTGTAAAGTGGGCTTGACTTCAGAAGGTACATCAGGCTGAAATTGAAATGTAATTGGCAATTATATACAATACTTGACTTGAGGATTTTAAATAGAATTGGAGTCTTTCCTATTCCACAAGTTGATATTTCAAGTGTCTGTCTTTCAACAGAAGTATTTCTTCAATATATCAGAAATTATTGCCAATGGAGATTTTAATTTGATACAATTTTGTCAGATTTTCTCCTGTCTTCTTAAAGACCATTTTATAATGTAGATGATGTTAAGCATTCCTTTTAGAGATTTTAATCAGTTTTTCTAATATACTTAGCCAATTGCTGTATACTCTGTACAAGTTATCTTTCTAGTTTTTAATAAGTTGAAACTGTTTGCAGTTAAACATGGTATGGCTTTATTACTCTCAATGTTTTTTTGTTTGTTTGTTAGCTAGCACTGTTATATTTGATAATACTGGTGTAGCCTACAACCTATTTTGTAAATAAAATTGATCAAGTAATAAGAATCACTGATCTTTTTACCTGGAAGCACTTCCAGAACTCTTGGCATCCAAGATAATCATTAATCATGCAGATGTACATTCAAAAATATTGATCTACCAGTTGCTAAAATTTGTGATTAAGAGCATGCTTTGATAAATATATAATCCATGTCAAAGTAATTTCTTTAAAATCTGAGCAAGAAGGACTAAATATGTTCTTTTTACCTGTACTCTGGAACTTTATTTGGTTTTGCCCAAAATCATAAGTTTAAAACCACACGGAAAATAATACTTAACCCCCAAAGAAAAAACTCTTATAATGTTTCATTCTCAAAGGTATTTCAAGAATCTTATATTACCTATCCAGCAACTTTTTTATCTATCAGTATTGTAATAGAAGCTGAGACCTAGGCCCTGTGTTCAAATTGGGGTTATGTCGATACTCCCCCGCACTGATAATCCCCCTTAGTAATTTTTTGTATTATGCGCATCGATTCCACCCCAAACCAATAGATCCCCACACCGATACTTCCCTTCATTATATCTGTAATTGTGGGGTAGTATCGGTGCGGGGAATAATTGGTGCGGGAATGTACTGGTGCGGGGGAGTATCAGTGCGGGGACTTATCGGCATGTTACCTTCAAATTGCAGTAATAAGAATTTTCTATCAGCAGATTTTCGACTTTTTGGGAGCCAAAAATATTATTTTTTGAGATCTATGCAGGGCGCCCCCTGGACTTGCGCCATATTTTCAGACTTTTTCACTCTTATGGAAGTTTCATCTCTGAAATTGAGATGGATTGGACTGTGCAAAGAATGCTAGAATTCTGAACATGTAATCTTTATCAAATTGTGACTCACAAAGGCTCTTTGAGGCTGTAAAAATCAAAGAGGATTTGGGTTAAATTCTGACCAAATCTGACCACAATGCTGGTTTCATAACAGTTTAATCAACAAAGCATTGCTTAGTAATTCAAGGGAGAAAAATGAACATGTAAGAGAAAATGAGCACTTTCAAAAATTTTTATTTGTTTGGTTTGTGTATCACAGAGAAATGAGACAATTTGCCATTTCTAAGCTGTACTGAAAATGTAACCATATGCAGCTAGCATACATGTACTGCTCATATAAAATACTTAGGAACATATTGCCAGTAAATATTACTAATTTTGTATTAATAAGCGTAAGTACATAACTACACAGAGACTGATTACACTGTGATACAAACATCAGTTTATACATGTATCTGAACTTGATGCATTGCAAGTATATGGCATGTGCCACTTTCCCTAATGCTTAAACATATTATTTTTATTATAATTGTAAAAATACTTTGTTGCATTAATAAATACATATATTATATGCAGTGGCTGACAAATATACATAAAATTAAGCTTCAGCTACTACATACACATGAGTCCTCAAATAAAAGGTATTTCATTATGTTCACTAAGTAAAACTAATGGATACAATGTATTTGACATTTTCCTGTTAAAAGTTTACAAAAAGCTACCATTTTTTAAAAGAAATTTTTACTGACACAGTTAAAAAGTATTTGGTTGTTGTTTTATCATGAATAATACATTGTAATAAGTGCACATTTCTTATATATAAACATCAGCACAGTAACAAACATTCATTATCAGAACTTTTAGTGTATGTCTGAGGCATCAGACAATTTTTTGCCAGATTTTTGTAGCAATGTTGTTTAATAAATTTCATAGATATTAACTTTGATAAAGAGGTATATTGTAATTTCATAACTGTGTTTTTCACTAAATTAATCAAGATGTGCATGCATTTAAATATGTCAGCTCTCTGTTGACAGCTGATTGTGACAACTGACTTTGGCTGCAAACATACAAAATGCTTACCAATGACAGCTAACATTGCACAGTTCCCATTCACTAACACATTTACTATATAAACTAACTGCAATCAGCACGTTTAACTTGGACAGGAAATAGTCTACTGGTGTTTCCAGTGGTTTCAAACTTTCTAAATGTGTACATCCTTGGCATGCTAACATAGGACTATTTCAGAGTTAAGTAAGACCTGTTTTGAATGTGACTATATATATATAAAAAATTACCCCCCCCCCCCAATTAAAAAAAAACATTACCATGACTATCATAGTGGTGATGATGATGATGTTGAAAATGGGTGGTTCTTCTTTTGTGAAGATCAAGCAAAACAATCAGACATATTTAAAAAGAACACCATTTTCATTCACAGTACTTTGATCATTCAACACATCACCTTTATCTCCCTGCTGAGTCACAATATCAGTACACTGACTCTCATCACCACTTCCAACTGTACATTTCTCCCTGTTTGAATTTGCATCAGTGTCATTTGCATTCATTTCCTCTGATTTTTCTTGTCCCTTTGGTATTTCTGGCATTCTCCAACTTTCTTCCCTGTCAACATCACTGGTAACAACTAGTAGTAGTTCTTTATCTTTACTCTCCATCTGTTCCTTCAGGTAAGTCTGTAAATCCAGCGAGGTTCCAATAACCTCTGGGGCATCAAGCTTGGAATCCAAATTGTAATATACCTCACCAATTTTTCTCATACTTATCCAGTGTTTTCTGTGGATGGGGAGTCTGAGAAACCCCCATTTGTAGTCTGTTGGGATGTTCAGAATAAACCCTAATATTTTGTCAAAGTTTAAACTGCCTATATCTCTGGAATCACAAACAAATAAGGTTATTCTTTGCATTCGGTTACACTCTTTTTTTTTTTTATATTATGACCCACCAAATTACATATTTTGCTCAGGTAGTTTGTTCAACCAGGGAGTTACATGCACACATACACCTGTACACCTGGTTAACATGGAAAAATGACATACTGTCAGACAAAATGCCAACCTTTGCACCCTGGCATTAGGTTATTCATAACCCACAAAACAGATGTGTAAATAGCAAATGCAGGTTATCCAATACAGCACCTGGACTGAATATATAGACATTACAATCTAAAAACATTTAGGAATGCAGGCTATATTTTACATCAAAGCAGACAAAATACCATTTCTTTTTTACTGAAATATTAGCTTTAGCAAACACACAAAAAAAGTAACATGACCACAGCACTCAGTCTGCAGCATCACTTACTTCCTCTTATCAAACCATATGGTTTCACAGTTCTTGGTTTGTATAGCTGCCATGATTACATTTACATCATAGTTGCCAAAGCCAAGCACACTCTTGTGAGGATTCAAGAAATACCCTGGGGAGAGCCTGCAAAGAGAAAACACAAACACGAATAGATTATATGAATAAAAGTGGCATATTTGACATCAAATAAAATATGAAATCCAGGTTATGGCTGAAATTCACTATGGAGTGAATGAATTGCAAAACAAATTGCTAAATATCTATATAGATACCACATTGAATATACACATGAATGAACAATATTAAATAATGGGTGAATGAAAACAAAAGATGATAATCTGTGAAAGAGAAAAAGAATAATATTCTACCGGTAGTTAAAATGATCAATATAAAACTTAGAAGCCCCATGACATCTGGCTTGCTGCAAATGCTGTATTTACAGTTAATGAAAAGATTGCATGTTTTCAGGAACAGAAATCATACTTCAGTTTACCACAAGAGACTACAGTAAAGTTCGAGAAACACTAAAAAATAATGACAAAATTCAATGTGTTTGTGCATTTAAGTATGTCTTCTTACAAGAGAGGCATCTTCTCCTTGCATTACAAAATTTCTAATACTGAGAACTTGATTTTAATTTTTTTACACAATAGTATTGTAAATTTAATTTACTTCTAAAGACTAAATACCAGTAAAATTAAATTTTCATTTTACAATCAAGTGTACATAACCAGGGATACTGGGACCAGTGCTTCTTTTAAAACATTTTATATCATCAAAGCTAACAATAAAAAACTTGTAAGTAAACATGGTGTGGCCCATGTTAAAATGATGGCCTACTAATTAATAATGCAAATATCTTGTTAAGATCTACATTATATTTCATAGCATATAATTCTTCATCATATCATATCATAAACAACAAAGAAACATATGACAAAAAGGAATGCATTATCTGAAATGCACAAAACCCATTTAGGATAAAGTTAAACCACTGTAGCAACCCTTGCGAGTACAGTACTTTCAATATTTTCATTTCTGAAGAGGGTGACTAAGACATGAACTTGTCAAAAAGCAGTTGACAGCTAAAGTTCATATTCCTTCTTTAAAAAAACTGATACAATGAAGTGTAAAAAAAAAAAAATGGGAAATTAAAGGTGCCCTCCATGAGAGTTCCTTATACCAAAATGAAATTTCCTAGGGTATAGAGCAAATGTCTCGTACTCACAAATTATTACTTGACCCATCCCTGCGCTGGGGTCTGTCTTCTTCCATTTTCAATGTAATACTTAAGTTTTAAATGAGTGGCCAGTCAAATAGACTGACATCTGCCATCTCTGGTTTTCACCAGGTGAGGTGTTTTTTATTGTGGTTCTGTCCCTTGTATATTACAGATGTTGTTTTCATATTTTATTTAAAGGGTTTTATCATCTTTAAGGTCTGAATTTGAAATTACGAAAGAAGAAATTATAAAAATATTATACAAATGACTATGGGGGGGGGGGGTGGTGAAAACGTGTGATGAGTACATTAACTTTAAATTATTTAATTCAATTTACCTGGTACAAATATCATCCAGAGACTGCTTTGTAAAAGCCTTTTTATCTTGGAACAAGTTATTCAATGCATGCAGTGCACACATCTCCTTTATCTGTTTTTCATGGTAAATCCCACCATTCGGCTCTATGCTAACTTTGTTGGTGTTTTTGATATTTTTGTCTTTCTTTACACATGACATCCTGGCTCCCATGCCCAAATCTATCACACAGTTCCTGACAAAGTCACCTTTGACTTGGCTATGGGTATCATAGTGATTTACATGTATATAAGATGCAGTTTTGTACGTCCATCTGTGCTTGGCATAACTGATAACAACACATACAGTATTAAAGACTTAAAATCCTCTTGTCCTGTTGCAGTGCTCATGAATCGAGAAAGCAAAAGCCTTCAAAGGGAACTGAAGTCATTCACTTGATTGATCATTGATGCCTGGAAGAAACAACATAGGAAGAGCTGCTGTCGACGGCATATTAAACACAAATTTAAATTACATAATGTGACTATTTTCTGCTCATCTGTCTTGAGATACACATGGATGTAATGGCAATATTACGCACTCCAAAGTTGGCGGCAGGATTTTGTGTAAAATGTTTCAGTGTATACTCGGCAACAAATCCCAGCCCACCTTGTTGCGGAAAACGTCATCACAACCGTGTAAATATGACTGCTTGTATCAAATAAAAATCCACAAAAAAGATACCATTAAATATGCTACCCTGAGTCTAAGAATGCAAAATGGCAATAGTTTTTATCTTAATTGTTACACAAACCGTATAAGGATATTTCTATGCCATGATTATAATATATTTATTTAGTAAAAGCTTTAACTTAAGCGACGTGCGCAGCGGATGAAGCGCAGAGAGAGAAGTGATGACATGGTGGTGAAACAAACTCTGCACGGTCCCAAATATTCGATTTCATCTAAAAGCTAAGTTGCGATTGCATTTCTTATACTTGCGTCAGAATCTATTTTAGTTTATAACTGCCTTGGTACATAAATAATCTTACAAGATCGCACAGATTTATAGACTACAGTGTTCCAGATGCCGACAGATGCCTAAGCAGTGATTTAAACTTGGACGTTTTCATTGGATTAAATTTTTGCAGCCGGTGATATACTGTTGCAAGACCCAGTACCTAAGAAGTAGACCGTGGAAAGTGTAGACATGTTTCATATACTTTAATTCTGTTTTGCATAGGATAGCCATCGCATCTAAGGTTGCATCTTGCAATTAAGTAAATAAGATATAATCAGCTGATTCCACAGCCGTGATTTCACCGCAGTGTAACGTGGGTTGCTGTGTATTTGAACTTCCAGCACCAAATGCACAGACAAAAGAGTGCTGTGTAAAACAGGGTTGACAAAATAAAAAAAATATCTGAAATAGAAAAAAAAAAGAAAGAAAATGAATGGAGCAAGAGAAGTTCCCCTTCTCAGCAATGGACATGGACCAGATGAAGTCCTCTCCCCAGTGACACCGCTTTCACCAACACCAACAGGTAGAGTTGTCATCAAACAATTCTTTTTATTATTCTTTTGAAGTGGTTTTGATTCCCTTAATCCATGTCCAACTTTTCCATCACATTTGATAAAACTGACAAAAAAATTAGTACGTCCAGACTACCTAAACAATGACTTACAAAAAACTACCTTTAAAGGCGTAAACATTTGAAAATTGTTCAGATTTTTACACATTTTAGCTTATCGCAGACATTTTTGCAGATCTGAATTGTAAGAAGGATTTCTTTGGATATAATCAGTCCATTTTGTTATTTCTTTCTCCTTCTTTTATGCAATCAGGAAACGAAAGTAGAATATTAAAAATATTGGGCAGTAAGTACATTTTTGGAATTATTCATTGATGGCTTATAACAACTATGTTTTGGTAATGATGATTGCACATGAAGCAGTTGATAGACACATGTTAAATAAGTTTGCATGATGTAGTTCATGTTATATATGTATTGTTATCTTTATGATATTGTAGTCCTTATTTTTCCCCGTGTATAGATCTTCTCGTGGTTATCATTATCTTACACTTTGATCACTTTACTTTTTTGTAAATATAAAGTTTTACCAATTTACCAGTTTAGATAAGTAGGTATTACATGGTAGTAAGAAGCATGATGCACTGTCTTCTTTTGTATTGGTTTGGTTGGAATTATTTTTATCTGTCAAAAAAGTCCAGACTGTCCTTGAAATCATAAGAAATATGATGGAAAGGGGTTAAAATATACTAGCAAAAAAAAGAGTACATTTTTAAAAATATCTATGGTTTTCATATACTTATTCATACAAAAGTCTTGCATAATTATTATTGTCAGTAACATGTGCCCTCCACTCACTGCAATACACTTATACAGGTTAGTATCCTCAATCAATGTAATCACTATGGGTTTTGTCTGGAACTTGCCACTTATGTCACTCAAACCATGACAGTGTTCCAATGGCAATGGGCGATGACTGGTCCTCTGTCCAGATCAGACAGGACAGCCTTGGAATGAAGTCAACATGGAATTCAGTCACCTACACTTAGTTTTCTGGTTCCTGTGTCCATTAGCATTGATTGTGGACAATTGATTTTTGCAAGACTTTTGATTCGATTTGTGTTCAGACAAAATCTGAAGCTAGCCATTGTCTGAAATCACTGAAGTGTATCAGTACTCTACTGGTGTTCTGTCACTGAATACACTGAATGTATGTTGAAGAACTGTGGTCAAAACAAAACAAATTTTTTTTTGGGGGGGGGGCAGTTTCGATTGATTTAGAAGACAAAATCAACAGAAAAAAAAAACAACAGACAGACTTTTAAATACTTTGTTCATTTGTTGTTGTTGTTGTTGTTGTTCTAAAATAGAAAAAAAACATGATAGACATAGACTTTTCTTTTAACTTTGTCAACTTTTTATGTGATCTTGATATGAATGATTTACATGTTGTAAAGAATATATATTCACAATGGGATATTTGGGTGCAGAGTGTGTACTGTAATTCGGTATGCATGTTATAATTTATGTATGTTAAACAATAGACCATGATACCCATTTTATCTATTTCATGTTTTGTACATTTGTTTTTCATATTCATTATCTCTTTTTAATTTTGACTATTGATAGCTTGGCATATATTATTATCAAATAAAGGGCAATACACGTTAAAGGTTATTTGGCATCTGTAGAGGTTATAGATAAGATTTTAATATATTTTGACTGGTTATGAAGGACTTTTTGGAGTGAGTTAAAACATAAATATAAGGCAGTTGGTCTCTTTGTCTTTTTAAGAACATTTTAGTGTTTTTCCTAAACAAAAATTAGAAATTGTTTTGAAAGAAATATATTCTGAGATTATATTTCTTGTTACCAACTGTCCACATGTAGTTTTCTATGTGATTTATTTTTCTGATAAGAATGGCAGATTGTTTTTGTTTAATGAAGGATGACATTTCACTTCACATTGCCATTTACCAGGTGCAGCTGGTCTCAGTTGCAAAGCAGAGAGGCCACCACAGGCTGGGAGTCTGTTCACAAATGAGGATGAGGATGTTGGTGTTGATGCAGAAATGGGAGCTGAAATGACCAAACTTATGTCCAAGGTATTACCTTTGAATAAATCTCTTGATGCTATCACAACTTGATTATTTTATTGATACCATAGCTGGACATGTGTTGCATCATTCTTCTCATATAAAATCACAGATGCTTTTCAAATCAAAAAAAGACACTTCTGTGCTCAAAGAAGCATGGTTAAAAAATAACAAAACTGCACCATTATTGCATTTGTACAGCAAATTCACCCCCTCCCCTCCATAAAATTCTAAATGCTCTGATGGTAATGTACTGTACTTGATGTTTAGTAAGATTTTACGAGAGCTACATTGTGTGCTTCCTAGTCTTTTTAACAGATTTACATGTTGATGAATTTATATTGAGGTATTCAGTTACTGGAAATATATGAATCTTTAGAAGTTTTGACATTATTTTAGTGCTTTCAACTTGCATTGGAAATTTGTTGTGATTCATGCAAAAATAAATTTTGATCCTTTTGATGTCATGCATACCTTGGTTAAATCTGTCTTAATAAATTTCTTTAATTTTTTTTTAATAGATGGCTTTGGTTAGCCCAAGTGATGATGTGTATGAACTCTTACTGGAGCATTTAAGGGAAAGAGTCTATGGTGGAATGGGAGAGACCATCTATGAAATTGGTATTGGAGGTGTGTACCTATCACTAGCAAGTGGTTTTCTTATCCTTAAAAGCGTCATATTAACTGTTTTAACTGAGAGTTCAACTAATGTAATTATTCACATATCACATTAATGCACACACAAATGTCAACCAAACTGCTTGTTAATCATGTGGCTGTGAACATTGATAGAGGGTGAGCTCCCTGGCTTAAATGAAGAGGACATGCAAGCTTCCATAGCAACACTAAAAACCATGGCAGCTACTCTCAATGCTGACTGTGTGGAGCTAAGATTCAAAAGTGAGAAGTGTGGTCAAGTTGCAGAATTTCTGATTAGAAAGCGAGCTGAGTCAAGAGATTTTATGGAAGTGAGGTCAGTTCACCTTAGGATTTGATTCAAGAATAGAGGTTAAAAAATTCATTTTGTGCGTCTTGAATTTACTAACAAGAAAACTTGCAGTTTAACTGATGAAAAAAATTGTCTCATTTCAATTTGAAATCTATTAATTATTAGTAATGGTTAAAGAAAATCTGTTTTCATTTACCAACTTAAACTGGTGTATGCTTGCAAATAAATTTTGTAAATTTATGTAACTTAAAACCTATATAACCTGTTTAATAACAAATTCTAATAAAATGAATTGATTGTTGTTTGTAGGATAGCAGTGGTTGGGAATGTGGATGCAGGCAAGAGTACTCTGCTGGGTGTCCTGACCCATGGGGAGTTGGATAATGGGCGTGGCTTTGCTCGTCTCAAGCTGTTTCGTCACAAACATGAAATGGAGTCAGGCAGGACGAGCAGTGTAGGGAATGACATTTTGGGGTTTGACAGTTCAGGACAGGTGGTCAATAAGCCTGACCATGGCCATCTAGACTGGACCAAGATATGTGAAGAGTCTTCAAAGGTGAGTCTTGCAAAATTGAGTCAATTATGGATGCAAGCATTCTGTTTGTGGGAATGCATGTCATAGAACAGTTTACTAGGGTATATTTTTGTTTCAATTCACATTTTATAAATCTGTTAAGTTGTTAAATTTATATATTAAAATAATACATTTTTCTCTCTTTACAGGTGATAACCTTCATTGATTTAGCTGGCCATGAAAGATACCTGAAGACCACAGTATTTGGCATGACAGGCCACACCCCTGATTTCTCCATGTTAATGGTAAGGCTTCTAGGTTAAGCATTTCTTTGTAATGAATTGAACAATATAGTATAGAATAAATGATTTTGTCAAAATTATCTTGTGTAACATACCAAATGGAGAGGGAGTAAAGTGCTTAGTTTTTACATCCATAAATTGCTTTTCACTTTGAAGTAATTTTGATAATAGATTCTTTTTTTTCAAATGAGCAAAAAGAAAAAAATATATATTTATGTTATAAAAACAACAATCTAAGCTTGCAACCAGTACCCATTGGCTCATTGACACCCATTGAAAATAGTGGGCATTGATCACATTGATTTGCCACTTTATTAATTTCCCAGTCCAGTGCATAGTATACTGGATAAATCAGAACATAAACTCTCCCTTAATTAAATGTTCCAGATTGGTGCTAATGCAGGAATAGTAGGGATGACCAAAGAGCACCTTGGCTTGGCTCTTGCCCTTAGTGTGCCCGTGTTTGTGGTTGTAACTAAAATAGATATGTGTCCTCCTAATGTTCTCCAAGACACACTGAAACTGCTGCAAAGGGTACTTAAATCACCAGGCTGTAGAAAAATACCAGTGCTAGTACAGACCGAGGATGATGTAATCACATCGGCTGTGAATTTTAGCTCTGAAAGGTAAAATTCATCAATATTTCAAGAAGAAAGGATTTTGGCATCACTCTTAGTTCATATCTTGATGACATTAAGATTTAGCAAATGTAACTTGTATTAAATAGTAAAATCTTGTGTTGCAAATTAATATTTAAACATATCACAATCACGTCTTTATAGAATTTTTACCAAAAAAAGCAATGCAAGAGAAATGTATATCATGTATTGATAAGAGATATTCATTATTTATTTGCAGAATCTGCCCCATATTTCAAGTATCAAATGTTACAGGAGAAAATCTCCAGCTACTCCGCATGTTTTTAAATCTCCTAGCACCAAGGATACACTTCAATGAGCATGAACCAGCAGAGTTTCAAATAGATGACACATTTTCTGTGCCTGTGAGTGAATTAAGTAGATGTTTGTGTTTTGCATAAAGGTTTGAATGTGCATGTACAAAAAATATCAAATGATTAATCCAGGTATGATTTTATTGTGAGAGATTATTTTCTTGCCAATATCATACAGTTTGGTTAAAGATTCTTCATAGTGAATAGTTTCTTTATTAAATTTAAGGATCTTTTTGTCCAAATTATGAATATATGTGCAGCATTAGATTTTGATACAGCAACATAATGAATGACAAAGTTGATTTAAAACAACAACAACAACAAGTCCCATCAACAACATATGGAGGACATATCAAATACAAGTATAAGTCTATGTATCTCCTCCCTTCAGGGTGTTGGCACTGTTGTCTCAGGGACAACACTGAAAGGTGTCATCCGCCTAAATGACACCATGCTGCTGGGGCCAGACTCGCTAGGAGAATTCATCCCTGTGCCAGTGAAGAGCATACACAGGAAAAGAATGCCAGTGAAGGAGGTGCGCGGAGGACAAACGGCATCTTTTGCTCTAAAGAAGGTATGTAAAAACAGTAGAAGCATAAAGGGATGTTGTCATTTGTTAGCGACTCTTACAATGAAGAATATGAGAATCAAAGTGTTTGTCATAATTTGGTTACCTATTACGATACAATGAAGAATTTTAAGTTGTTAAATGTATCAAATGTTAACATAAGCTGAAAGATAAATGCAATTAAATGTAACTTATTTTGTGACTTGTCCTATTGACTGAAATTCTGATCAGATTCAATTAAATTTTAAATTTTTCTTATACCTGTGTCTTTTTCTTACAGATAAAGAGATCTTATATACGCAAAGGGATGGTCATGGTTTCCCCTGCTCTTAATCCCACTGCATGCTGGGAGTTTGAGTCCGAGGTGCTTGTGCTCCACCACCCCACAACAATAAGCTGCAAATATCAGGCTATGGGTAGGTCTTTTACAGTTTGCAATTTTATAAAATATTGACACGAAAGAAACATTGATTCATAAATAGATCAAGTTACAGTTTGGCAATTTGCAAAAAAAAAAAAAAGTAAATAAGTGAAAGAAAGTCAGTCATTCTACTTTGATGCAATTATTTGGCTGCAGTGAAAGCTAATAACTATACATGTTTTAAACATTTCAGTTCATGTTGGGAGTGTGAGACAGACAGCCAGCATTATTTCAATGAGCACAGAACATTTACGCACTGGTGACAAAGCATCTGTCAAGTTTCGTTTTATAAAAAATCCAGAATATCTTAGGCAGAATATGCGAATGGTGTTTAGAGAAGGCAGAACAAAAGCAGTAGGAACCATAGTAAAGCTTTACCCATACGTAAGTGCAGTAGCGCAGAATATGCGATCATCAAGGGCACAAAAGAAGGCCATGGAAAGTGGACACCACATGAGGCCGCAAAATGAACCACAGAAACCAAGCAAGAGAAATAGAAAATCTAGGCACAGGGGAACAGAACTATCTGGTGCAGCATCAGTTCCATCTGCGGCATCAGCAGAACCAGCAGCATCAGGATCTGGCTCCACTGGGGCTCCCGATCCTGGTTCTGCCAACACAGGTGTAACCACAGTAGCTGCTGGACATGTGACTGGGGCAGAAGCAGCAGCTGGCACACAGAAATCTACCATAACATAGACTGGACGTCCACACCTTATAACACCTGGACTCATATTTGTATGGCTTTCAGATGTTACTTTGAAAAAAATCAAACAAATCAAAGACTGCTACAAGCTTGCTCTAGTGAAGTTCAAATGCCCTCGGTGAACTGATGTTATTCAAATCCTGTACCAGTTTCTTTGTCCTGAATGAATGGATTCAAGCATCTATGTATTTAGGACTAACTGAATAAATCCAAATCTTTTTTTTTCCAATTTTCACCTTTCCAGGGACATTAAATCTGGCTACCCAAATTTTTATAAACTAAAAGTCCTATACAGATCAATGCATGTTTCCCATATGCATCTGTTAGTGACACTAAAAGAGACCTCAGTTTTCTTAAAAGAGGTGAATCTATTACCAGATCAGCTGTCAGTGGAACAGGAGTTTATAATAAGGGGGTGAAGAATAAGTAAGCTTTTATGTATTTTGGTATTAAAATTGTTTCTTTCTGTTTTCTTTTTTTAAGATCTTAGTGAATGTATATTTTCTACTGATTAATAATGATTACAGTAGCACCAGTTCTTTTAATGTCTGCATGGATACCAGTAGTGAATGGTAACAACCAGTCTGATTGTCTTTTTAAGATTGAAAATATCAGTGATTTATAAAGTAAAGTAATTTTAAGCATTTGTATTAAACTTTTACAAACTTTTTATGTGACTATGAACGTATACAAATCCAATCCAGTTGCAAACAATATATGATTAAAATGGATTTTTTAAAACACCTTTCACAATTGAAATCTAGATAAAACCTAGTATGTCTGGACAATGCTTGAGTATTGATGTTAATACTTACATGTCACAGAAGTTTGTGGAACAGTATAAGAAGTCCAATAAAATATACAATTAAAAGCATCCTCTTCAAAATAAGTTTCTTCCACTAAACACATTATTACCTCTGTTAATTAAGTAGGTTATATTTTTACTTGCATTTGTCTATTTGTCTGTCACCAGCCTAACTTAAGTTATGGAGGGATTTTGGTGATTTTTTCAGGATAGGTCAGAAATAAGTTAGCTCGAAAATGATTTGAATTTGGTGATGATCCATTTCTTAAATAATGGTCAGGTTATAGTTAAATTACTAGTCTTTATTTTTATTTGTCCAATTAGGAGAGGGTTCCGAGTGATTTCCTAGTAATATAGTATTATACATTTGTTGAACCAAGCATAAATTCCCCTGGAGCGATTTTCACACTGAAAGTTTTAATTCTTAATACAAAATTAATATGAATTACCTTGGACCAGTATATGCATGTATCATTTGCCTAAGTTACATAATTAAACAATTTTCTTTCATGAAAACCATAACAATTTGTTATACAACCCTCTCCAAAAAAAAAAAAAAAAAAAAAAAAAAAAAAAAAAAAAAAAAAAAAAAAAAATGCTTCAGCATAATAATCAAGAATTTTTATCTTTGTTTACCGTGCTGAGACCCGCTCTGTGCATTTGTGGCAGTTCGAGACAAAAATTAGCATTAATCATCAGTTCGAGTTCTATAATTCTTTAAAGTGGAACGCGTTAACTCCTGCCATGACCAGCATTATCGTTCTGGTTTGTTATGGATGACGAATGTCGGGCAGAGAACAGTCATCTTCAGCATAAAGTACATCAAACCTAGTTTGGGCGGCCCTATTGGCGTCTTCTTTGAAAAATATCTTTATTAAAAATAACTATAATTATCAAAATTAATTTAGAAAAGTTAACAGCTTCCACCACGTCTGTAGAAATGGACTTTACTTATTATTAATCAGATATGTGTATTATTATAAAAGATCCCGTGCAACGAAATAATAAGAAAATTTATAAACAAAAACAGGTGAATCGAGCACCTGTCGTGCTTGTTTGGCTCTTTTATGTTTGGAGTCTTCAAAGCACTTAGCCTCGATTTGATATGCTATTCATGATTTTGAAAGTTTATGATATTGTTGTGTTGTAATTTTGTTCTAGATATGCTTTTATTTGAACTAATTTGGTATTGAAATGATAAAAAACAAGGAGTTTACAACTTACATCATAAGGATACACTACAAGGATAACAACCAGAGGTATCTGTTTGCTGATTAGACGGACTTCAAAATGTGCCCTAACCCATGCGAACACCCATGACAAGACCCCTGTTTTGACATCGGACATACTTTGAAAATGTATGTGACTTGATAATTTTTTCTCACTTGGATTTAAAAATGGGTGCGTGCTTGAGTTTGGACCAAGAAGAGCGAAAAGCTCGTGCAAGAAGTGAAGAAATAGACCGTGCACTTCAGATAATGGCGAGAGAGGAGAGTCACATTATCAAAATATTGTTATTAGGTGAGTTCATTAACTATAAAATTTCACAAGGAAGTAATGCACAGTGAGCTTGTAACAATCCTACTATTATTATTTGTCTTGAAATGTCAATAAAATTCCTTCGTTATTTAGTAGATTGTGTAGTTGTACCTTTGCTGGGGAATAAATTGAATAATTATACCTTTTTTAAAAATTAAACAGTAAATATGCACAAAGTATTCTAACTATTCTCTTGTGATTCTCAGATGAGCTGAACATTTTGATAAGATGCCATATGTGTAGCAGGCAAGTTTGGCATTAGGATTGACCATTTTAAGTGCTGTATATTTTTTGTTGATATGTTTAAAAATGTGATGCCATATAATATGAATGCAGCTTTGTTTTATCAATGCCTTTCTCAGATTGAATAACCAAGAACCTATTTATTTGTTACAAATTGGATCTGTTTCATATGAAAAAGGAAATTAAATATGCAATGTATTTTTTCCCTTTTTTTTAAAGGTAAGAGATCCAGCAAGGATATCATACATAATTTTTATAATAATATGAATTAAAGTTTTAAAGCATGAGGAGCCAATCTAATGTATTGTAAATAACATCTTTGTGAAAAAAAGCTCTGTTCACAAACTACTAGTACATGTTGTAAGTTTATCAAAACAAAAGTATGGTCCTTTTTCAAGTTTCAGTACTGGGTTTGAAACACATATATAAGCAATTGGCCATATGTTTAAGGTCACAGACCTGTCTTTAAATGATGTTTGACATTTAAGATTTCATCCCTAACAACTGGTGTTTCATATTTATCTAAAACTTTAAAAAAGGGTTGAATAAAACTTTTTTTTTTAAGTGTGAGAAAGGCATTTAAGAAAGACAATTGAACGGTTTTAAGCCTTTTATTAGATAAAAGGTTTAGATTCAATTAACTGATCAACTTAATATTGATATTAAGCCTTAAATTTTAACCTATATGTCTACTTTAGCAATTAAACAGTCTGACTTATGTAGCCTCTGTGTCTATGTCACTTGTATATCAAGTGATATGTCAGCATATGTGACACCACAAGCAGCTTCCATCTGTGTGGTATGTTCATACAAATACTAGTATTACATGACCAGGTGTTGCCAGTGGAAGTTGTATTATAGGAGAGAATTGTTTGATAATTTTAGTTTCAAAATATCCATTTCACTTTTGTGCTTGGACATAATGTAACAGTCTCTTTCTTAGTGACTGTTAGTCTCATTTGCTTTGTACATGTGCTCACATTAATTTTTTTTTTCAGTAATCTTTATCTAGAATATATACAAGAAAGGAAATCCACACTTTGATGAATGATTTATAGTGTATAGCATTATCAAATTTGAAGCAAGAAGTGACTCATTGCTTTCATTCCTATTAATTTTATATTTGAATACTAACTTATTAATTACCCAGAGTGTATTTACCTGTTCACCTCAAAGGCATAGAGCCAACTATTATGTGCAATACTTTATGAAAACAGATTTTTTTGTACTTTTCCATTAATGTCCCCTATAAATTTTACTGGGTTAATTCATATCACTGTCTAAATACTTTTTTTCATATTTTTTTTTTTTATTCTTGAAAATTAAATATGTAAATCATTCCACATGAAAGTAATTAAATTTTATTGAATCAAAATATTTGTACTAATAGAATTTCGATAACAGAAAATTTCCTCCTATGACTTCAATTGGATATTTATTTCCCTATAGAAATAAATAAGTATTACCATGTTTTAAACATGTAAATAAACAGATAATTATGGTTTCTATTCCCCAGGCATAATTTTTTATTAAAATGTCAATTTTGCAGTGATTCACTATTTTGAAATTTTCATAACGTGTTTGAAACAATAAAACACTTGGATTAATATTGAAAGGTGTGGCTTTATATTTTCTTTATCAGAGGTTTATGAGGTCATGATACACCAGAAAAAGTTCAAAATAGGATAATCACTATGGTGTGGAGGGCAATCACAGTTTACACTGCATTTAAAGTGGTTTGTGGACAAAACACTTTATCAGTATCATAATTGGAACATATGCCACCATTCTTGGAATTTGTCACAAATGTACTCAAAAGAATGCACATGAAACCAAAGTGACCTGTGATATAAATGTTCCAAATTTGAAGGATTCTTTCAAAGCATTTTGGGGGGATGTTGTTTCCTTTTTTTATTGTATATGAATTAAAATGTTTTTTTTTTATGTTTAAGTAACATGTTTTTATTCTAGGTATGGGAACTTAGAAGACTATATTAATATCACAGCTCAGCTCTAAATTTCATCTTATAAGGCTTCGTTCACATGGAAAGTCTATTTTCTAAAAATCAGACCGTGATCACAAGATATACCGCGAATAGAAAATAGATTTTTAGAAAATATACTTTCCATGTGAATGAAGCCTAAAACTACACATTTGTTTTTAAAAGAATCTGGAGAGTTAAGAGCACTCTGCAATTTAAATCATTTTCCTTTATTTCTGTATTGCATAGATATTATGGAGCATTATTTGCTGTACGTATTAAAGTAACAAAACTTTGGATTTTTTATTATAGGTGCTGGGGAAAGTGGAAAGAGCACTCTAGTAAAGCAGATGAAAATAATCCATAATGATGGATTCACAATGGAGGAACTGCAGAGTTTTAAGGTATATTTACAAGATGAATATTAAACTACCCTGGCATTTTAATGATTTACCTGAATATAAAAAGACTGCTGCTTTGTTTGGCTGCTTTATTTACAGCCTATATACTGAATTGTAGAGAGAAAAAAATATCTTGGGCACTAGACACATCCATTCATCTGCAAGCTGTCAATTTATTATATTTCTATTAAAGAGCTAAGTAGAGATTCAATGTTTCATCAAGTTTCTGGTATTCTGTCTGCACTACAAACAAAACTGGGTGAGTAAGTTGATTGTGGGTCAAGGAAGACATTGAATATTTTGGACAAAAATTTCAGTCCTCCTGACTTTCCCTTTGTGAAGGTTATTACTTTGTTATCTGCATGAATGAAGATTAAGTCAGCAGTCACAAGAAGGTGAAACAAGATAAATGTTGATAAGAGAATGCTTTTGATTCCTACCAACAGAGGTGTTATGACTCAGATCACCACTGTGATAAAAGTTTTCAATATACAAATTATGTCAAATATTTATGTGTGTGTCCTGGGGGAGGGGGGGGGTAATATAAGACATTTATTTTTAGAAGAAACTGATAATGAATGTGCAGTTTCAATTTCAAATCAGATCTTATCATAGTTTCATTTATGTGTGTTATAATTTTCAATTTGAAAGCATGTCCCCATTGTGTTGCTTCTAAATTATTTCATTTTAAAAATATTAATACTTTTGCCTGCTGTCAAATGATTTGCAATTACCTGAATATATATTTTAGATGTTTAAATTCTTTACAGACAACTGTTTTGGACAATCTCCTAAGTTCTATGAAGTATGTCCTAAATGGGATGGGACTTCTAAGGATCAATTTAGAAAACCCTAAAAATAAGGTATGTTGGATTTTCTGCCATGCCATGGGATGGTGGGATTGCGAATGTTTTTTCAAATACTCTTACAAAGAAAGAATGTTAAAGGTTTTATTTTTGAAAAAAATGAGAGATAGGGATACAGAGGGATCTCTCAGCAAGATATTAGAATGAGGAATTCATGGAATATTGTAAGATGAATATTTGGTGAATTTTTATTTGTATAATTTTATATGTTTTTCCAGTTCAATGAGAATATTTAAAATTGAACTATTTTTTTAAACTCTTGATTGCCCTTCATTTAAAGGTGCATGCTCAAACAGTGCTGTCTTGTCAGAGGTGCTTTGATGAAAACCATGTCATGCTGCCGTTCATATCAAATGCATTAAAAGGACTTTGGCGGGATCGTGGAGTTCAGTTAGCTGTTGCAAGGGGTTATGAATATGAACTGAATGATTCTGCAATATAGTAAGTTATTGTTTTTCCCTTAATTTAACATTAATAACATGTAGAAGATATATATTATAGTACATTTATCTCAATTAAAGACCTTAATGATGAGATGATTTTGACAATGTTCAGTGAGTGTTAATATCATTGTTGTTTTTAAACAATAATCGTGAGTTTGTTATCTTCCTTTACCCAGCATGTGTACATTGACAGTAGTATTAGGTTCCTAGATAAAGTAAAAGTGATTATTTGAGTTGGATTTGGATTTTGTGTATCTTGAGCATATGTCAACAGCATCAAATGATATTTTATGTTTGATTTCAAAATGTTTGTCCACTTTAGTGTGGGAAAAATCATTCCTGCTACGCTTTAAAATGGCATGGTAATTCTAATAATAATTAGCATTTAAAACTTAACATCTACAAATAATGGATAACTCTGCATGAATATTACTTTTCAATTAGCCAGGTGATTGAATTCATATTTCAAACATAAGGAACACATTAAAGTAAAATTCTGTCCTCAAATTTAGTATTTCAGCATGATGATTCACAACCCCTATGAATTAGTCACCAGGCAAATTGAATTCAAATCTTGTGCTATATTTGGATGTGGGGTTCAGTAGGTGAAATCTTCTTTTGAATTCTTTTTAATCAGATTGTCACCCTGTGCCCATTTTGGTAAGGCCATCTAGTAATTCATATAACATACCAACTCTTTCTTATTCACTTACAGCTATTTTGAAAACATGGAGAGAATAAGTTCAGAGAACTTCTCTCCGTCTGCCCTGGATGTGTTGAGGGCAAGGGTGCGAACCACGGGTATAATTGAGACTTGCTTCAAGATTAATGATTTCATCTTCAGGTACTACCTAACCCCTTTTAAACATGATTAGATGTGGTTTGTGAAGGGAATAACTTCTACACTAAAATATAGTCACATGTTAACTGATTTTGAAAATAATAGGGACTCAATATACCAACTACAGTTTGCTTTCTTGATTTTTAAAATTTTTCAAAAAAAATTTTTTTTGAGAGAAATGCTAATATTTTTCTCTGTGTACTGTGGAGGAAAAATGAAAGTGAGAACATTATGGAACAAACATCCTCATATTAGAAATTCTCTTTTTAACTGTGCAATTGTGTGTAGGAGTTGTTATCTTCCTGATTTTTGCTGGCTTGCTAAGCTTTGAAGTGTGAAGGTCATAACCCTGGCACTACTAACAAAAACACATGTCTGCGTTTTGTTTGGTTTGATTTATTCTCTTTATCCCTGTGTGTTCTTTTTCACAGCTTTTTTGAAAACATGGACAGGTTAAATTCAGATAACTATTCTCCAACATCCAAAGATGTGTTGCGTGCCAGGGTGCGCACTACGGGGATAATTGAGACTTGTTTCAAGATTAATGATGTCATCTTCAGGTAGTTGTTGTAGTTGTTCTTGTGGTTGGATTATGCTGTGATTGTTTTGCTTATGTGTGAAATAACGATGTTATTTCTGATTTTATTGTTGGCTTAAAGGCACAATTACTGTACAGTTACACTTATTTTGTTTTTTATGGTTGTAAAAAATCTATGCACAAATTTTTATCTTTTTTGTGTAAGCAGTATTGTATGTTTGATCACAATATAGAATGGACAGTAAAAATTTTGCAGGAAATACATTTGAAGATGTATGGGCCATGTATACTAGCAGTTGTTTATATGAATTATCGTGAAAAATAAGCATCTTTTTCTCCAGTTTGGCTTGGATGTTTGATCTCTTTTATTACTGTTTTACTATTGGCAAGTATTCAGATATAGTTATATTAACGCAGTACTGTGAAAGAATATTTCTGTTAAAATAGTAACTCCATGACTTTCTTTGGCTGCTAGGTTGTTTGATGTTGGTGGTCAGAGGTCAGAACGTCGTAAATGGATACAGTGCTTTGATGATGTTCGCGCCATTCTTTTTGTTGTATCATTAAGTGGATATGATATGACACTCTATGAAGATCCTTCGGTGGTGAGTTAATTTTGCTGTTTTTGAGTAAACCATTGCTCAGACACTACTTTTCAGTTTTAACATCATCTCATATGGTCACTGATTAATTGAAATCCTATTTAAAATGAGGTGTTACAAGAAGAGAAATTATAAATGGGAAATTGTTGATTTTAAAATAAATGAAAATGTTTTTCAGAATCGGTTAAGGGAAAGCTTGAAGTTATTCAGTTCAATATGCAACAACAGGTTCTTCTTAGAGACCTCTATAGTAAGTTGTCAAAAAACTTTGAATGCATTGTTATCTGAATATCTGAACAGTTTTATTGATATATGATTTGCATACCTCTTTTAAACCTCAAAGAGTGTAGATAAAAAATTTACATTTCACTTTCTCAATATGCAGCTTTCACAAAAAGAATTAATTTTATCAGAGCACCCCTATAATAATAATTAATCTGTGGATGTGGTTATAATTTATAATCTGCTTTTGAAAAAAAAAACAGTTGGGTGAGTATGAAATAATTTCTTTCTGTTTTTAGATTTTATTCATGAACAAACTTGACTTGTTTCAAGAGAAAATACTCAACTCAGGAAGACACATGAGGTACTACTTCCCAGAATATACAGGTGAGACTTTCTGTCTGGAATTATTACCCTTACTCTGTACATATAACTATTTTTAAAATTGGTTTCCCATGTAGTAAACACATCATTTTGATTTCCGTGTGTTTTAAAGAATTCTAGATATCTGTAAACTATTGCAGTGAATATTGAAGTGAATACACAATGTTTTGATATATTTAACTTTATTTTAGAAGAAAATAATTTAACAATAAAAAGTTTGATTCTATCGTGTTCAGATTCTTAAGTCATTAATTACAGTATTCA